ATTTGATATTTGATTCAGGAAACATTTCAAGGTAACTTTATCCTGTGAGATTTCAATGAATCTTTCAAACTTACATTATCATCAATCACACCATGTTTAATCAAAATTTAACATTTCAAGTTGAACTGAAAAACATTTCGTTGAAGCTCATTTCAAACTTGAATAAATTCATTCATTATAAACCTTTAGATCAATTTTTGATCAAATTTTCCAATTTAAACATTTTGATGTTTCAATGATCAACTCATTTCAATCAAGAAAATTAACTGATAGTTTACAAATGATTGACAGAGGTTGCTGATTTTCAATTAACAAAATATCTATTTGTAAACCTTCATTTAAACCTCATAAATGAAACAGTAAACATCATTACAGAGATATTTTCAGGTAAATTTCAGGGTTAATTTCAACAATTTACAAAAGGTTGAAATAGCTAAAGTTGGAACAATCACTTTAATACAGTAAATTGTTTTATTTTTAAACTACAGTTAAGTGTAACTACCGTTCCATAGTAAACCATAATTACAATGAACACTGGCAAATTGTTTGAAGCATTTGTATTCACTAATCATTAATTGACAGGACCAAGGATTTTGAGTTGATTTTGCACGAAAGAGTTTCATTGTGAGATTGGAATCGACATGAAAGCCTTTTGTAAATGACAAAATCAATTGAATAAAGTCTTCCAGTTTTGAATTATTTTACACTGAACTTTTGATACTGAATGACAGAGTTTAAAAGTTGATGATGAAGATGATGAAAATTGGCGATGAAAAAAGGGACGAAAAGTGAGTGAAAATAAGTTATTTTTTTGTTAAGCCCAAAATGCAATTGAAAATTACAGACCAAAACAGAGTTGTAAAGTTTTCAGGCAAAAATAGGTTACTTTTGTAGCTTCAAGATATGCTCAAGTTAACATCATGAAAGGCACTTTTTTGCTTGTAAATTTTTACGAGACTTGACTATGATTGTAAAATATCTTCAAGATGAAGATGGATGAAGAGGCTGATGAGGAGCAAGTTTTTAAAAAGGAAAGGCTTTCTTCTTGAGGAAAAGGCAAACACTCAAAATACTCATAAATACGAGTTAAAAGGAGAAACACAAAAATGATAGTCAAAGATGTTCACATCTTTTTAAAAATTGTCATCATTTTACCAGAATTTTATAGCAAATAAATGTTGCTAAAATAAAGTAAAAATATTAACGAGAAAATGTAAATAGGAAAATTAATTTCAATTCAATTTCAAGCAATTTTTGGGAAAAAAACGGTTTTCAAGGTTTTCCTTCAAAAGGATTCTGTTTGGGAAAAGGCGATTCCTTTCACAGTTTAATCTGGTTTTTTTCTGGTTAAGTAACAACTGTTAATTGTTTAGTCGATTGTTGTTAATTGTTAGCACATGTGATGACGTTGTTGTGTCCATCTTGAATGGTTTGTTGAATGAAAACTGGAAACAACAAAACCTAATATGGCCTTGCATGTGAACGTGTTTTTGAAGTCAATTTGTCCTTTAAAACCTTGAGGTTTGAAATGTACACAAATTGTGAGTGTTAATTTGATTTGTGTAGGTTACAAAGTGAATGATGATGAGGATGATATTGATAATAACATGTTATTTTCAGGTCAAAAGGAAGACAAAGAAATAAGCTCAATTCATTCATAATAATTCATGAAAAGCTTCAAGTGATGCAAAACCTTGAATGTTTCATTGAGACGGTTATGTACAATTTATGATAAAATAACCAGAAAAGGGGGAGAAAAAGGAGGAAATCTCGTGCTTTTTTTCGGTGTATTTTCAACATTACAATCAAGTAAAAGTGTAAACATGTTTAGTCTTGTGATTAAGACTCAGTTGATGATAATGTTTACTGGTTTGGAAGACACATTTTGTCAATATTTTCATGTTTATCATTGTAATAATGACATTTCACTATCTATTCATGAGGCATAAAAATTGAGAATCAATTTTTTTGCTATTCATTAACTGAACCATTGAGAATTGGAAACAATTGAAGACTAAAGAATGGATTTTTGTTGTTGGGACTGAGAAAATGTTTAATCATTATGAATGATTATTGGAATTCAGTTGTAAACCTTTTCTAGACTAAACTTTGAAATTAATATTGATTTTGTCCATTGATTGGTATTGATTAGTATTGATTCAAGTTAATAACACAGTCAAGTTCAAGGGCAGGTTTACAATCAATTGGATCCAATGATTAAACATAAAGAGTAAATTTGCAAGTTGGAAGCAAAGATTTAATGAACAACTGAAAACATTTTGCATGATAATGGTCAATTAACATTGAAAGTTGAGATGATTTTGAACAAATGTCAGTGTCAACAAAAACATGTAATCATTCATCTGAAAAACTTCATATCAAATGATCAGATGAGAGTAATGATCAAGAAGATGGTTAATGATGAGATGAAAGGCAATCAACATCTTAACCATGAAAATGTGCTGTTGGCTTGATTGTCAAATTGTGAGTGTCAAATGATGTTTTTTTCATCATGATTAAGTTGATTACTAGAGTGGTTAAAGTTAATTTAGTTGAACCAGAAATGTTTGAATTTGTGTAAAAGTATATCAAACGAAAGTTTCAACTCTGGTGATATTAATTTTTCAATTCAAGGATGAATTGAGTTTATGTGAAAGTATAAAAGGTTGATATTGAAGACGTCACAATTTTCATGGAAACTTTCTTTTTCTCTGAAATCAACATGATCGTAAAGATTTTATCCAAAACTATCATTAAAGATAGATGTTATATTTGGTTGATAAAAGGTTTAATAACTCAAGTCCCTTAGGGTTGGTTTTGCATTTCAATGGAAAGTTGAATTGCTTTTTCTGGTTCAAAAGATTGAATCACTTTTACTGTAAAACTGGTTCAATTCTGGTTGACATTTGCACAGATTTGGTAAATTTTTACCTTCAGTTGATGAAAGAGTTTGAGTGAATTAAGAAATTAAGTGTTTTCATGTGTTTGGTGCAGATTCATGTGGATGATATGAAACAAGGTATGAGGAAAGATTAGGAAAAATTACATAAGAAAGTTAAACTGCAATAAAGGTCAATTAAAGGTTTTTTGTAGGAATCGGGTAAATTGAATGTTACCAAAAAAATATTGGTAACAATAACATTTCAGAGATTGTTCATGTTGACACAATGTCAACCTAGTTATAATTAATTTGGGTTATTTAGCAACAATTAAGGTAAATGAATGAAGAAAAAATTGTTAATTTTAGGTTCACTTTGTATCTTTATTGAGATTGACAATTAGCTTTTTGTCAATGTTGATGGTTAACCTGGTTTTGAAATTGTTCAAATTGCTGCTGCTTTGAATTGTTGATTAGTTAATTAATTGGTTGAGTAAAGATGGTGATCAACTAAAAACAATGTTTGACCGAAAGTTGGCGCAGTCAAAAATGTGGTAAATTGTAAAAACTATTGAATTGTTTTTGATGGCAACAAAGGGTTTCTTTTGTGTTCATTTGTTTAATTGTTGATCTACTAATGGTAATGTGCAAACAATTAGTATTAAATATCTAACGATGAATCAATAGATTAAAGGTAATTGTTAATAGGAGACCAAATAGATCAGGAAACATTGAATTAGGATGAATAGTCTGGTAAACAACCAGAGTAATCATAATAACGATCAAAGATCAATATACATTTTGGAAGCAATTGGATTTACGACGTGAATTGAGTGATACTAATTGTCCTTTCAATTGAGATCAGTTTTGCTAATGGATTAAACTGTAAATATTGATGGAAAGTTAATCAGATAATCTTGAATCTTTTCACTCTGAATACTGTTTTTCAACTCACTTTGGTTAGAATGATAATCTTGTGTTACTGAGGGAAAATTGGTGACAAAAACTGAACTGAATCAGAGAAAAAGATGAAATCTTGTTTCCTTTTGTATACATTAACAGGAAAATTATGATAGCATAACAATAAATGAGTAAACATTGATAATGAAAAGCAAATATATGATGAATTGAAATGAGTTTAAATGAGAAAAATGGAAAATATTTTTTCATGGATTTTGGGTTAACAACAAAAAACTGCCTTTAGTATGAATTTGCAATGAAATAAACTAAATTGATGACAATTAGAATGCTTGAAATTAGAGTAAAACGATAGAGGGATGGAAATTGAATTTGAATGGAAGATGGAAAATGATGAGAATTGGAAAGAGCAATCGAATTAAAGCAAAGAATTGATCTGAAACATGGCTTTGTTTGATTAAAATATAGAGGCTATTAACGATTTAGTGATTAACAAAGAATTAAAAATCAGTTTGAGTTTCAAATGCTGTTTTGTAGACTTTTTATGTGCGTAGTTTTTGATGTTTTCATTGAAGTGTTATATTAAAATTCATGCAAGCACATTTTTTACATTTTTATGATCTACATTTAATTTTGAGCTAAAATTATTAAAAGAATTTATTATTAAGATTTGGCTGAGTTAAGGTTTCATCTTTGAAAAACATTTCAACCTTGAATTGGAAGGGTTTAATCAATTCTGATTGCTGAAAGAAAGAGCTAAATAAAGAATCTATTGATTCGGTTGTAAGAGTTCCAGTATAAAACAAAGATGGAAAGTTGAAAATGACTGTCATTAACAGAGAGTTTTGTTAATAGCAGTTAATTCAATTGAAAAATTGAGACTAGCAAAGCTCTGTATTAACTTTAAATGGACCTAGAATTTGATTTGTTCAAGAGATCAATGAACTATTTTTTTGTGTTGATTCAGTGTATGTAGACTAGTGATTTAAAATTCTGGTGGGCAGCTTGATGAATAAATTGTTTCAGTTTCAAGTGATAATCAGGTAATAAAGTGAGTTTGTGTCTTTCGTTAAAGGTTATGAAAGGTTAAAGTAAGTTTAAATAAGATTAAATGTAAAAAGTGAAAATGGCTGTAAAATGTTGTGATTACCTTGATTCTGGATTTAACATTGAAAGGTAAAAAAAGATAACTGAATGAACTTACTTTTTGAGGTGTCGTTTAATTGCACGAATCATAAGTACACTGATAACAATAAGAATAACGTTAAATAACAACAAAAGTTCAACAAATAAACGGTATGCTTGAATGTCTTCAATGGTGATTGTCTTGTAAGATGTTGAGTTGAGAAAATAATCGATGTGTTCAAAGTTAATCACATAATTTGTTAAGCAAAGCTTAGATTAATTAAATCCGAAATTTAGGGTTGCTTCCATGCAGTGAAGATGATTTCTTGTTGATTTCAAGTTTAGAATGAAGATGAGAGCTGAGAATAAAAATAATTTGCAGTTGAGGTGGAGAAAAAAGAAGGTGGAAACACATGGAAAAGGTAAATATGTTAGTTCATCCAACTTGACTGTTAATGTTAACCAAAGATCATATTGAATCCACTTCAATTAGTATTTAACAGAACAAATAAGGAAATAAATTGGGTCACAGCTACCAGCCAAATTAAAGCACACTTCTGTTGTCAAGACATCTTTTGTGGAAATTATGATTTCTTTTTGTTTCATATTTTAACCATTTTTTTGTACAATTTATCCTTGTTTACCATCTCAGTTAGACGAAAGTGGACTTGTAGCGATATGAAATTGAAAAATGACAGGCCAAGAATGATGATGAGGAAATGAGCAGCACAATAAAAAAATAATCAGCGTGAAGAAAATAGTATTGAAGTCAGTATTTGTTGTTACCAGTTAACGGATACTTTGAGTTTTATCTCGTTGAAATTGTAATGTTGTCTAATAGCTTTCTCATTGTTTGAGGAAGAATTAGAATCCAATCATGTGATGTTGATAAATCTGAACCTCATTTAAGTCTGACTGCTGGTAATCGGTCTGATGATCATTATGTGTCTAGAGACAATGATAGTGATGATGGGACAATCCTTTGATGATGTAATGTGATGAAAAATAGAAGGATATGTTGAACGTATAGCTGTGATAAAAATTAGAAACAAGAAGAGTGATGGCAAAAAAATTAAATATTAAAATCAGTTGAAACAATAAAAAAAAGGTTGCGTAAAAGGAAGAACAAAGACAAGGAGAGAAAGGTAGGAAAAATGTAATTCTTGAATCTTATTAACGCTTGATTAAATGGATGAATAATTCAACAGATGGTTGATAAATGTGTGGAAATTAATTACCTTGATTATATTGATAAATGTAAATCCGTTGACATAATAATAATGGAAGAAACTGTAAATTATTTAGAGCTTAATAACAACGTTCTTTTAACTGCCATTCAGTTTGAAACTGCCTCAGCTGATCAATGTTATGATTTCAAAAAAACCGAAAACAAAAGTTACTGTTACTGATGACAGATGACGCTTCAGGCTGTGGACATTATTTCGTTTTTGTTCAATCAAATTAGAGATGTGCGATTATTAAAAAAACGATTATCTTTTGTTACAGTTTATTAACTAATAACTATTCATTTCTCAAATTTAGATTAATTCTTGTTCGTCATTGTTGTTCTTATTATGTGTGGATCAATTAAACGACGGTGAATTATAAAAAGCAAGCTGTGGTAAAGGATAAGCCAATTGTTGCGGAGTTTCCTATTGAATTGGAAAATTATAGTAAATATTGTTAGCAATATGATTCTTCCATCAACATTTTACATGCTGATCAAAGTGAATTCAAGATTTGTGTCAAGGTTTGAGTTAATCAACTAGGTTTATTAAAATACAAGTACATTTTTATAATACATGTATTGGAGGTCTTCAATGAGGTGAACTGAAAAATTCAATGAGACAAACTTATTCTGCAAAATTTTAGTTTTGCAAAAATAATGTTCAAATGTATTGGTACAAATTATTTGACTTTTATTTCACAGTTTTGAAAAAAATTAAATAAACAAAACTAATAAATCTAAAACAATAGAAGGATATATTAATTATCATCATTAAAAACTTCTGGAAACAAGAGGAGGAATAGCTGGTTAAGAACTATGTAGAGAAATTGTTTGTTTAATTGGGGAAATTGGAAACAGTAATAAAGATGAAATGAGAGTGACGAAGGTGTAAATGGTATGTAATTTAGTTTGGTTTGTATTGCCTTTAGAGCTTCTCTTTCCCTCAATTTACGAAGCTTTTCCTCCTCATTGACATCTCTTGGAGATTTTCGAGCTTCTAGGGTCGACTTTAAATTTTCCAATGCCAAAATGCAATTATCAAGTGAAATGATACTTTTCAATTCACTTTCAAAAAATCTAGTCATTAAAGATTGTACCACGTCTTTACCTAATGGTTCAACTAATTTAAATAAATAATAAACTCGTGAATTGGATTCATCTAAATCGTAAATGCTGCTCATGATAAAAAGTATTAAATCATAAAATGTATTTCCTTTGCCATCACCAATAAAATCACTATTAACAGCGTCGTTGTTAATTTCAAGGTCCGATGGATCTAATGCATCTTCAAAGCTGTTTGAATTACTTTTAATTCCTAAATTGGTTGTTTCCTTGTCATTCGAGCCAGTATTTCGTTTGTTTTCAGTTGAATTTACAAAATTAAGAATGAAGGGTTGAAGAGATGTTCGCAGATCATTTCCACCTTTCAAAGAGAATGATGAGTTTATATTGCGGATCATTTTCCTGAAATCAACTGAGGTAGAGTTAAACTGATTGGACGATGCGGAAGGTTTGAGGAATGAATGTAGAAGAGATGAAAATTGTAGAGCAGGATTGGACAGGAGTGTTTCCATGAAAGCTTGGAGATCGTTGAGGTTACCCTCAAGAAAAGAAATGTTTGTCTGTGTAACTGGGAAATAGGAAGAACTAGAAAATAGATTTATGCGTTTTTTAGGTAACTGGAAATCAATTCCTTTGATATTGCCATGAAATTGTCGCAATTTTGATTGAAGAACATGGAACTCGTCAAATTCTCTTTGAACATCCCAAGATGTCTCTTCTTTGGTATCATTCACTTTAATCAAATAGATTAAACGATCTTCCTCTTCATCAATTTCTTCGTCATCAAATTCACTCTTGATTCGTTTATCTACTCGATCAACTTTAACTTTCCAAGAACTTAAATCATGGATTACTTGAATATCTTCCTCAACCTTTTCATCCTCTTCTTTAATGGAATCTTTGTCTCTTGCTTCGTCACCATTAGACTTTTTATTTACATCCGTTATTGATGATATTTGACTAGAGAGAGATAAATTATCACCATCGTTGGCATCGAATGATAAAGATTGAGCAGATCTCGATCCGGCAACTAGTTTAAAATATAGTGAAGATTCGGAAAATAATGGCAAATAGACTCGATCAACAGTATTATAAACTTGATCGTAAGCTTTGTACAACGGATCACTGGTTTGGAGTAGTATAACCTCTTTACGTTCAATTATACTTTTAAGCGACTGTTTGATTGCATCATCATGAAAATGAATATAATCAGGACTTTCATCGTCAAAATATTCTTGGAATAACAGCTCAAGTTCCCTTGTTAAATCAGATTTCTCCTCTTCACTTAGGTCAGGCTTTAATAGGCGGCAGTTGAATGAATCGATAGAGAGCAGAAATTGTAATAAGTTGACGGAGCCTTCCTCTTTCAGGTATTGCATAAAGATAAAAAGTAATTGCTCATCTTTAATTATTTCCTTCAATGAAAGTCCCAAGCAGTTTTCTTCCTTATTTAACTCTTTGATGGGTTTTGAGAAATTTTCCAGTAATTGGCCAAGTGAGTGAGCCTTTACAGTGGAGGAATGCGTGTTTGAAGCAGAAGAAGAGGAAGAAGTTGGTTGACAATTACTGGACAGCTTGGTTTCATCCTCCTTGATACACTTATCGATTTCAGTTACATTCGATATTCCTTCTAATAACAAAATAATGAAGGTATTAAAATAGTATGGATTAGAGATGAGATCCAGGAAAGGTTCTAAGACACAATTAACAATCAGTTCGAGGGAAAAGTGGGCTAAAGTTGAATTGGACAGTAAGGTTGGTGATAATAGTAAGTGATGGCAGCTTTTAACCATGGAATGAAGATAATTTGAATCACAGTAATAATCATTTTCTCGGTAAACTTTGATTACTTGTTCCCGAATGAAGTAAGCCGATCTTGCTTGACGTTTACCTTTCAGGAAGAAATACAAATGTTGTATCAACGAGGTAGGCAAACGTTTGGAGATAAATTCAGATGAATCAACGTTCAATCTCATTCGATTAATTAGATTACCAGTTACAAATGATATGCATCTTCTAACCTCTTGACACAATTTATCATTATTTTTAAGACTATCGACATCATCTAGGCACAAATTGATAATATCTTCGAGAAGCTCATTTAAACAGGAGTTCACAAGAATACGACGATCATGAAATAATCCAACTTTGACTTCAGGACCGTGGCGTAAACATCGCCTCTCTTGACAGATGAAACAAAAATAGATTTCATCTCTTTCTCTAGTCTTGAGAAATTTAATAATTCCTTGTTTTTCCAACGTCTCCTGTAATCCTTGCTTTCTTTTAGGGTTATTACAGTCCAGTAAATATGCCCATGTGAACTGTTTGAAGATGGTTTGATTGGACGATAAACATAGTTTACCGAAAGTGTAAGCCCCGGAAAGCACCAATACCAGAAGAACGATTGAAAACAAACCACCAAAGATTAAATTGAGAAGGACAATGATGGCCGAAAATATCCATAGATTGATCAGTTCCATGACCAAAGAAATGTTCGAGTTGTCAACATAACCATCATTAATATTGAAAATTGGCTTGCGTAGTCAATCAATCAGTGTTCGATAGATATAGCACAAACAACATGAAAGAAGAGGGATAAGTTACAACTGTGGTTAAAGATTACCAGTAAACATACAAAAGAGTTAAATCGAACAAGCCTTAAAGCCCAATTTTACTATAATTTGAACAAATAAGGAAAATTTTGCCACAAAATAAATTGAACTCTACAATTGTAACATGTAAACAAACCAAAAAAATAATAACTGTAAATGTTAACTTTCACTAGGTTGCGCTACAAACAGATTTGGAGGAAAATTCAAATTCAATCAAATCCAAATATTACTCCAAATTTATTTATAAAAGGCTTTTAAAAATCAACCTTAGACTTTAAATATAAACTATTTATAAATTGTACAGAAATTAGTTTGTAAACAATCAATAGATTTCAAAATATCGATAGAATAATCAATTTATAATAAACATTATCAACTTGGATTGTACTGATGGAAGGACATAATAAAAGATAAAATATTTTTGCCTCAAAATTTTTCATTCTTTCCACTCACAAACATAAACAATTAAATTGGAATGAAACGCTAATTCCAAATAGAAATGTCTTATTCAGATATTTATCTAAAACGCAATAAATCAATTCAAATTATACTCCATTTCAAAGCTGTTTACAAAATATAGATAGCAATGATTATAACAAATCGCACTGTCCAATCCAAACATCAATTGATTTTTTTGCTACTTTACAATTTAAATTCATTCTAATCAGTTAACATTTACCTTTGAGTTTAACAGTTTGCATGGAGTCAACAAGGGAATTCCAGGGAATATCAAAGAGATTTTCTCTTTCATATTATCTGATTAAAAAGCAACTGTACTGGCTATCATATTTACCTTTACCCATTCCATGGTACAACAAACCTGTGTCGATCTTTTTTTATCTTATTTCGTTTACCTTCTTATCAAGGTTGATAATTTTCATTTTCGTGCCTCTTGAACCACTTTTAGCGCTTTATTTGGGCGATTTTGCCTACAATTTGGATTCTTTACATGATATTATTTGTTCGATGGTTTCATTCTGGCTTGCAGCTATATTAACTTCTTTCCATTTGCTCGATGAAACCAACAAATCGGTAAAATTACAAGCCTGGCTCACTCCTTTATCGACTTTAGAAAAGGGAAAAGATCATTTCTTCAAGAAGCCAAATAAAAAATTGGTCTTTGCGGCAAAGCTGCTATTTACCAACCTTAAAACGTCACTTGTGTGTTGTCCGTCCTTTGTTTTTTGTCTTTACATTCCTCATATGATCACCAATTATGCGAATGGTCAACTCGTAATTGTACTCCTTGTTCATGGAGTTACAATTGCAATGGCTGGCTTTATGGGCATTTGTTATATTGTCAGCTTGAGCTATTTTTTTGCCTTTTATGCTTTCCTTATTGGACAAAAGTTGAGTTATATTGCAGAAATATTTAAAACCCAAATTGAGCGAACGACTAAATCCTATCGAAAAATTGTATCAAACTCTGATCAGTTAATTTCCCTGGTAAAGCAAGTATATTGTGCTGATTTGTTTTGGTCAAAAGTAAACTCAATCGTTTTCTTCGCTACATTTTTCCCTCAAATTTTGATTGTATATTCAGTTTTCTTTGTACCATTAAATGCCGTGCATTTTATAAGTCTGATTGGACTTGGATCTATCAACTTTACTTGTGGACTGTCTGTCAATTTTTTTTGTGGAGTTCATGCAAGATCAAAGGTAACTCATGAAATAATAATTGTTCATCAAACAATCTAAAACTTTCTCTCCAATTGTTAGCTAAATGACTGTCAAAAGCAGTTGATTCGGACTATTTTCATAAAGGATGCTAAACTCAGAGTGCCATTTAAAATAAAGCTTCTGATAATCTCTGAATATTTATTTCCAAGGAAACTGTTTGCCATTTTTGGAGCTTTGGAGATGAATAGCTTAAATTATTTACTGGTAAATAGACATCGAAACAAACCAAAACATACTGATCGTTAATCATTATTTTTTATTTTATATTAAATTATTTCCATAGGTGTTCATTGAGATGGCCATTCATTTATTGCTTGTTATTCTCAATGCAAATCGTAAATGATGTCGGATATTGCTAGCTGTAAATGGTCAAACTCAGAATAAAGAGTTGCGTGGAGTTCGTACTCAACTTGTGATTGGTGTTATTTTTCAATCCATACAATATAAGGCATAAACTTATAAAGGCAAAACATCAAATTTTTGTGTAAAAATTGTAACTAAACGGAAAGGATTCTAAGGAAAATTTCTGCACAGACTGAAATCTACGATTAAACTACATGCCCGAAAAATAGTCAGAGGTTACTGAGAAATTCCCGTTTGAACAGGGTAGGGGAAAAATGCAGAGTCCGTATCTCGTAGCGTTGTGTTTGGGGAAAAACTTTTTGGTTATTTAGTTTGATGGTTTATTGTTGGACTAGGAATATATGCAAAACTGTCTTTCGAGTAAAGAGTTTGGTTAATAATCTGGTGCCTCAACTGTACTAAAAGAGACCAAATGAGATATTTTGAAGTCAATTTCATCAATAATTCAGCATTTGCGTCTTTAAATGTGGATTGAATTTATCGTACACAGTGAAAATAAATTTGCGATCAGTCATGATCGGGGGCTAAACTTGTACTTGTAATGTTTAAATGATTAAAATTTAATAATAAAGACTGAGATGATTGAGAAATAATGTCGATAATTTGAAGCTACAATCTAGATTATATATTTTTTGAAAGATCTCCGTGTCTTTACACGCGTGATCCGAATGAGATCAAAACCGAGAATCCACATCGAATAGCATAATAATAAAATCTCTTGCATCTACAATCGATGAAAAATTGACCTTTATTAGTTGACACATATCATTGTATCTCACAATATATTGACCTGAAAATTATGATATCATAACAATAAATGAGTAAACATGAAAAGCAAATATCATGATATATGATGAGTTTTAATGAGAAAAAATAGAAATATTTTGACTAGATTTTGGGTTAATAACAATTAACAACAATTTAGGAACTAAATCAATCTGAGTTGGCAAATTTTAAAGTTTCATGGACTTCTTATGATTGTTTTGTGGATCAATAAGGAATAGTTTCTTAAAACTCTTTTAATTTCTGGACTGTTTCTGGATTTTAATGGACTGCAAATTTATAGATAAAGGGCCTTAAAAATCAACCCTAGACTTAAAATAATGAAACTATAAATAAATTGTACAGAAATTAGTTTGTAAACAATCAATAAATTTCAAAATATCGATAGAATAATCAATTTATAATAAACATTATCCAACTTGGATTGTACTGATGAAAAGACACAATAAAGATCAAATATTTTACCTAGAATTTTTCATTATTTTCACTTCATTTCACAAATAGAACCAATTAAATTAGGATAAAACGCTAATTCCACTTATTCAGATATTTATCTAAAACGCAATAAATCAATCCAAATTATTGCTCCATTTCAAAGCTGTTTACAAAATATAGCAATGATTATTACAAATCGCACACCCAAACATCCCTTGGATTTTTCGCTACTTGATAATTTAAATCCATTTTCATCAGTTAACATTTACTTTTGAGTTTAACAGTTTTCATGGAGTCCAAAAGATATACTCTTTCATATTATCTGATCAAAAGGCAACTGTACTGGATATCATATTTACCTTTACCCATTCCATGGTACAATAAACCTGTGTCAACCTTTTGTTGTTTTGTTTCCTTTATTTGCTTATCAAGGTTGATAATTTTCATTTTGGTGCCTCTTGAACCAACTTTGGCACTTTATTTAGGAGATTTTGCCTACAATTTGGATTCTTTACATGATATTATTTGTTCGATGGTTTCATTCTGGCTCGTAGCTATATTAATTTCTTTCCATCTGCTCGATCAAACAAACAGATCGGTAAAATTGCAAGCTTGGTTCTTTCGTTTATCGATCTTGGATAAAGGAAAAGATCATTTCTTTAAAAAACCAAATAATAAATTGGCATTTGCTTCAAAGCTTTTATTTATCAACCTTAAAACGTCGCTTGTGTGTTGTCCGTCTTTTGCTTTTTGCCTTTATATTCCTCATATAATCAACAATTATTCAAATGCTACACTCGTAATTGTACTCCTTGTTCATGGACTAATACTGGTAATGGCTGCCTTTATGGGCATATGCTTCATTGCCAGTTTCGGCTATTTGTTTGCCTTTTATGCTTTCCTTATTGGACAAAAGTTGAGATACATTACAAGAGTATTTAAATTCCAAATTGAACAAACGACTAAATCCTATCGAAAAATTGTATCAAACTCTGATCATTTGGTTTCTCTGGTAAAGCAAGTATATTGTGCTGATTTGTTTTGGTCAAAAGCAAACTCAATCGTTTTCTTTGCTACATTTTTCCCTCAAATTTTGATTGTATATTCAGTTTTCTTTGTACCATTAAATGCCGTCCATTTTATAAGTCTAATTGGACTCGGATCTATCAACTTTACTTGTGGACTGTCTGTCAATTTTGTTTGTGGAGTTCATGCAAGATCAAAGGTAACCCATATAATTATCATTTGTACCTTTTAATTGTCATTTTTTCTCTCCAATCGATAGCTAAATGACTGTCAAAAGCAGTTAATTCGGGTTATTTTCATCAAAGATGCTAAACTCAGAGTGCCACTTAAAATAAAGCTACTGATTATCTCTGAATATTTATTGCCAAGAAAACTGTTTGCCATTTTTGGAGCTTTGGAGATGAACAGCTTAAACTATTTACTGGTAAATAGACATTGAAACAAACCAAAAGATCGTCAGTAAATCATTTTATATCAAATATGTTTATTTTCAAAGGTCTTCATTGAAATGGCCATTCATTTATTGCTTGTTATTCTTAATGCAAATCGTAAATGATGTCGGATATTGCTGATGGTCGGACTCAAAGAGAGGACTTGAAAAGACGACGTGCAAACCCAACGTATCATCAGTCAACTGTTATTTTTCAATGCATGCAATGATCCAATGTGTAAATGATTACAATTAATAATAAAGATGTGTGTACTATGAGATGATTGACAAAATAAGTCGATAATTCATAGCTACAGTCAAAGGTTATCTTTCTTGAATGATCTCCATGTTATTCTCGTGTGATCTGATAAAGATCAAAATCAAGTTCATACATTGCTAGATCGAATAGCATAATAACAAAATCTCCTGCACCTAAAATTGATATTGGTCTTTTAGTTTATCTATTCCATTGAATCTCACAATATATTGACCTGAAAATTATGATAGCATAGCAATAAATGAATAATGAAAAGCAAGTATATGATGAATTGAAATAAGTTTAAATGAGAAAAAATGGAAAATACTTTTGGGTTAACAACAATTTACAACAATAAATTAAATCAATCTGAGTTAAAAGTTTCATAGACTCCTTATGATTGTTTTGTGGATCAATAAGGAATAGTTTGTTAAAACTCTTTTAATTTCTGGTCATATCTATTGGTGACCAGCACGTTGATTTTGATGATTTATGCATCATTGAATATTGTTGATAAATATTTTGCAAATGGCAGGTAAGTCACTCAATAAATTGCTGTATCACCAGGACAATAACTGATTGAATATCGAGGTTTTATAAGGATAATAATTCTGTTTGCTTCTTGCTCGTTTCATGATCAAATTGAAAGGCTTCATCTCAGTTTGTCTCTCCATCTCCTCCAGATTCATCTTTATCGATTTTTCTCTTCTCAATCATTCATCACGTTTCCATCCTTGGACTTCTCTCTGTTTACCCTCACTCTTCAATTCAATCCTTTTTTCACTGTTTTTCCCTGAAGATGATTCTTTCACTTCGTGCTTTATTGGAAGATTTACAATGACAAAACCGTTTCCTACCTCAAAAATTACGTTTCAATGCAGTCTTCAAAAGATTTCAATCCTTCCTTTGGATATTCAACATCAGTTGACGGTAATCCTCAAGTGGAAGCTCAATCACCTCACCTACGATCATGTCTACAAGAATGCTCTGAGCCTGTAACTGCAAAAGTCATCGGTAAGTGATTCGACTAACTTTCAAAATCCAACTCTAAATCAGCTGCCAATTGACCACTTTTTACACTCTATTTGATATTGAATTGCCTTCTTCAGGATATGCTCAATTCATGTCTTCTTGTTTTCAAACCTAATCTTTATAAGACAAATCGACACTAACCAATGTTTAAGTATAGAGAGTAAGATAGAAAAGGCCAGGTAAGGTAGTGTTTAGAGTGAATTAATAGTCAAGATGATTGAAGAAAAGAAATCAAAGATTAGAACTTCGATATTCTGAACTTCTTCGCTGTTCAACCTCAAATGCATAAAATTACTACCATGATCAAGCTCAGATTTTCTCAATTTTGAACGTTTCCAAGTTGCTATCTCGTCTTTAAGGTTCAACAGCGCTATCAAGTCTCTTGTACACTCCAGATACACTTAATATTTACCATTTATAACTGAAGTTCAATAATTTTCCTTGAAATTATGTTAAGCTTTTAATCGAAGGTAAGGTCGAGTTGGCCGTTAAAACAATCTATGACAAGTTAATGCAATCCTTTGGACTTAAATCGGATTATGTTAAAATATCAAAGTAACTCAAAAATCAAGTTGAAACTCACCCAAAGCAAAGAACTATTAATTTTCTTCCTTTTTTTGAAAGCAAATCAAGTGTAATGAAGGATTTCATAATGTCTAATTATGAAATATGAACAAAAATATCAAAATTTATTGCAACCCTGAAGCGACAGTTGAAATATTGTAACAAATTCCAATCATCAATAATGAGTTTGAAAAAAAGTTTCAAAAGTAAAATCAATTTTTGATTATGCAATTGTAGTGTGTCCTTCCTGGCTTAATATCAAAAAGCGAAGAGAGCAAAGAGATTCATTGCCTTGAGCATCAATCAATAACCAAGACAATTTAGCTACCATCAAATAAAATGTAAGAATTGAGTGACAATCATGTGATTCTAATCGCAATAGGAACAGAGTTTTAAACCTTCAATCATACGAAAAGCATACTTGAGAAGCAAGAAAATTGATGGACGATTATCATCCTTTCAGGCCTCAAGATTAGCTTAATAAAGGATAAGAATCTTAGCAATATGAAGGGATTATGAAAATTATTTGCCTTTACTCAAGGTTTGATGCAAAATGGAGAAAGTTTAATGCTATTCATGAACAAATGAACGATTTAAAACTTTGACTGAATCTATGATTCTTGTTAATTGTCGTAATTCAATTTGCAAGCTACGGTTTAAAAACTATCATTGCATTCATCGTTATTTTCATCCAACTCTTTACATTAACTAACTTGAGTATTTCTAATAAATTTTCAATGGGGGCTTTTGGCCTTTTGAAAATGAAACTAACTTAAGTTTAGGCTTAAACTTGGCTTAATTTGTAGTTTAATACTTGATGGATGCGACAAAGCTTGGCAAGCTCATGTCATCAACATCTAGAACTAAATGTGTTGCAGGATTGTTACTAAAAAGACACAAACAACACGATTGACAGATTTATGCACAAACTAACACAAATGCTTAAAGAAAAATGGGCGCAAATAGTTTCTTGCAAATGTAGACTCTGTTGGTTTGTATATAATATATTATATATCGTATTATATTATAGCCGATAAGGAAATCTAACGTTTGGCAAAAGAATGATGATTGCAGGGGTCACCATTCTCGAAATATCGAAACTCGGAGTTTTTAGGCCAATGGCCAAAATCAAAAGAACTATTGATAATTTGAACCAAGAATTTAGTCCATGAAGTGCTCTAACTATTTTTATGCATAAATAATAAGTTTCGGCAATCTAATTTTTGCGATCACAGAATAAGATCGGTTTAACTAAAAATCGAAATGATCTGTTTTACAGAAAACGGAAACTTTTATTTGTCAAACTAAGCGCATTTTCTGGTTGAGCATCAAAGGCTACAAGAGTAAAATAAGTTTCATAGAAAAATCTCTTTCCATCATTGTACAAAAGACGATCAAAGTTTCATCTTCGAACTCGATTTTTTCGCCAACTATTGATCAGAGAAATCTTCAAATCATACAAATTGATTCAGTTTTTATGTCCTTACAAAATAATCGCTCCTGAATTTACAATAAAACTATTTTCACCCGTTTTTGCCCATTTTTCTTTCACCATTTTGTCAATCTTTGCAAAATTGTCATTTTGTGTCAATTGTGTTGCTTTTGCCTTCTTATAAATATTAAAAACTGTGTTGTAGCAACAGTTTTGTGGTTAACGGGAAAGTTTTTCTCATGTCATAAACTTTTTTGTGTCTACCAGGACAAATCCCATCTTGGGTCAAAGGCTATTTGCTACGGAATGGCCCAGGACTCCGTAAAGTTGGTCTTGATGAATATTGTCATTTATTCGATGGTCTTGCTCTTATCCACCAATTCACCATCGACAATGGTTCCGTTACTTATCGAAATAGATTTTTACGCTCTCAGGCTTACAAAAGAAACATGAAAGCGAATCGAATTGTTGTCTCTGACTTTGGGACCCGTGCTTATCCTGATCCATGTAAAAGTCTACTTGGAAGGTACATGAGTTACTTTTCATTCAAACAGTTTACTGACAATGATTCCGTCAGCATCTATCCAGTTGGTGATGAATTATACGCTTCAACTGAATCAACTTTTCTCCACAAAATCGATCCCGAAACAATTGATACCTTAGGAAGCACTGACTTAGCTCAATATGTTGCCGTCAACACTCAAACGGCTCATCCACACATTGAACCCAATGGTGTGGTTTACAATTTGGGAAGCAATTTCTGTGGCATTGGCAGTTACAATGTAATCAAAGTGGATCCAAATGAATCGAAAGGCTTTAAATCAGCTTCACTTTTAACCAGCATTCCAGTTCGTAATAAAATGTATCCATCATATTATCACAGCTTTCTGGTTACAGAGGATTTTATCGTCTTTATTGAGCAGCCTTTGGTCACATCGATTCCGTCCATACTTTTGAACCATTTCATTGGCGGTGCTTATAGCAAATCCTTGAAATGGCGACCGGAATTCAAAGTAATATTAAAATTTGTACTTGTTTTCTCTGTACTAAAGCTTTTCTATTTTCTAGACTCGTTTCAATGTGATCGATAAATCAAACGGAGAAGTGATCGCGAGTAATTATGTCAGTGAACCATTTGCGTTCTTCCATACAATTAATGCTTACCAAGAGGATGGTCACGTCATTTGTGATATTTGCTGTTATGAAGATGGATCAATAGTTAATGCGCTATTTACCGATAAGTTGGCTCAAATTAGTGATCAAAGCGATGAAAATAAAGCTGAATCTGTTAAGGATTTTCAATCGCTCAGATCTCAAGCTCGACGTTATGTTTTACCATTAAATGTTGATTCATCTGATGAGGTATAATGTGGTTATTTTGCTGAGATTGCCTCAAATCATTCACTCAAATCATTTTTCTCGTCTTTACAGTCTTCTGTAAATCTGGTGACTCTGAAAGGTTCGTCAGCAAAAGCTGTACGCAATGGCGATGAGATTGAGGTAATTCACGAATCTTTGACTACAACTGGTAAGTTTTGCGGCTTCTCTTATAGTCAATCAGAGTATTGATCTTTTGAATAAAAAGGAAAGGATGCTTTTGCTTTACTATTTGCTATTACATTGATTCAATATTTAGTTTAATGCTAATGTAAGCTAAAAATACTAAATTGACATTGAATATTTTATTGATCGAAAGTTTAATTCATTACTTTCTCATTCATTTACAGGTTCGAATATGGCTGAAATGCCTCAGATCAATTATCGACATTACAATGGTAAAAAGTATCAATATTTTTACTCAATTACAAGGAACGAAGATTATCTTGCTCAATTGGTTAGTTTAATTTACTTATTCTAACAAATTTATCGATTTCTTTACAAAAAAGTTACATTAAATTTTCACTGATTCATTTTTACTCTAATTCAGTTGAAATGCGATGTAATTACGAAAGAAACAGTCCTTTGGTCCGATCAAGGATGTGCACCTTCTGAACCAGTTTTTATCCCAAGACCAGGAGCAGTCGATGAAGACGATGGTATTTAAAGTCACAATTTATTTTTATTTTCAAACTCAATATCTTTTTGTTTTTCTAGGCGTAGTTTTATCTGCCGTTTTGTACGAGAAGATTGAAAATGAAGGATTCCTTCTGGTTCTGGATGGCAAATCCTTCAAGGAAATGGCGAGAGCTCATTTCAAAACTCCATCAGCAATTACCAGTGACTTTCATGGTTTATTTTGTCCAGTTGAGTCTCCAGAAAAGCTCATCAAATAGTGACTGACAATAACGAAGGCAATGTTTTCAGTTTCAGTTTCGCTGTCTTACGTTCAGTCCATTGAAAGAGTTTAATCTTTAAGTATTTATGTATTTGGAAATGAAATATTTTTTCAATAAGAAAGCTAAATAAATTATTGGAAAACAAACTCACTATTTCAATTTGAGTTTGAGGATTTTAAAAGTTCATTCGCTATTAATTATCTAATGAAATGATGGTAAAGCACCAGGTTTTGGTCAATTGAACGTAGTTAGCAACAGATCGACCCATTAAAAATATACCAATCTTTAAATGCCAAAGAAAAAGTTATTCGGTTATTAAAAGTTACTGTTTTTCGGAGTTTAATTGGGATTGGGATTTGATGCAATTGATGACTGATGATGTTTATAAAAACGCTGAAAAATCAATATTAACCTGAAAACAAGAAAATTGTAAATAAATTGTGACAAAAAGTAGTTTAGACACAATCAATGCATATTATTAATAGAATAATAAATCCTCAATGAACTTGGAGTGACAAAGATATTGATTAAAAATTAAGACTGCAAGATGGAATAGTTGCATTTTCATTTCACAAATATCAAAATAATCAGAACCATTAGAATTATGATGAAGCACGGCTTACGCATATAATGAGCTTATTTAAATATTCATCTGAAACGCAATAAATCGATCAATTTTTTATTTTTTAAACTGTTTACTCTGGTTAATATTAAAATGCTTATTGCATTGTACAACTCAACACTCAAAAATTTGAACACCAACATCATTTCATTTCCTCAATGCTTCAAAACACATCGAGTTGAGTTACATTGAGTTCCCAATTTACATGGAGTCGGGAAGGAGTTTCATCGTATCAACACGATATTCACTTTCATATTATCTGGTCAAATATCAACTGTACTGGCTATCATATTTACCTTTGCCCATTCCATGGTACAATAAAACTGTGTCAGTCTTTTGTTATTTTGTTTGTCTTGTATATCTAATGCGAGTGATAATTTACATTTTTGTGCCCCTTGAGCCACCTTTAGCACTTTATTTGGGAGATTTTGCTTACGATTCGGATTCTTTACATGATTTTATTTGGTCCATCCTTTCATGTTGGCTTACAGCTTCAGTGTTTGCTTTCCATTTGCTCGATCAAACAAACAGATCGGTAAAATTGCAAGCTTGGTTCGTCCATTTATCGATTTTGGAAAAGGGAAAAGATCATTTCTTCAAGAAACCAAATAAAAAATTGGTGTTTGCTTCAAAGCTTTTATTCATCAACCTTAAGACAACGCTTTTGTGTTGTCCGTCTTTTGCTTTTTGTCTATTCATTCCTCATGTAATTAACAATTGTTCAAATATTCCCCTCGTGATTGTCCTCCTTGTTCATGGACTTACTACTTTTATAGCTGCTTTAACTGGCGTCACTTTCTGTGTCAGTTTGAGCTATTTGTTTGCCTTTTATGCTTTTCTTGTTGGACAAAAGTTGACTTACATTTCAGAAGTATTTAAATGTCACAAAAGTTCCCATCGGAAAATTTTGTCAAACTCTAATCAGTTAATTTCCTTATTGCAGCAAGCTTATTGTGCCGACTTTTTCTGGTCCAAGTTGAATGCCTACGTTTTTCTTGCTACATTTTTTGCCCAAATTTTCATTATATATTCAGTTTTCTTTATACCATTGGACAAGATTCATTTCATTTGTCTGATTGGACTTGGATTGATCAACTTTACTTGTGGACAGTCTGTCAATTTTGTTTGTGGAGTCTATGCGAGATCAAAGGTAACTCATGAAATTATCATTTGAACATTTTAAATTGTCAATTTCTCTCTCAAATTGATAGCTAAATGACTGTCAAAAGCAGTTGATTCGAGTTATTTTCATAAAGGATGCTAAACTCAGAGTTTCACTAAAAATAAAGCTTCTGATTATCTCTGAATATTTATTGCCGAGAAAATTGTTTGCTATTTTTGGATCATTGGAAATGACTAGCATTAATTATTTAAAGGTAAGTAGACATTGAAACTGACTCAGCATCTTTGATTAACAACTAAATTACTTTACTACATTTTATATCAAAAATTTTTCATAGGTTTTCACTGAAATGGCAATTCATTTATTTCTTGTAATTCTTAATGCAAATCGTAAATGATGTCAGATAATAATATATGGTTGGAGTTGTAATACATGTAAATTATTATTAAAGTTATCATTGAAAGCATAAGTGTTTAAATGATGAAATGAATTGTAAGATGTGTCGATCGAGACAAAAATGTGACTGAAGTCGATCACTATTACATTGTTTCATTACTTTACGATTAAGATTATGAACTGTATCAAGATACAGGAATCAAGGAAAAATGATTGCGAATGATTATTCCTTTGCATTATTTGTGCTTGCGAGTGAAGATTGGTGACAAACATGGTGAAAAAGATGAAATCTTGTTTCCTTCATGTTAACATGAAAATTATGATATCATACAATAAATGAGTAAACATGAAAAGCAAATACATGTATATGATGAGTTGAAATGAGTAAACTGGGAAATATTTTTTCATGCATTTTGGGTTAACAACAAAAAAGCTTTGCCTGTAGTCTGAATGAATAAACATTTAGATTTACTCATCATTCCTGGTGTTGTTATTCAATTCAGTGTTGGGAGTTGCCATTCCCAAAACTTTTGCACTGACAAAATTAATGTTCTTGAAACAAATTTTATCAATTTATTAAAAGTAATAAGAACAGACAAATGTTTATAATTTTACTTAGAAAATAATTAAAATAGAAAAACCAATTTCGAAGATAAAAAACCCTAAAATCAACAGATTAAACCTGAAACTAGGTGCGTTTACACCTTTATCTACTGAGCGAGTTAGCTTTGCTCATAATAAAAGTGCTAAAATGTTGCACTCCAAATCACTCCACTATGCTTTAACGAAGGTATTTATCTCATTCAAAGCAGTTCTGGGCAACTCGTGAGATTCCCTTGGAGTTTTATCTCGAATTCACTGAAAATAAAAAGATTTAAAAGACTTTAAATAGCGTGAAAAACATTATCAACAGTGTGATCTACATAATTAAGATCGTAAAGTGCGATAGCACGCAAATAAACTGGCAATAAAGATTACTCTATTGTTAATTACCAGAAGATGAAGCTAAATATTGTTCATCTGATTGTTAATGTTTTCATCATGTAGGTCTTTGTATTATGTTAAGAGATAAAATCAACTTCTTTGAGTGATTTCTCAACAAAAGATGAAACCATCCATGATAATAAAATATCTACGAGTCATGACTTTATTATGCTTCCAACTTTCATTGGACTGGGACTTTCAATGTACAACTATTAGCATCTTGCTCTAACACAATATTTAGTTGAGAGACTCTAATATTGGGTTTAGGATGCTTTAAGACAAATGACGTTTAGCGATATTTTCAATTACGAAAGGAATTGTTCTTAGATGTTTCATTGTATAATAAATTGTTAAATACTTTGATAAGGACAGATAATGATGTCAGGTGTCTTTCAATGACAAAAGGATTTGATCTGATAAATTGCATGATAAAATAATGAATAATCTGATAGAGACAGCTAATATATAAACAAGCTTGTTGATTAAAATTAATAACATTGTTCAGATTTCAATGTGTTAACGGATTAACAAGTATAGACAGTGATCAGTGATTTACTTGAAACTCGAACCATGAACATCTCAAAGTATTTAGCAGCTAATCGTGTAAAATTATTGAAGACATTATTCTGTTACCTTTCATATACATGTTACGGTGCTGGAACCACTTTAATGGGTTCATCCTTGTTTGATTTACAAATAAGGATGAATGTCTCATTCGCACAAGCATCTCGTCTGGTGCCAAGTCGTTCATTTGGTATTTTGATCGGATCGCTAGTTTGTAAGTTGATATAAAAACCAAAGATATTAAACTTGATAACATCGTCTGTGTGCTTCTTTTAGCGGGATTTATTGGTATTTTCGTAGAACCTGAAATGGTCTTATTTCTTAGCAACTTGATGGCTGGTATATTGACTGTCGCAGCTCCTTGGTTCAAACAGTACAATGTCGTTTATGCCTGCCTTTTCTTGTGCGGAATAGCACAAGGAATCATGGAAATATGTAAGCATTTACATTTCGATTGTTTCCAAAACTAACCTCTAAACAATGTCAATAACAAACCGAATAAGTAGCAAAAAAATGACCTTAGGTCATAGTGTTGACTAGTGTTTATTGATATTTCAGGAAACAAAAATTGTCTCAAGACAGCTTTTAATTTCAGGAATTAAATTAGATCACAACTTTTCTTCATCTTAATTAGAGAATAAATTAGAGATAACCGGCAAATTGGGATTTAAGATTGTTTGTTTGTATTTGTTTCAGTTATCAATGCATTTGTCCTCTCAACTTGGAACGATGAGGCAACTAATTACGTCCAGATATTGCATGGAGTTTATGGTGTAGGGTCATTGGTGGCTCCTCTGATGCTTAAACCCTTTTTATTGCCGCAAGTGTCTGATATTAATGTAAATAATACAATTGAAAGTGATGGTCCAACTATTGTTGCTTACACTCCAGACGATGTTAAAGTTCAATATCCATATCTGGTTCTCGGGTTAACTGTGACTCTTACTTCACTTGGATTTTTATATTTCTATTTCAAGAGCAAGAAAAATTCAACTAGCAAGAGTAATGAAACCATAAACACTGATAATCATCCTACATGGAAGAAAATTTTAGTTGTTATAATTGGCGCTTTTATTGCTCATACAACATTTTCAGTTAACGCTATGACCGGTAAGCTGTTATGATATATTTTTTTTAATTTTTCATCTCACTTGATACAAATCATGAAATCGTTTTTTAATATTATTCAACCAGGATCATTGGCACCGGCTTTTGTTGTCAAATCGGACCTGCAAATGACCAAAAAGGATGGTGCAGATTTGGTATCAGCATATTGGACTGTCTTCACATCTTATCGTTTACTTTTCATCATTGCAACTAATTTTATTGAAAAGAAAGCCATAATCATCTTTAATTGTCTGCTAACTTTGACAAGCACTGTTTTAATGTTTCTTTATGCTGCTCATAGTCGGACCTTCGCTTGGATCTCATTCATCATGCTTGCCGTTGGATTTTCACCAACATTTGCAGCTTCTCTCGGTTTCATACAAGAGTACATATTTATAACGCGAAACTATGCGTCTTTTATCTTTCTCATTGGTGCCATTGGTGACACGGCTCATCCCTGGATAATAACTGGATTCATGGATAAGACACCTGAACTATTTGCTACCTACGTCGCCTCTTTGGCTGCCATGCAGGCCATAAGTGTATTTATTTTACCGTTTGTTTGTGCAAAGCTTTTCAAAACCAAGACCAAAGAGACTCTCAATAGAACGTCATCTCTAAGAATCAGTCAAAGATAATTGATGTTGCTTTAAATTAAATTTGTTATTGTAATTAATAAACATTCCTTGTGTTATTTAACCAGAAAATTTCAGTATTTCTTGTTTAGTTTCAATTGTTTCGACTGATCAACGTTAAGATTTAAAAAATTATTAAAATAAGGTTGATCTCGCTGGTTACAGATGGCGCCTCCATCATTCCACAGTCACATGGTTTTGTTTACCTCATTTAACCCATGCCATGTTTAATGTTTTAATATTTACGTGTTTGTAATTACACTTTATTAACTTAATAGCTATCTAGTTCTTAAATTTAATTTAAATTTGTTTATATATTGTGTTACACTATGGGTAGATCAATTAAACGACGGAGAAATATTAAAGCAAGATCGGGTGGTAAAGATACAATAAAGTCAGCTGTCAAAAGTAAAAGTAGTGTTGCTGAAATTCCTATCGAGTTGGAAGTTGATCATAGCAAATATGATTCTTCTAATCCATTGATTCTTCCATCAAATAAAAATGTTGATGGTGTTAAAGACAGAAAAAGTGATGTACAATCCAAGAAAAAGCCGAAAAAAGTGCTGTCACTCAAGAAGAAAAAGAAGTTACAAAAAGTTTTGGATAGAAAAAAGAGAATCCAAGATGTAAGTCTCAATATTTATGTTAATTGAATGATTTATTTACTCTTTTTTTAATTTTTACAGAGGTCTTCAATTTTAGATGAGCTAAAAAAACATCAATTGGATACAAAAACTTATAGTGCAATGTCTTCAACTTCGAATTTACATACAAAAGGATACAAAAGGTTAGTTAAATTTTTTTTCTCAATTTTCTTCAGAGAGATAATTTATTTTTATTTATTTACAGAAATATAGATATTGCAAGTTCACAGATTGCTGAAGTTGAACTTTCTAAGATAAAGACTTCAGCAAGAAAACGAATGCGCATCAACACCCTGGAAGATGCTAATAAAAAAGTAGGAAATAATGTCTTAGGATTTGATCGCTCTGATGATGATTCAGATGGAGAAGAAAAAGAAGAAGAAGATGACGATAACGATGACGAAGGTCATGGCGAAAACGAAGAAGAGGAAATTAAGGAGGAAGAACCGGCAGATGTAACTAACCAACTCAACTTGAATGATAAAGAAAATTTATCAACTGAACAAGAGAAAAACAAAGTGGTTGAGGTGTTATCGAAATGGGAACCAGAAGAAAATTCAGTAGCTGATGAAGTTGTTGATAAAAGTGAAAATGAAAAACCTAGTGAATCTTCAAAAGTTCCTGAGGAACAACTAAAAACTGTAGATAAAGATGTATCTAACATTTCAAAGGAAGTTACCATGAAACCTAGATTTGTTTCTGTAAATCGAGATCCAGAAATCCAAAAGAGCAGAGAGGGGCTTCCAATATATAGTAAGGAATGTGAAATCATGGAAACTATCAATGATAATGATGTAACCATTTTGTGCGGAGAAACTGGATCAGGGAAGACAACTCAGATTCCTCAATTTCTCTACGAAGCTGGTTATGCTATTGACAGAAAGATAGGAATCACAGAACCTAGAAGAGTCGCCGCTATTGCCATGGCTAGTCGTGTTGGTCATGAAATGAACCTTTCCAGTGATATTGTTTCATACCAAATTAGATTTGAAGGCAATTGTACAGATGAGACAAAAATTAAGTTTATGACGGATGGTATCTTGCTGAAAGAAATTCAAAAGGTAATTCTTACTTCAAAGTACCCTGTGTTTCTTAATAAACAATAATCTCTTCTTTAATGCTCTTTTCTACAGGATTTCCTATTATCAGACTATTCTGTTATTATCATTGACGAAGCTCATGAGAGAACAGTGTACTCAGACATTCTGATCGGACTTTTATCTAGAATAATCAAGCTAAGATCAAAGGTAAGATCTCAAGATACGGAAAAATTAATTGATATTAGTGATTGTTTCAGCCCTTAATTATTTTTCTACACTTTTCTTACAGAAAAATGATCGTCTAAGACTAATTATCATGTCAGCTACTTTGAGAATCGATGATTTTAAGACCAATCCAAATTTATTCAAAACTGAACCTCCTGTTATAAATGTAAGTCTTCTTTAGCATTTTTGTATCTTCTTAATTTTAATATCACTCGTTTTCTCTCTCAGATCGAAGTAAGACAATATCCAATCAATGTTTACCACAACAAGGTAACACCAGAAGATTATATTCACGCAGCATATTCTAAAGTTTGTAAGATACACAAAAATATGCCTAAAAGAGGAGGAATATTAGTTTTTCTGACTGGTCAACAAGAAGTTTTAACGTTATGTCGGAAATTACGCCAAACATTTCCTTTTAATGAAAATTCGTTAGCAAAACAAAAGGAGAAGGAAGAGGAAAAAGAAATACAAAGAGTATCAAGAAAAGAGGCCAAGAAACTTCGTAAAACTAAACCTAAAACATTAGGTGATATTATGCCTCAGATTGATTTAAATGCGTAAGAATCTTGTATTATAATCATTTCGCCTTGTTTAACTAACAAAAATCTATTACTTTTAATCAGATTTGGTGATGAAATCGATTTGGCAGATGATGTATCAGATGAGGATGGAAATAACGAATCTTCTGATGAGGACGATGACAATGTTGTTTCTTGTAGTGATCCTCTTTATTGTTTACCACTTTTTTCGCATCTCAATGAAAAAAGGCAACGTCTGATTTTTGAAAAGCCTCCTGAAGGGGTTAGACTTTGTGTAGTCGCTACAAATATTGCAGAAACGTCTTTAACAATACCGAACATTGAATATGTTATTGATACTGGAAAGGTAGATCAACTCTCTTAGCTTTTTATTTAACTTTACTTATTCATTTATTTTTTCTAAATTTATAAAATATGCACATTTTTAGGTTAAAATGAAATATTATGACCAAACTACTGGTATTTCAACGTTTTTAATTGACTGGATTTCTCAATCATCTGCTGATCAAAGAGCTGGGCGTTCAGGAAGAACGGGTAAAGGACATTGTTATAGGTATTGTATCAATTTTTGATTTTTTTATTTGGTGAATATTTTCCGGCTAAATAATAAATCGATTCAATTTGATCTTTCTATTTTAGGTTATATTCATCAGCTGTCTACAATGATTTCAAAAAATTTTCTGATGCGGAAATAGTTCGGAAACCAATAGATGATCTTGTTTTACAGATGAAGGTATGAATTTAGGGCATTTAGAATGTGCAAGACCACAATATAATTGATAGGACATTGATTCTTGAAATGAAAATCAAGAAATCGAAAACATTGTAGTCTTGAACACATCTTATTATTTATCGATGAGATTTCACCTCTAGAATTACACTAAACTAACCATTTTTTATTTATTTTCCAGTCGATGAATATCGACAATGTAGCAAATTTTCCTTTCCCAACACCACCATCTTCAGAAAGTATCCTTGCAGCTGAAAAAAGACTGGTCTTGCTAGGCGCTCTAAAAGAAACAAAAGTGTGTGAAGCTAAAATTGACAAAGCAAAAAATAAAACTCAAGCTAAAAGTGAGTACTTTTTAAAAATTTAACTTTCATCCATTTACTGAATATTTTTTTTCTTTCTAGCTGTCGCAAGAATCACTCCTCTCGGGCGAACAATCTCTCTCTTACCGTTAAGCCCTAGATTTGCTAAGATGATTATTTTAGCATCGAAACAAAATCTTATTTCTTATTCGATTTCAATCGTTTCTGCTTTGACTGTCCAAGAAATATTTGTTTCTCAAAGCTCGGTTGACCAAATAAATGAAGATGGAACCAAAAAAGTATACAAAGATAGACTTTCAATCATCCGTAAAAAATGGGCTGGAATCGTGAGTTTCTCGTTTAAATTCAATTTTTTCTAGTCGAAACTAATTAGATTACTTATATTATTTACATATCTCTCAATTACAGGGTAATAGTTTATTATTAGGTGATATGATGATTTTTCTATGTGCAATTGGTGCTTGGGAACATGTTGATTGTATTCCTGCCTTTTGTAGTAAATATGGACTTCGTTTGAAGGCAATGAATGAAATACGTAAATTAAGAATACAACTGTTGAAAGAAAGTATGATAATTTTCATTATTTTTCATCGTAATTTAATTACTTTTATCATTTGATTACTGATAATTATATTATTTTATTTTCACAGCTTCGACTATTTTCCCTCAATTAGGATTATCAACAGATCTGAAGATGTTGCCTCCAACTGACGGTCAAGCAAAAGCACTCAGACAAATTTTACTTTCAGGTCTTTTTGATCATGTTGCAAGGTAAATTGAAATAATCGCAAATCCATCTTTATTGTTTCGTCTAATTTTAATTTCTTATTTTGTTGATCTTAGAATCATGCCAGACGATGAAAAAGACAATGAAAATCGTAGAATATTAAAAAACGCATATAAAAGTATCGAAGTTGAACAACCTGTCTATATCTCTAATGATTCAGTTCTGAATGATGTAAAACCAGAATGGATTGTCTATCAAGAAATTTATGAAACACAGAAACTTTATATGAGAAGTGAGTAGATTTATTTTGTTTGCATTCTCGACCTTCTTTTAACAAACAAATCTCTTTTTTATTCAGATGTTGTAGCTATTGAGCCAGAATGGATACCAATTTATGCACCTAATATGTGTACATTTTCCAAGCCAATGAATGACCCTCCACCTCGCTATGACTCCGAAGCAGATTGTGTTAAATGTACTGTTAACTGTAACTTCGGTCCTTACAACTGGATTTTGCCAGATACAGAAATCGAGTTTCCAGAATCAATTGACAAATATCGTTGGTTTACAAGATTTCTTCTTGAAGGTTTAGTTATCGATTATTTTATATCTAAACGTTCATCTTTGCTATCAACACCAGCTATCATGCAAAAATCATGGGCCAAGTTACAAAAAAGAACAGAATTTATCTTAAACAGTCTAGCCAATCACAGAATCTGTTCTAAAAAATCTCTCATTGCGAAGTGGAATGAAGACCCGAAATGTAAGTTGTTTGAATTTTTTTATATTGTTTGCATTTTCAAAAATTTTGACCAAATTCCATTCTTTTCTCTTTAAATAGATCTCTTGACGGAATTTTTGAAATGGATACCTGAAGCTCTTCATTTTGAAATACAGTCTGAATGGCCTCCGTTAGAAAAATCCACGTAAAACGTTATTTTTGTATTTTATATGAATAAAACACTGTATAAAAAAGACTTGTGAATTGGTTCATTATATGATCTGTCAATTCTGATTAAACAATTTAACACAAAATTCAAGGTATCTGATAATTCAACATCTGATATCACTCCGTATATTTGTTTTACTAATTTTATCTCAAATCTGGATCAACGTTGGAGTTATTTTAAATTCAACTAATTTTTCATATTCTGTCATGTTTTTGATAATTTATAAGCAAATAATTTAGACTTATAATTTAGAAAGGTTAACATTGTAAATCTATTGAACCCAATGATTTGTACAATGGCACAATGATTATAACAACAATATTTTTACCGTGTGACTTTGATTCAAAATATGATGCGAAGGATTTTAAACAGAATAGTTTATAATGTAAAAAGGCTAATCTACTTATTATTACCTACTTAGAGTATTCATTTCTTTCAAGAGCAATACAAAATTCAGCAGTAATTCCCCAACATTGATGAATCAAATATCAACGATTCATGAATTTATTATGCTTCCAACTTTTATTTTAAAACTATCTTTGGACTGGGACTTTAATATATTAATATATCTATGAATATCTTGCATATTCAAACTTATTCAAACAGTTTCACAAAAGTGACTCTAATATTAAATTCAAGATGTTTCAAGACAAATCAGCCTTACGATATTTTCAATGAAAAAAGGATTTGATCTAATAAATTCAAAAGTAGATTGATAATAATCTGATTGAGACAGATAATAGTATCAAGTGCTAACATACAAACAAGTTTGTTGATCAAGACTAATAATATTGTTAAGATTTCAATGAGTTGCAATTAATAGAGTAACAAGTGAAACAAGGATTCACTTAGAATTGAATTATTTAGTCTATTACAAGGTTTTACCACAAACAAGGTGACAATAGTCATTTTAGTCATCAAAATGAATATTTCAAATTATTTATCAGCTAATCGTTCAAAATTGTTTAAAACTTTCTTATGTTACGTTTCATTTTTATGCTTTGGTGCTTGTTATACCCTTTTGGGTTCATCTTTATTTGATTTACAAATAAGGATGAGTGTTTTATTCACCCAAGCTACTCGTCTGGTGCCGAGTCGTTCCTTTGGTATTTTGATTGGATCAATAGTCTGTAAGTCGATGACAAACAAAAGATATTAAACTTAACGAAATAAGAATAATCTGTGCTCTTCTTTTAGCGGGATTTATTGGTATATTCTTGGAATCTGAAATGGTTTTATTTATCACCAACATGATGGCTGGAGTAATGACTGGTGCAGCTCCTTTGTTTAAACAGTACAATGTAGTTAATGCCTGTCTTTTCTTGTCGGGAATAGCACAAGGAATCTTGGAAATATGTAAGCATTTACATTTAAGAAATGAGTTCAAGTTGTTTTGAAAATGTTACCAAAATAATCTTCATTATTCACAAATACATTGCCGTCTGGAACTTTATTAAGATATGAGTTTCTAATTAGATTTTTTTGTTGGCATTCATTAGATTCTAACACATTTGTCCTCTCGATTTGGAACGAAAAATCGACAAATTATGTCCAAGTATTACACGGGACTTTTGGATTAGGGTCATTGTTGGCTCCTCTGATGGTTAAGTCCTTTTTATTACCTCAAGTGGCAGATTCAACCAATACAACCGAGAGTGCAGATACAAATAATACAACTGACAGTGGAAATAAAACTTTTGTTGCTTACACTCCAGAAGACGTTAAAGTTCAATATCCATTTCTGTTTTTCGGGCTTATTATGATTCTTACTTCATGTGGATTCTTGTATTCCTATTTCAAGAGTGGTTCAATAAGAAAGAGTAAGGTAACTGAAATATCTGACGATCATCCGAGATGGAAAAAACTTTTAGTTATCATGATTGGTGCTTTCATTTGCCATGCTTCTTTTGCCGTAAACGCTATGACTGGTGAGTTATTATTTCAGTTGATTGTTCATCTTATTTCAATTTAACAGACTAGACATTTGAACAAAAGATTAATCATTTTTTAATATTATTGAACCAGGATCCTTGGCACCTGCTTTTGTCGTCAAATCAGACCTGAAAATGACCAAAAAGGATGGTGCAAATTTGGTATCAACATATTGGACCGTCTTCACATCTTATCGTTTAATTTTCATCATTGCAACCAATTATATTGAGAAAATATTTATTATCATTTTTAATTGTCTATTAACGTTGACAGGCGCTGTTTTAATGTTTCTTTATGCTGCACACAGTCAAACCTTCGCTTGGATCTCATTCATTATGCTTGCAATCGGATTTTCACCAACATTCGCAGCTTCCCTCGGTTTTATACAAGAGTACATATGCATCACACAAAACTATGCATCCTTTATCTTTCTCATTGGTGCCATTGGTGACACGGCTCATCCCTGGATAATAACTGGATTCATGGATAAGACACCTGAACTATTTGCTACCTACGTCAGCTCATTAGCCGCAGTTCAAGCCACAATTGTTTTACTTTTACCTTTTGTTTGTGCAAAGCTTTTCAAAGCCAAGACCAAAGAGACTCTCAATAGAACGTCTTCATTAAGAATCAGTCAAAGATAATTGTTGTTGTTTAAATTAGATTTTCTGCTGTAATTAAAATTTTATGCATTTGTTTGTTAACCAAAACCAATTGCTGCGTTTCTTTGTTTCATAAATCAACATTAGTTTATTTCAGATTCCAGGTTCATTACTGTCGATAGATTAAACTATTCAAGGGCATAAGGAATTTTACTCAAGTGTTGTTCAATTCGGCGAGTCCTTAAAACACTAGTGAATCGATGAGTTTCACCTCATCTTCAACTTCAGAAATGTGAGTAATAATGGTCTGGATTGAATAAGTTATTGGGAAAATTGATAATTCACTTCGAAACATGAATTTGAAAAGAAATTTTCTTAAATTAAGATTAGTTAATTATCATATTTTAGACCATTAACATTGATGAAAATATAATCATTAATTAAGTTGCAATTTTCATTGACTGAATTATGAATCTCTCACTTGATTGCAATGAAAATAAAAATATTTAAAAGACTTTAAATAGCGTGAATCACATTATCAACAGTAAGATCTACATAATCAAGCTTGTAAATTAAAGTGTGACAAAAGTGAAACATTAAAATAGACTGGCAATAAAGATTAGTCCATTGTTAATTACAATCTGCAAGAATTTAAATATTCATAACCTTTGACGAAAAAGTTGGAGACTAAATTTTTGATTTCCAGTATCTTTTGAGTCAATTTTGGGAAATAATCTAGCTTCAATTTCAATTTCATTCATCTTTTATTTGATACATGAAAAGCATTTGGTTTTTGCATAAAATTTAGATTTCAAATCGCTCTAAAAGCTCCCAATTAGTCTGAGGTTAGGTGAATTATGAGGGCCAGGAGGGCTAGATAACTTAGGAGCAAAGAGGGTCACAAATTCATCCAGTTTATGTTTCACCATTTTGTCGTTTCTCAAAAATTTTGAGAAAACTGTAAATGTTTAGGTTTATGTCTCGTCAATCAAGAAATAAGCAAAAAATCGCTAGTTTTCTGATCAATCGACAGAAATGGATAGCGATAGTGGGTGTCAATCCATACAGAATCAAAAACTAAATCTTTGAAATAATGGAATTGTTTTCTTCGCAGGTGATTTTGCTCTCAGGCTTCGTTTACAGATCATATCGTTTTTAGCTGAATGAGAAGAGATATTTTGCATTTTTTCACTGATTATAGTGAAAGTAGTGACGAATTCAAAAAAATTATCAAAATTAAAGTTGGGTAAGCCTAAAAATTGCTCACTTTCGATTGTTTGTCGATATCTTCTGATCTACATGGTCCAAAAATTGATTAAATCAATGAAATTATCTCAGAGTGAGGTATATTAGTAACAGTGTGATCTAAATAGTTAAGCTTGTAAACCAAAATGTGATAACATTCAAATAGCCTGGCAATAAAGATTAGTCTATTGTTCATTACAACCAGAAGATGTTAAAGTTTAATACACAATACAGGTGTATCTATGCCTTGTTCCTTTGATTGCTGGTGTTTTCATCATGTAGGTCTTTGTATTCTGTTGCAAGATAAAATCAATTGATAAAAGTAGTTTCCCAACAAAAGAGAGAAACATTGATGATAATCAATTAACTGCGACTTTTGGCTTTACTATGTTTCCAAATATCGCTTTAAAACTATTTGTGGATTGGGACTTTAATGTAAATCTATGAATATTATAATAATATCTTGCTTTTTAAACATATTAAACCAGTTTCACAAAAATGACTCTAATATTCAATTTATGATATTTTAAGATTAATCAAGTTTTATGATACTTTCAATGACAAAGGGACTTGATCTGATAATTTAAATAGTAGATTTATAATGATCTGATTACAGAAACAGACAGATCTGAGACAGATAATAGTATCAAGTGCTAATATAAAAACAAGTTGGTTGGTTGAGATTAATGTTATTGTTCAGATTGCATTGAGTTGTAATTGACAGAGCAACAAGAAAAAACGTTAATTCACTCAGAATTTAATTTTTCCGTCTTGCTCTTGCACAGATTACATTCTCTAGCAATCAGAATGAACCTTTCAAATTACTTAGCAGCTAATCGTGCAAAACTGTTGAAAACGTTCTTATGTTACGTTTCATTCTTCTGCTTTGGTGCTTGTTATACCCTTTTGGGTTCATCTTTATTTGATTTACAAATAAGGATGGATGTGTCATTCACCAAAGCATCTCAACTGGTACCAAGTCGTTCATTTGGTATTTTGACCGGATCAATAACCTGTAAGTCGGTGAAAAAACGAAAGAAATTAAACTTGACAAAATGAAAATCATGTGCTTCTTTTAGCGGGATTTGTTGGCATTTTCTTAGGACCTGAAATGATCTTATTTCTTACCAATATGATGGCTGGTCTAATGACTGGTACTGCTCCTTGGTTTAAGCAGTTCAATGTAGTGAATGCATGTATTTTCTTGTCGGGAACGGCACTGGGAATCTTGGAAATATGTAAGCATTTACATTTAAGAAATGGGTTCAAGTTGCTTTGAAAATGTTGCGAAAATGATCTCGATTGTTCAAAATTACGTTCACTTCTGAAACTTGATGAGATATAAGTTTCTAATAAGATTTTTTTAGATTCTAACACTTCTGTTCTCGCAATTTGGAACGAAAGATCAACAAATTATGTCCAAGTACTGCATGGGACTTGTGGCTTAGGATCATTGTTGGCTCCTCTGATTGTTAAATCCTTTTTATTGCCACAAGTGACAAATACAAATGATACAATTGAAAGTGAAGACAAAAACACAACTGAAAGTACAGATGCAACTGTTGTTGGTTACACTCCAGAAGACGTTAAAGTTCAATATCCATTTCTTTTTTTCGGGCTTATTATGATTCTTACTTCATTTGGATTCTTGTATTCATATTTCAAGACTGATTCAATCAAAGAGAGCAAGGAAACTGAAATAACTGATGATCATCCGAAATGGAAAAAAAATTTAATTATCATGATTGGTGCCTTCATTTGCCATGCAACTTTTGCAGTCAACGCTCTGGCAGGTTAGCTATTATTTTAGTTGATTGTTCATCTCAGGAAGTAATCAATTCTAATTTAAATTGATACATTTGATATAAAAACTAAAGTTTAAAATCATTTTTTTGAAACATTATTTAACCAGGATCATTGGGACCTGCTTTTGTTGTCAAATCGGACCTGCAAATGACCAAAAAGGATGGTGCAGATTTGGTATCAGCATATTGGACCGTCTTTACATCTTATCGTTTAATTTTCATCATTGCAACTAATTATATTCAAAAACAATCCATTATCATTTTTAATTGTCTACTAACTTTGGTTGGGGCTGTTTTAATGTTTCTTTATGCTGCACACAGTCGAACCTTCGCTTGGATCTCATTCATCATGCTTGCCGCTGGATTTTCACCAACATTCGCAGCTTCCCTCGGTTCTATACAAGAGTACATATGTATTACTCGTAAATATGCGTCTGTTATTTTTCTCATTGGTGCCATTGGTGACACGGCTCATCCCTGGATAATAACTGGATTCATGGATAAGAGACCGGAACTTTTTGCTACCTACGTCAGCTCATTAGCCGCAGTTCAAGCCACAATTGTTCTACTTTTACCATTTGTTTGTGCAAAGCTTTTCAAAACCAAGACCAAAGAAAATTTAAATAGAACCTCATCACTGAGAATCAGTCAAAGATAATTCTCATTGTTCTAAAATGGATTTTCCTTTGCTGCTGTCCAAAAAGCCCTTCAGTATTTCGGAAATCAACATCATTCACAGTAGATTCTATTGAATTCTGTACTGTCGTTAAATTAAACTAGTCAAGTGAATAGGGAATTTTACTCAAGTGTTATTCAATCAGGTCAGTTCTTAGAATACAAATGATTGTATCAGTTTCAAATAATTTTAAAAAGTATGTTATTCGCAAATGTAAAAATTATTTATTGATTTTTAAGATTTAATGAATACTTTATATTATGAACACATTGATACAATTGTAACAACACTTTGTTCTTGAAAATTAAAGATTTGACTTACACTAAATCGTCAATTTGTTATCTACAAAATCTGACATGGTTTGTAAATTAATAAAATTAACAAAAACAAAATGCTCGTTTAGTTTTGAAAAAAGTTAGTTACAAAAATTTCAATTTTAGACCAAAGCTAGCTAAGCAGCTAGCTAAAGCTAGTTAATTTTAAGCCAGCTCAGGCTACTTATATACTGGCCATAGCCAATCATGCTGATTCTGGCTGGCTAGTCAGCTTGATTTTCACTGGCTTCGGTATCTACATTTTTGTTTTGTTTACATTGAAAAAAGTAATTGGTGTTTTATGAGTTTCAATTATCTCATCTTTTTCATTTAAAAACATTCAAGTGCCATAGCTAATTTTTACACCGAATAAAGCCCGTTTTAAACAACAGTTCGATATTATCATATGGTAAAGTGTTTTCAAATCGTAATATGTCGACTTGTAAAACTCTCGGTGCAAAATTTGATTATGCTGATCCTTTAAATATGGACGAATTTTTGACCCAAGACGAGATTTTGATTAGAGACAAATTTCGCTCTTATTGTCAAGAAAAGTTGATGCCAAGAATTTTGAAAGCTAACCGTGATGAGGTGTTTGACAAGAATATAATGAAAGAAATGGGATCTTTAGGTGCCATAGGGTCAACTTTGAAAGGATATGGTTGTTCCGGTGTATCTTACGTTGCCTATGGATTACTTACTCGTGAAATAGAGATGGTTGATAGTGCTTTTAGAACAGCTTTGAGTGCACAATCATCTCTAGTTATGGGGGCAATTTATGAGTTCGGAAGTGACCAACAGAAGGACAAGTATTTGGAAAAATTGAGATCTGGTGAAATTATTGGTTGTTTTGGCCTGACTGAGCCAGATTTTGGAAGCGATGCTGGTGGTATAACGACAAAGGTAACAATAACAGTTATCAATGATAAACCTATTCATTCACAAAATCGTCAATAGGATGAATATGATGCAAGTCCAAAGGCTAATAATTTTTTCTTTATACTTTCATAGGCCACTTATGATGCATCTACAAAAAGCTATTATCTTACTGGATCCAAAACATGGATAACTAACTCACCGATTGCTGATATTTGTGTCGTCTTGGCTAAAAGTGACGCTCATAAGGGAAAAGTCAAAGGATTCATTTTGGAACGAGGAATGAAAGGCTTGGAAACACCTAAATTAGAGGGCAAATTATCTTTAAGAGCTTCAACAACTGGAATGATATTGATGGAAAATGTTCAAGTTCCCGAAGAGAACATGCTTCCTGAAGTGGAAGGAATGAGAGGTCCGTTTTCATGTCTAAATAATGCCAGATACGGAATCGCATGGGGAGTATTAGGAGCCGCACAGTTTTGTTATGAAGCTGCTCGACAATACACAATGGATCGTAAACAATTTGACCGTCCGTTAGCAGCTAACCAATTGATACAGAAAAAATTAGCCGATATGGCTTCTGAAATTTCTATTGGATTAGCAGCTTGCTTGCAAGTAGGTCGTTTGAAAGACAAAGGCTTAGCTACTCATGAAATGATTTCTTTGATTAAACGAAACTCCTGTGGTAAAGCCTTGAAGATTGCTCGAATGGCTCGTGATATGCTTGGTGGAAACGGTATCTCTGATGAATATCATGTAATGCGCCATGCAAACAATTTAGAAGCTGTTAATACCTATGAAGGAACGCATGACATTCATGCTTTAATACTAGGGAAAGCTATTACAGGAATACAAGCATTCTTTTGAATGAAGTGCAATTGACAACTTGAGCTTACAATGTTAATATGTAGAGACTCAAATACACTATATTTTTACCTTCTTTCGGTTTGAGTTTTGGTTTTCTTATTTTTATTTTGTTTCATACAATTGAAATATAACTTGTAAATTTATTGTTTCTCGGAACGAAAAAATTTAATTTAATTTCATAAATATCTTATTTGTTTAAACATATTCAACCAATTTCACAAAAGTGACTCTAATCTTCAATTTAAGATATTTTAAGATTAATAAAGTGAATAGGGAATTTTACTCAAGTGTTATTCAATCAGGGCAGTTCTTAAGAATACAAATGATTGTATCAGTTTCAAATAATTTTATATTGTATGTTATTCGCAAATGTAAAAATTATTTATTGATGTTTAAGATTTAATGAATACTTTATATTATGAACACATTGATACAATTGTAACAACACTTTGTTCTTGAAAATTAAAGATTTGACTTACACTAAATCGTCAATTTGTTATTTATTATTGTGTATTATCTACAAAATCTGACATGGTTTGTAAATTTATGATGAAAAATCTATTTAATCTGTCAAAGTGGCATCTAAACATCATTATATTATAGTATTACATTGTAAGAAAAGTCACTAACTAGGTATCTTTGGCATAATCGTAGTTCAATCCATTCATGATTTGCTTCAATTACTTCAAGCTGTAATGTCCACTTTCATGGATTGCCTGTTGGTGGTAGTTGAACAGCAAGTGATGTAACAAGTATGAAGTCAAGTATTAGAAATGGTAAAGCAACTTTGGCATCATCGGGAGTATAATCATCGAGATCAGCCGAATGCCTTCATTTTAATGCTCAATCAATAGGGATAAGTATAACAAATGACTCGTTAAGCTCTGGTCAAATCGGTAAATAAAATACGTGAAAGTTTTTATCGCTTCCATTGAGTGAACACAAAATGTTTTTATATGATTTGTTTGGGAAACAAACATGACATGATTGGAGATGCAAGCATCATTGACTGATTTCCAATCAGTAAAGTTGAACTGATCATCTCCAAAACTCCCAAGCATCGTTATTATCCTCCATGATTTTCTTTCTAATCTTTGTGATCAACCAATGTGGTCTTTCATGAGCAGATAAATCTTCAAATTCAGAAATATCGACCTTTTAATAGAGAGAAAAGTGAAAGAGTGAGTAAAATAAATTGCAGATTTAAATCGAGTCTGAATAAAGACCAGTGAATCACTTACCAGAACAGGTGTAATGCCAAGTTTCCTAATAAGACGTAACTTAAATTGAATTTTTCCTCTCAAATTTCTTGAATGATTAGAATAAAAGTATTTATAGGCTGGTACAACGGTAACTCTGTCAATTGAAATAATTAAAGAAACGTTGGGTTAGATAATTAGAATATCATGAAATATATAAAACACTGCGTTCTCGGTGCATCATTATTTACTTACATTTTGGCTTCAGAAGGCACTGGAATCTCGTATAGAAAATTTATTTTTGATTCATAATGAAAATTAGATTCTAAATTTCTTATAGCAACTGGATATTCACCACGTCTAAATACAAGAAGATGGTGCATCAAAAGACCAGTTTTAGTCCAGACTCCATGGACAACAAACTCTGGTCCACCAAAGAGGGTTTCTAGAGTAGACTGTAATGGTGATATTGGTCCGAATCGCAATTCTCTATTCAATTGTACAATAGCTTTTGATACGAGAGGATAAAATTCTCGTTTAATCGACCATTTTTGATTGCCATTGTCAGCTTCATGAGCTAGTCCAGAGTAGAGGGTTAGTAGACGTTTACTTGAGCTGAATTTTTGTGGGCTGTCAATGAAGATTTAATGAGATCTGCATCAAAGTCTCGAATTTTAGAGTAATCTTCTAAAATTGCAAGACGAGAAAGTAATGATAAAGACCTGTCAACAGGAACTTCAGTCAATTTCTTAGGGTGTAGAAGAATGGACAAAAATTTATCCCAATTTGCAGTTAATGGTTTATGATAACACTCAGCCATCAAACGAATGTATGGAATAGGTGAAATTTGACGATCTTGAATATAGGCATTGGCATTTCTTATTACGATTGGAGCAATAGTATCGATAATAGATGGACAATAAATGCGGAAACGATTTATAAGAGTCAATAAATTTTGCCAGCTATGTAGATCCAGCTTATGACGATTGAAATCAATTTCACTTAGAAAATTAAACCAAAAAGATGCTTGATTAAATTTGTTTGCTTCTTTGAGTAGCATCCGAAAGAAACAATCAGAAATATATTGAGTACTCGAAGGATTTGCTCTCATATTTGAATTCGTTAATCGACCAGTAATAACCACTGATAAATCAATTAAATCGCGATATCTTTTGATTGCCGCTTTGTCTTTGGAGGCTACAACTGCGCTCAATATTTTCGCACCATTGGTTGAAGTTAAACCAGCAATAATATCGGTAGAGTTTTTACTCCGCATATAACTGCTCATACTAACGATTGATTTTGAAAGAATATCAATTGCTTCCTTCGCAAATAATTCTTTGTTGATCCGGCGAAATACTTCACACAAAGTAACGATATCTGTTTCATCAAAGTGAGAAGTTTCTACTCGAAAGGCAACATTGGATATTAAAAGATGTCTAGCTCGAAGCACATCATCATTAAGTACATCAAATTGGCCAGTTATGTCCGATCCTTCTTCAAGTAATGGAACTCTAATTGCTTGTAAACTTTTGTAGAGATTAAAGACTTCATCAAATGATAGCTCATCTATCTTCCTGATCATTTGCTTAGCAATGTACTGAAGCATAGGTATTTTTGAGTCAACACGAAGCTGGGACACAAAACAGGAAACATCGGTTAGATTGGATATGTCTGATGTCATCTCTGGAAAAGCCAACAACATATTATGAATTAATTCAAATTCTTCAGGAGATAAATGATATTCATAGATGTAACCCGCACAGCTAATTTGTTTAATGAAAGTCTTCAAGCGGCCCAGATCAATCAAGTGTCGGTAGGTTCTAAGAATATCAACCATTTGACTAGGTGTTTTGCCTTCCAAATGCAGGCGAAATTTTTCATCGATTTGTAAAGTTCTATCTTTCGATTTATCATCTCGCAGACTATCAAATCTATCTTTGTATGCTCCATCATTAACTTTTGTGTGAAGTCCATTGTTAAAGCCATTATTGTTGCTTATTTTTCTTCTTAAATTAGATTCAGTCAGTAAAGTTTTGGAAATACTTTCTGGTTTATTTGTATCACTAGATCTTGGTTGTGTCAATGATGGACCGTTTAAGGCGATGTCAAAAAGTTTTTCCTCGTCTGCGGACGACCTGGTAAGGTAGCAAGTGTAATTTGTCGAGTTTTTAGACTTAAAACACCTCTGAAATGATTTACAGCTGATGGAGTATGGTGAGGGTGGAAATAATTTAAGGACAAATGATCCAGATTCTGAAAGACTACGAAAAACTAGCGGCGATAAAGGCCACATCACTAGGTACCACACTGCAAATTAATATTTGAGAAACATAATAACATTGATTGCAAACAGCAGAAAGTTAATCAATAAGAACACATTGTAGGGAACTCTCAAAATGATTACAAATAACAGTTTAACATGTGAGAAATCAGCTGTGAACAGCACGTTTTTGTCTGTATCAGGGATCATGTGAAAAAAATAAGTGGAGCCCAGAAAAGCTATTAAATTTTGAAAAATCAACTTATTCAGATTGATTTTAACATTTTTGGAATTAATTCATCATTTATTCATGTTTAACATGATCCAAAATCAATTTTTCTCATCGTATTTGGCGCTATAATTTTAAAAGTTGTTCACCACTTGCAGCTGATAATCTAATAGATGAAAACATACAAACCTAACTTTTTTACAATTTGTGTTTCATTCAAACTGTGAAAATTCTCGATTGATTAATTTCTGTAATTTAATCAATAGCCAGATATATTTCTGATTCTCCTAATGTACATTATCGATTCAAGATGACATCTGAAGAAGACAGTGGAGATCCCAAAAGGCCTCAATTTGGTAGTCGATTTTTAACTGATGATAAAGACGTTTTTTCACACAATGCATGGTTAGTCAATTATTATTGGTATTTGCTTTAAGTTGATTCTGTTTTAAGATGATTTTTAAATCTTTTATTAAAGGGATCAAATTGACTGGACTGAAGAGCAATTGGCTGAGGTTGATGAGAAAATCCAAAAGAATTCAGCTGATCGTGTTGATACTGATGTAAAAAATGATTTTTTAAGCAGAGCTGGTCACTATTGGAATAAATTTTATGAAACTCATCAAAATAAATTTTTCAAAGATCGCCACTGGTTATTCACGGAGTTTCCTGAACTATTATCAAAAGAAGTTGTCAATATTTTTGAAATTGGATGTGGAGTTGGAAACACTGTTTTTCCTCTTTTAGCACTCAGAGAGTAAGTTAGATTTAAATTCTATGCAAACATTTCTAAATCTTGTTAACTTTTGATTGCTTAGAAGTCCACAAACGATGATTTATTGCTGTGATTTCTCACCATTGGCCATTGATATATTGAAAGTAAGATTTTAAATTCAAATCTTAAAGATTTTGACCCAAATTTTCTAAATATTTCTTCAAATTTTTATATTTTGTTCTAGAGTAATGATTTATTCGATGAAAACCGCTGCAAACCATTCGTTTGTGATGTCACATCTGATGTATTGTCATTACCCTTTGATGAATCCAGTTTGGATGTAATTGTTTCTATATTCACACTTTCGGCTATCCCACCTAAAGAGTAAGAAAATTTTTTCTTTGATTATTATCATATTTAAGAAGTATTTTAATAGTTTCGTTTTTATCCCTTTTCAGTATACCCAGGGTAATCAGTAATTTATGTCGGTTCCTAAAACCAGGAGGATTATTTCTATTTCGTGATTATGGCAAATATGACTTGGCTCAGGTGCGGTTTAAGAAGGGTTCATGCCTCGAAGATAATTTCTATGCTCGAGGAGACGGAACCATGGCTTACTTTTTCACTGAGGATGAAGTTGATAAATATTTCGTTGATGCAGGATTAGTGAAAAAATCACTCATTACTGATAAAAGATTACAAGTCAATCGCGGGAAACAATTGAAAATGTATCGTATTTGGATTCAAGCAAAGTACCAAAAACCAGGCTGATATATCATATTTCACTGATTTCGGACCCAAATCCTGTTCTCAATATGATGAATTTATCATTTACTCATCTTGTAAATGTATTTATATTTTCTGAAAAATATCAAATGGAAATGTGATAAATTTGCCTTAAAGCGCTTACTACTAATCTAAATGATCTATGAAAAACAAATCAAAATCGAGAATAATGATGGATTGATTAGCCTGATTGGGAAATAGACGCGATTCTTGAACTTGAATCCAAAAATAAATTGGGCTTTGAAATCAGCTCGGCAGATAAATTATTGCTGATACAAAATAAACATACAGAAGAAAATTTTGCTTCAAAAATCAGAAATCAACTCAGACAATTTATTTTTAAAATAACCATGATCTGACAATGGTTAAAAAACAATCTCAAAAGAGTTGTTTAATCAGTAATCAAAAGTGAGGTATCTTTAGATATTAAAATTTCAATGTTTCATAGTTGTATTAAAACGAGCGTCAATGGAAGCGTCAAAGGTTAATTGGTTACATCGTAAAATGTTTTCCTTCATCGGAATAAAAAAGCTGTATTACAAATCCATTCATGGATTTTGAAGTTTCTCCACTTCGGGTTCTGCGATTCTTGCATCGTAATCAATGGGTCCAGCGCTACGACCATGCTTACGGCTTTCACTTACAAAAGCAAATGTAAACAGACCACAACTACCAAGAACAAGTAACCCTCCAAATCCAAACGAAAAGGGTCCTGAAATATAATTGAAGCAAAATTAGACAATCAGTTAAATAATCAATTCACATATCTCAATAAAACATTGAAGATTAATATTGGGAATAAACATCTTGGGTTCGGTTGGGAATAATTTCATGGTGATTGGTGTCTCACAATAAAAATTATAAGATCAATAAAAGAATCATATGAAACTGATGGGCTTCAAAGATATACAGAGTAACGTTTGATCGAGAATATTTAGGCCTCAAGATTAATCAAAAATGACTAATTTAGGAAATAATTATAAAATATCAGTTCACAATTAATTAGATATTCTTACATGACGTTTTTTCAACCCAAGTAAAGTATTGTTTGTTTATGGCGTAAGCTGAACAATATTGTGCACGAAGAAATGAAATGCTTTACTTATGATTCATTGACATTTTTAAAACTAAACTTGTCTCATACTGTATTTAAAATTGAATTTCAATTTTTGATCAAATATTTATGAACTTACCGACAACTCTTAATACATTTGATCCAATATACCTCTTGTAATTATCATCGTAATCGGGTGGAGTAATTTCTGTATAAGCAACAGCAGTGAGGATTGCACCTATCAACATGAGGAACAAGCCGAGTAGAGCAGAACCAAATGAACACCAAGTAACAGCGGCAAAGTTTCCTATTTTGGTATAAAAAGGCATGATTATGAGGTTGAAGATCAAAAACAGAATAAAGCGAAACTTATAAATCTACATTCAAGATGACTTCACTCAAATGTAATTTGAATATTTTAACCAAGATGAGAACGTTAAATGTTGTTATCTTTATTGTTAATAACCTGGTTTTTGTCAGTAAACATGGAAGAAGCAAGGTAAACTTTCTAGCTTTACTGATTGTGATTCTGCATTTATGATGTCGATAGTTATTATCTCGTTTTCATCTATTTGTTGTAAACATCCAACACATTTCAAGATTAGCTGCTAACAGTCATTTCAGATTGAAAAGATCTTGACTCACAATTAAAGAAAGCAAAGAAATTGAAAAGACTCATGTCAAAATGAAACCTTCAAAACCTTTGAAATGACCATTAAAAAGTTGATATTTTATCAAAATTGCTATTTGACAATAAATAGATATTGTATAAAATTTCAGTTTTCATTGTCAAAGCGATATTATTAAAAAAAATATTGTACCAGGTCCATCAGACAATAAGACAATTATCTAGTTTATAATTTGAAATTAATTTTGTTTTCACTGTTTATGGTGCTTTAGCTTAAACTAACAATATCACTGTGGAAGGAAGGTAAACATGATAGCCAAGATAGTCTAATGTGAATAATCCAATGAACAAACCTTTTGATTTGATATAAAAATCATTCAAAAGTAAACTGATTAACAAATATGAAAAACAAAACCAAAAAATTAGGACCAAGAATTAACTTTAAATCGATCAACATTTTTCCTTTTTGTTTGTTTTTAATAAATATTATTTATCGATAAATATCGATAAATTTCAAATGAGTATCGATAAATATCGTTTCATAACAATACTATTGTATCATTAAAATTTCAATAAAATTTGATTAAATTTCCTAGTTTCAGTTCAAATTTTCAAATACATTGGCTTTTCATGGTTAATTATGACATGTTAAGTCACTTTCATCGGGAAAATATCAACTGTATCCCTCGATAATCTGATAAACGATACATTTTTCAGTGTGTCGAGAAGAAAAAGTCTCACAACAGACATCTTTGTCGACAGGCAAAAAGAGAGTGACCTGTCAGCCCCTTTTTTACTTTATCTTTCTTTCTTGGATTTTTCTTCTTTTTTGAGAAGAAACTTGCAGTAGGTTTTCATGATTGTAAACAATTTTTTTTCTTTATTATTTCAGGCAGGCTAAATAGTACATTTTAATTAATTATTGGGGACTAATAATTGAGTTGCTGTTTTCCCAGTGCTATGAGTGAGAAAAAGTATCATTGCCCAGTTGAGGGTTGCTCTTTCTCAGAGCAAAAGGGTAAACACTTTAAGCGTAAAATGTCCATTGATCAGGTAATGTGAATAAATTTTAGTTTTGATCTTTATTTTCATGTTTACTTCAATCGTATTTGTTCAAATCTTCAATCCCCTGTTTATTCTCCTAGTCCATTTATTGTCTTTATCTTTGCCTTATCACAATTATTGTCATTATTGTTCTCCTTTCCTCAGGAAAAAAATTTTGTACTCCATTTATTGTCACCCAGAAACCTATTCTGTTCATTTATAATCGATTCATCGTTACCATTGTACAAGTGTAGGATGTTAATTGAATTATTTTATCTATTTTTTCTTCACAGCATTACCTAAATTGTCACTCTGAAAGAAAGTACCAATGCTTCAATTGCGAAAAACGCTACGCTATTGATTGGCAATTAAAATATCATCTTAAAACATGCGGTCTAATTTGGAAGTGCCTAACCTGTGACAAATTTTACAAGGAAAGATTATCTTTAATCACTCACTGTACACGACACTCTCATGTTTTACCAGAAGAAGCGCGTCGAAGAAAAACGAAAATAAAAAAGGAAGATAAATCGAGTAGCAACAGTAGCAGTGGTAGTAATAGTAGCAAAGACAATAATATGCAGGTAATGATTTTTCCTGTTATGATGCCAACAACTCAGGCCAATAACATTCATCAAACATCGTCAAGCTCATCTCGTCACCAATCTACTTCTTCCTCTTCGTCCTCTTCTAACTCAATGTCTAACTCGTTATCATCTCGACATCATCACCAAATTCAACCACCAAAACATTTACAGCAACCTAATACTAATCGAGCTCACCATCATCAACCAACCCATCTGCACAAACCTTCTTTTCAAACTCCAATAGCTCCACCAGCAGTTGATCATCATTTTAATCAAAGAATTATGGCAGATCTTTATCGAACCATGCAAATGGATCCACCACAAATGATGGATCCAAATATAGGTTATATCAAAGATACAACAGGACAGTTGGACGTTGATCACCTGAAACATGGGTTACACAATTTTCCACCACCTCGAGCTCATATCTGGTGATTAACCAAAATTTTGTTTAAAAAAAGATTCGAAGAATCTCGATTCTGAATCGCCTGATTTTTACGAGGTTTACCCGGATTCAAAACATTTGATTCAAGGGTCAGATATTCAGTTACAGTGATCTCTCTCAGAGCTTCGAAAGCCATTTTTAGGTAACAGAAATCATTTCTAATCTAACTCTATGTAAAAAGCTAATATTCACTCATTTCATTGCAAGATTTTGTTGCTGCCATCTACCAATTTCGGCTCTCAGAAAGAGGTTTTGCGAAAGATCACTGTTCAACATTAAATATCATACGATCATTTGATTATTTATTCACATAAACATAAACAATCAACAATGATAGAGCAAATTGTTTCTAAAAAGAAACAAAATTTGGCAGATTTGAAAGTAATCTATTAGACTTTCTTGTCTGAATGAACTATGTTAATAACCACTCTGTTTTAAGGTAAAACGACATGTTGATGCTACATTCATTTTAAAGTCAACTTGGTTAGTATCGATGTCACTTTAATACAATGTACATGCAACTTCTGATATTTGTGCCATTTGAAGAGATAGAGCTTGATCAGAACCTATCAATTTTATTCGAAAAGTTTCCTATTCAACTTCCAAGCACGCCTGACGCATCTATTTGGTCACGAACATGCTACAGCTTATAAAATCGTCCTTCTCTTGGTGAATTTCTTCCAAATCATTTCAATTTTTGTCATTTATCATCGCCATATTTAGTACAATTTCCTTAGATATTTCCCAGGATTTGATGCTTTATAGCTTTATAGCTTTTCTCCGATCTTCCAATTGTTTTATCTGCGTTCAATTGATTTTCTCTTCTCTTCCGATTTGACTTCAACTAATTTCTAATGAGCTTCAACTCGTTAATCTCCTCTTAACAAATGCAACCAACGCCTGAAATAGAAATTTTACTTGATCAAATAAGTACTGAATTTTAAATTATACTAATCAATAAATTGTAAAAAAATATGAAAGCTCCAATAAGTTACTGGAAATAAAAGTAATTACTGTAATCTCTTCTTTTTTTTCTTGGCTGCCTTTTGGATCTAAACAGAAAACTAGTTATTCATCACTGACTTTTCAATCAACGTTGAAAAATTCAATAGGTTTTTTGCTATAATCGTTACATTACGATTTTTTCTATGTGTTAGAGCAAATTGTTAATCAATTTTCAAACTAATCGAAGTAAATTAAAACCAATCTTCCCTAAACATGTGTATTGTCAGCTGTGAACAGCACGTTACCATACTGAAGGGGTGATTTTGAAAAAAATAATGGAACCTCAGACAATCATTAAGAATATAAAATTGAGATTAAACTTATGCTACTCAAGATCATCTTTGAAATTTTGCCACAAAATGTCTATTTGTCATACGATCTAGAATAATGATTGACACATGATCAATTTTTTTGGGAATCGATTAAAGGGTGTTGCGATTAGTAAAGTTCAAGCAATCACTTTCCTGAGTTTTGAAAAGAAATAAGAATGATAATGTCCTTGTGACGATTAAAATATTGTGTCTTTGCTATCATTCTTGTTTCGGCGTCTTAAAATCGTCTTATCTCTAACATTTAGGTGAGAGATTGTTTGAACCTTAACAACCACAACACCCTTTGTTTTTTATTAAAGGGAATTGTGACACTGAAGATTACAATTAACAGAGGAAGAAACTGTTGCGATCACAACAGATATTTGGTTTCTGAACAAAGTCAGGCAATTCAAATATAAGTTTGATTATTCTAACAGACTCTTGGAAAGAAAGGATGAAATAAACGCATCAATGTGATGTATAAAATTACCATGGTAGGTAATGCACTTGGTCCAGAAAAAAAACAAGAGTGAAGAAAGGAATTAAATTAATTTGTAATTAAAGATTTATGTACATTGAGTTTTTCTTGTATGGAGTGAAGATAGAAGCCAACAACAAATCATAAAGAAACAAGATTGAGATGGAATTGATGAGATTATTCAGTTAACGATTTTATCAACAATAATTTTATAAATTTTTTAGTTGCATTAATGAAGGTCAGACGTAAGATAATTAGCCGGCACATATCCCTCTGACCCTAAATGATTTCTTATAAACCACCATTCTGAGTTGCCATTTAAATCACTTTTATGTAAAACCAAGACTGGAGCTCCTCTGCTAAGGGATACTTGATATGGTCCTTTTGGATTGAAAGGATAAGCTGCTTTCCAAGTTTCATTGATAGGTGTTCGACGATCATTCAAATTTGTAGCTGCAATAGTATCTAAATTTTCATACCTTTCTTCAGGTATATTTTCAATGTCTTCATATCTGTGAGGCTCAATCGGAGATGAATTTTGTCTTATTTGTGACACCAATGGATCAAATTCATCAATATTTGAATAGCGAGCACTTCCGTAATCAACAGAGTTACGGCCAGTTTGTGCTAAATTTTGATAGAAACTAGCCATTCCTTCTTTAGAGACTGGATCATAATAAATGCCGGCATCAATGCTGGTTGACCGGGGAGGAAGAGGAGGCGGTGGTGCTGGTGCTTTAATTGAAAATGATTCGGCCCTTTGGATAGATGAATTGGGTGGTCTTGGGGCTGGACGAGTTATTGTCCGATTAGATGAGCTTCCTAAACTTCCAATAGTTGCATTAGTATTTGATGAAGATGATGAACATGATGAATTACTTCGTTGAACATGATTAGAAGTTGATGAAGAGAGCAAGTTTAATTCAGTTAATCCGTTAGACTTGGGTAAAGTATCAAAATTATTTCCAGGTCCAATGGTTCCAGGACAGGGAGAAAGAACATTTTCAGGAATAAAACCTTTCTCTGTTCCATTGTCGACAAACCAACGATGACAGTTGCCAGAAGGATCTTTATATTTAATAACGCCAACTAAATCATCTTTTCTCACTGATAAACCTGCTACTTCAGTTGTTTCATAATTACGGTTAACACGGTACACATGGCCTTTGAAATTATTTTCAATATGGTAACGGTCAGTTTCACCTTGTTCTGAAATGACAGATGATTTCCTCAATAAAGTTGAAGATCCTTTGGTATTTTTACAATCTCGTGAGCTTCGTCGATCCAAGGTTCGAGAAAATCCCGTAACAGTTGCATTAGGGAATAAGTTGACGGGAATCAGTTCAAAGTCTTTGACCATTTGGTCGACAATTAGATTATACTTGATTTGAAATGTTTCAAATACTGATGTTGAATTCAATGGTGATGAACCCAACATGGATGGCAAGTCCAACAGTTTCATCATTTCTTCAGTTATTTTGGCGAGAAATAATTTCTTTATCTTGATTTGGGCGTGAACACAACCTTGTATTATTTCAACTGTTCGTGCGGTGAATAAAGGTAGCTCGTCTAGAAGTTGTGCATTTAATGCTTCGTAATTGTTTTTGGCCATAATTTGTTCCTCCTTGAGGCTTCTCTGTTTACTTGGATCTTTGTTTGACTCGACTTTCTTTGTGGCTGCATCATAATCCAATAATTTATCATTACGTTTTTCAATTAATTTAATTGGATTTTGAAATCGACTTAATAGTTGCTTTAAAATATTTATCACATGAAGTTCTAATGCATTTTTCATTGCTTCCCAATGTTCAGTTTTCAATAGTCTTTGACAAGTCCTAAACTCTTCAACATCAGATTGATTACACTTTTCTGCATAAAATGTGGCAACATTTTCCGATACTTGAAAGCAAGTATTGACAAACTCTTGCATTGATTCAATAAAACAATGTAAATCTTTTAGAAAGATTTTAATTGTTTTCTCTACTATTTTAAACTTATTTGCTTCCTCTTCAAATTTTTCGTCCTTTATTCCGGTTGAAAAACCAAATGTTGTAGTTAATCGGGAACCTAATCGGGCAGATTTTTTCATTACAGTGTGCAGATTGAGCTTGGATATTTTAGATGAAAAACTTGAGCTGTTTCCTTTTCTGTACTTGAAGACAAGATCTTTACGACGCTTAAGTTCATTAATATCTTGAGCCATATCAGTTATCATGTGAGCTGCTTTTATAATGTCATCACGATCAGGATGAGTCTCATCTGTACATTTGAGAAGCTCATTCAAAAGTAATGGATACTTGAGTATTCTTTGAACAGGTTTAATTAGAAGGGAAGGAACATCAAAACAATTAGTCTCAGATTTTATACGATCTAATCCTCTTTGAAGTATAACTCGGATCTCGGGATTTTCCTCATAACGTTTCCATGCTGTTGGTACATCTTCATGGTCACGACAATATACAATGTAAGCTTGCTTCATCTCGTCTTGAAGAGTAAGAAAACATTTACCTATCATTTGATTTTCTGGTTTACGACACAAAGTAGATTCCTCGAGAGAACGAGTCAATTTTTCACTAACAGTAATAATTTCTTCAAAATTGCAGAAAAGAGATTCCAAGACTACTCCTTTTTCAATTAATTGGTTTTTTACAGTCGCGTCATGGAGAAAAGTTTTAACACAAACACGCAAATCTTGACAGTAATCACGCTCTGACTGAAGCATTTCTGTAACAATGCAACTTCGTTGTTCCATCATCTTTTTTCTTCTAGCTTCAGTTCGATCATCATCCCCTCCAGTTTTCGTAACAGCTTCAGCTCCACTATTGCGATTTGATGAATCTGTTACTCTAGCAGGTAGTGGTGTAGATTGAACGTTAGATGAAGTTCTGATTGGAACTTGAGGGGAAGGCGAGGGTGGTAATCCAAGAGAAGATGTCCTCGGCGAAGGCGTAATTAAAGGGGGACTTTTAGATGTTGGTAGAGGATGACGAGGGACTGGAGGACAGGGTCGAGCTGGAGTGAGAATTGAATTGAGATGAGCTGGAGAGACTGCTTCTGCGTTTGAATATTGGCCAGGTTGAGATGTTGAATTTAATGATAGGCGTTCAACATCTTGAGTTAAAGGGCTAACTTCGGGTTCGTCGGGACTGAATTCCAGTAGATTCGTATTTTGGTTTAAACCAGTTGAATCAATTTGATGTGTGTTAGTGGGTAACGTGGTGTCTATAACTTCAACGTGGTTTAGAGGTATAATCCCTTCTGTTCCAGAATCATCAATCACCTCAACCCAATCATTATTGAAGCCACGCAAAAGTAAAACTGTAGAGCCTTCTTTAACAGATATTTCTCCCTCAAACTCTGCATCAAAATTAAACAAGACACGACCATACGTATCAGGAGGATAATCAAAGACAACCAAGGACGCAGCTTTCCTCCTATCCATACAGTCTACTATAATTTTAACAAAATCCTTAGGAAACATTCCAATACGCCCATCAATTTCACCGAGAATCCAATTTTCTTCCGCATCAGCATATTGAATAAGATGAACAATTTCACCAGGAATTAAAGAAAGTTCATCATCTCTACGAGCATTGAACGGAAATATCACTTTAGCATAAGATTGAATCCCATCAATTGATAAATTTTTTGTGCTAGAACTATCAGAACGGATTGATTCTTCATAGCTTGGAGGTAGATCATTGATTTCGTTCACTAAAGGAGTTGATGATCGTGAAACAGAAATCGCTGAAGCAAACTGTGACACATTTGACGCTTGATTCTCATAAGTGTGATATTGATGTTGCTGGGTGGAATTTTCTTGAGCTGTTGCATCTTCTTGAATAGGAACAAATCTTCTAGAGAATACTTCAACACTATTACTTTCTCCTTGATGATGCATGGTTGATTTGAATAGACAATAGTTGAATTTTAAAACTGTTTACACTTTTCAGAAAATAGATATAACTTCCTCCAGGTAATTCATCTATTGGATAAAAAAAAGGAAAAAGAGACAGTCGTTTAGAATATTAGATCACAGAAAAGGTTCAAATTACTATGAAAAATGCATGCAATAAAGATAAATTTGATGGGAATAATAAAAGAGAAGCATGAAATGGCAAAGATCAACTAATAGGCATAGAATTACATTTTTATTGAGGTCTATTGGGCTCACTAGATTAATAGATTCAATATAGGCATCCTCTTTTATTTTTTTGAAAAAAAACAAATTAAGGTTAAGAACAAGGAAAGTTGTTGAATATAATTTTAAAATGGGTGAACATTACCAATAATAAGATCTAAAGATAATCTCATATTCATCTGAAAACATGAACTAAGGTCAAAAGGAATGAGAAATTTGAAAAATAAAATTGTGATCTTACCTTTTGAATAAAATTGCAAAAGGCCAAAAAATAAATTAAAGCAAAAACGATGCTAAATAGCGACTTAATAAACGAAAAACATTGATGGAATAGATAGAAGCACAAGTTCTCATAAAATGTTTACATGTATAAAATGAAGCCAATTGATGAACATAATTTGAATTGAATTTCCAGAGTGATTCACTGATCATGCACAATCAAGCGTAATTGTTGTTTGGAATAAATAATTGTTCAAAGTTTATAATAATTTAATATAAGTAATTCAAAACATCATTATCTTGTAGAGTAAACGTCAAAATGACATGAAACACAAATGTTTACTTCCTTAATTGTTCCAATGATTGTACAACCAATGAGACAAAAACAGCTTGCGCGGTAAATTTAACCTGTTCTCACTAAAAAGTACATTCGTAACATTTAAAAATGAATCCTTCTTTTTAATTTCGATTGAATTTTGACTTTTTAAGTAACCAGATCAGAAATTGGAATTAATAATCAGGGGAGTTAATAAGTCAAATTCAATTATGGTGCCACTATGAGAATGAATATCTAATTGTATCAAACCATATTTAAGGGTTCATAGCTTGTATCAAAACAGTTTTTGTGATCGGTTTTTTATTTATGAATCAAACAAAACAAAAATTTCATGATTGATCTTTCTTCTCGAGATAATTGAAGATCTTTTAATTTCATTAATATCAAGGTGATTAATAAGAAGATAATTAAAATCAGATAAAAATTGGCAACCTTCTTGTATTTACCGCTGGAAGTTTGTTGTTATTTTTATCAACTGTTCAGCTGGTGATGGTTCAAAAGCGTGCTTATTTGAAATGTTTTTATGAGATAATTTATTCTCGAGGTATCGATTGTATACCAATTAAATAACCTGATCTGGTGGTTTTCAAAGATATTTTCAAACTATAATGCAATGAGTAGATCATTTGTATCCAGAGTTAAAGGAATTGTTCCCATTTATAAGGAAGCTGGAATAAGCAGTTTCACTATTTTGAAATGGATAAAACTTCATATTGCTTATGGTAAGTTAACTTTATATTTCTCTAATTTTGATTCCAAGATAAGATCACATCCCTTAATCTTTTCTTTTTGTTATCATTTTCAGAAAATTTCGGAGGCAAACATTGGTATATACCACATGTAGAGAGTTATCGTAATTTAGAACCGTATGCATCTGGTGTTTGCAGTAAGTTTCTTGAGACATTTAATTTACAAATACAATTAAATCCTATCTATATATGTACAGCTAATTGTATATGCATAGTCTGTAGTGATTATTTACTAATTTATATATTTTTAATATTTTGTGAACAGCTGTTGGCATTGGAGGACCTTCTTTATACATTAAATATTTGCAGTTCTGTGATTGTCGATACTCTGTTAAGATAAAGATGGGCCAGTCAACGACCAATGATTTCTACAAAAGTGATATCATAGATACAAAACCATTTAACCATGTAAATTTAGACGATGTTAAAAATGCCTGTCTCTCTTTCATTGGAAGTCACATTCAAGTTATGCCTTTTGTTACATTCAGAGAACCTTGCTCATGGTATGAACTGGATACTCTTCATAATGAAGAAGCGGATAACTATGGGGAAAACAGAGATTTAACGAGTCCGAACTTTTGGAATGGTGAAGATCAGATGAGATACAAAGTCAGAGATGTAGTCCATCATCGGAGAGTTACGTGCCATTCAATTGAAATTACCGATTTCGATCCTCCTGATATCTCATTAGAAATATTCTGTGGTACAACATTTGTAATTAGATCATTTGTGAAAGATTTATGTGAAAAATTAGGTACTTGTGGTTCAATCGTGAAATTAGAGAGAACTCAAGAAGGTCCATTCACACTTGACCATTGTATTGACAAAACTGATTTGTACTTGAAGTACTTGAAGCCAGCTTTACAAACCAATACAGTGTTTTATATTGACCATGTAAGGCAACATTTAGATAAATTACCATTTTATGGTGATAAAAGAATTAAAAAATAGTTATAATTATAATAAATCATAGCTTTATGATGATTTTATCAAAAAGTTATCATATTTATCTAAATCATAAAATTGAGTATAAGAAGACTAACAATTTACTCATTTAGTTGTACTTCATGTTGGTAAAAAACTACTGTGACACACATTTTTATCTACTAATCGTGAATTTATTGGCAAATTATGATTTGATTAACATTTGTGATCTACTGAAGCAAACTTTGAGTAAAGCATGGAGTGAGGATTTTTTGAAGCGCCAAATAATAAGAGCTAGTGAGCAACTGACATGATAAAGTTCACAGCATTTCTAACAATTATTTTGATGATAGTTATCGAAATCAGTGTTGATAAAAAATAGCCTTATTTTTAGATATTGGATAGCTTTTAATGATAATCTATTGAGCTACAAAAAGCTACAAATTTTAAAATGGCCGAATATTATTCAATAATATCCCACTGATATGATGTTTCATTATGAGTCTTGTAAAAATTAATATGCGGCTTTGAATATGGTGGCACTTTTCAACAATCTAATGAACAGTTCTGTAATTTACTTGAAACTTGATTTGCTTTTGTTAAACACTCCAAGTAAATAATTTGTGAAATGGTTTTAAAACTCGCTCCTTGACTCTGTAGATTACTACTTACATTGAAAGGCCGCAGGAGTCCCTTGCTGTTGCTGGAATACAGGCAAAATGTTTTGCTAAAAAAAGTTTAGTGAGAGAGATTGGTTTTAAATTAACTTGTTTTTTCTTGGAGATTTCAGTTAATGATTATTTCAATTCATTATTTTTAATTAACCTGGTTTGTGGTTACTAAAGTAATTAAAAGAAAGATAAAAAATTAATGTCGCCCAACTGACTGATATTGCTGATTGAAGGATTGATGCTAAGTGATTATTGTATCTTTTGGTTGCACGCTTTCTAAATCCTCAGCAACTTGGATTACTTGTAAGGTGAGTTACATTTTATGTTTTGTTTTTTTTTGTCTTTTTTTAATTAATCAAACCTTTCAGAACTTGGTTGTCATCATTTTATTGCATATACATAATATTTTCTATTTTCTCCTCATTTCAGGTTTGCTCATTGTTCTTTTCATTGTGCTTTCCTTTCTCTTCTATGCTTCTAGGTTCATTTTTTTCTTTCTCTACTCGTTGCTGTAATAAGCATATTTATAAGTGATATTATTATTCTTAAACCAATTATCAAAGTGATTTACCATTTACCAGCTTAATCTGCTGTTTAAATATTCTGTGAATAGAGACTAGTTTCTTGGACCATCAGCAAAGTGATTCAACAATGACCACCACAGAGCCAGCAACAGACAAATCAGGACCAGTTGTCGAAACAGATGCATCGAATTCAAATAAAGCTATCGCGCTTAAAGATAAAGCAAACGAATACTTCAAAAATCAAGATTATTTAAAAGCAATACTTCTCTATTCTGAAGCAATTGAACTGGATGGAACTCAAGCGGCCCTTTATTCTAATAGAAGTATTGCCCATCTTCGGTTAGAAAACTTTGGCTACGCTCTATCTGATGCAACCAAGGCTATCGAATGTGACCCTAATTACGTTAAAGGTTATTATCGCCGTGCCGTATCTTATATGGCTTTGGGTAAATACAAAGAGGCAGTTAAAGATTTCGAACACATTCTAAAGATATCTCAAGCTGGTAAAGAAACCCGACTCAGATTAAATGAATGTAAAAAATTGCTTAGAAAACAAGCTTTTGAGAAAGCCATTTCAGTTGATTACGATAAAAGTGTTGCTGCATCAATTGATCCAGATCATATGCAAGTTGAACCCAATTACGATGGTCCACATATAGTTAACGGCAAAGTTGATCTCGAATTTGTTGTTTCATTAATCAAAACCTTTAAAAAAGGCAAAAAATTGGATAAAAAGTATGCTTATATGATTATTTTACAAGTAGCCGAGCTATTTAGAAAATGCGACTCTTTAGTCGATGTAAAAATTCCTGATGAATCCAAATTCACAGTATGTGGAGACATACACGGGCAATATTTTGATTTGCTAAATATTTTCGAACTCAATGGACTTCCTTCATCAACCAATCCATACCTGTTCAATGGTGATTTTGTTGATCGAGGATCATTTTCCGTAGAATGTATTCTTACTTTGTTTGCCTTTAAAGCTCTTTATCCAAACCATTTCTTCATGTCAAGAGGTAATCACGAAAGCCAAACTATGAACCAAATGTATGGATTCGAGGGTGAAGTAAAAAGCAAATATTCGTCCACAATGTATGACCTATTCACCGAAACATTTAACTTGTTACCTCTTGCTCATTGCCTTAACAAACGGGTATTGGTTATGCATGGTGGCCTTTTCTCCTCGGACACTGTCACATTAGATGATATTCGTAAAGTAGACCGATATCGACAACCTCCTGATGAAGGTATCATGTGTGAACTTCTCTGGTCAGATCCAATGGCCAAACATGGTCGTGCACCTTCAAAAAGAGGCGTTGGTATTCAATTTGGACCAGATGTGACACATCATTTTTGTGAATTTAATAATCTTGACTATATTATTCGAAGTCATGAAGTCAAAAATAATGGCTATGACCTAGCTCATGATGGTAAAATGATCACCGTCTTTTCAGCTCCCAATTACTGCGATGCCATCGGTAATCTAGGAGCTTACATTACCATGACTGGTAAAACTTTAATTCCCGATTTCCACACCTATTCGGAAGTGCCTCATCCTGATGTCAAGCCTATGGCTTATGCGTCAAGTTTTTTCGGATTAAGGGCTTGATGTAGTCCTGTAGTTAGCCTGAAAATAAACAACAACTACAAAGTAAAAATTGAATAAACAATAAAAACGAAACTTCTAACAGACCTTCGCAAACGAAGAAGCAAAATTTTGAGGTAAATGCGAAAATTTTCATGTATATATTGATTGATTAATCAAATAAATTTCTTTTGAAATAATCGATGCAATTATTTATAGAAGTGAAAATATTCACAACTTATTAATAATAAGCAATTATCATCTACGTTAAACTGATTGTTAGGCAACTCTAATCATACAAATTGATTACAAAAAAAAGCTACAATAAACAGTTTTCCGCTGTAACCAGTGTTGAAATTAATTCTGATAAGTGAGATGAGAAATATCAAATTTACTATTTAAAGTAATTAACAAATGTAAAAATAGTGGTTTGGATATTCTGGGTATGGAAGTTAACAACGTAAATTCAATTGTTTATTCCAACAAATTAATTGTAAAAGGATATGAGTTACTTACGCCATTAATGATTAAAAATATCCATAGTTAAAGTCTCGGCGGAGTCTTGAAAGATAATTAAAGGTCAGATTCTCAATAGATTTTCACTAAATCAATAAATAACCCTCTTTGAACATAACAAATAAAACTGTTTGGCAAAATGGTAGAGTGCCCTTCGAAGCTCGACAGATATGTAAGTGAAAATGTTCGTGCGATAATGAATTTGCAGCCAATAACGAAAGTTACAATTTTCAATAAAGAATAAAATATCCAAAGAAGAAATATTGAATGAGAACTATTAGAAATCAGATTGAAACATGGAAAGCGTAGTTTAAAATGATTAAAATATGAAAAGTTAACAAAATTTCGTATGAATAGCCCTTGGAGCTATTCTTTGATAGATTAAGCTTGGAATAAGGATTTCAACTTACTCATGTGTTGATTAGCTTTATTTTTTTGCTGTTTAACGCTACATTTCTGGTTTTGTTTATGTAATTCAGTAAGCTAACTAAACAGTTCAACTACCTTCGAATGCGAAACTTGAAATTATTAAAGGAATTATTGATCGTTAACATTGAATTTCTGTAAGGATGATTATAATTAACATGTGTCTGTCAACTGATGCTTTGATAGAAACTGTCAGCAATGGCTTTATTGGTGAGTAAATATCTTAATTAATTTTCTATTAACATGGTTGCTATGAACAAAAATCGTAGAAATGATGAATACCTATGGGTGCATGTTTCATCCAAGTGATTTAACATTACATTATTCTAGTATTTATGATCAATAATCCCCAAATAGCGAGTCTTAGATTTATCATCAATCGATGATGCATTTTGTAAACAACAAACCGATAAGTTATTTCTTTTGGAATCAGCTGCTGATTGTGTACCTTTTGCCGTGTTATGTTGTTTTCCTGAATGTTATACCATTATTCAAAGTAACTGGTGTTTAAAGATTTGTCCATACATTCAGCAAATCCTTGGCATTAAGGTTTTACGTCTACTATTGTAATAAAAGCTTACCTTCTGTAACTTTCAATCTTGTCCTCAGTATCTTTCAAACTGCTGAGACTTTTCATTGTGTAATTTGGCAACTAAAAATATGATCCATTCCTAATGAGACTATTTTTTTATTCAGTTTTATTCAACTTGCTCCACGTCGAAAGGGTAACATTGTTTCTTTTGTACTGTCTAAACTGTGTTGCAATCAGCACTCTATTTGAGTTTTCATCCAATTTCTTTCGTTAGTTGCGCATCTCTCACCAATTTAGCTGCTCAGTAGAAAAGTTAAGCTATACATTGTAAATCCCATACAATATATTGTATTGCAGCAGAAGAGACTGCCTTCTTTTTTTACTTTAATCTGATTTCATTTGAATTAATAAATCTTCTTTATCTGTCTCTCTTTTTAAATATGACTAGATTGTTCTTAGTCGACGTGCTCATCTTCCAGTTGGACCATTTGCCACCAAGCAAGCCCTAAATCAACATGTCAAGACTTTTCAAAAGACTTGTAATTTTTTGGTGAAAAATCTGTTACAACGAAGCAAGGGGGACGTTGTTGGTCGGACATTCCATTCAAGGTGTACCATCTTGGCTAATCAAGCATTATTGAATTCCAATTGTGAAGATAAAGTTGAAACTACCGGACAAAGGCTTGGAAAACAACCCCTTGGTCAAAATTTGACTGAAAATCACAATCATACAGTTAATAGTGATAAACTCGAAATGCTACCAGATCAATCTTTGGATATGAACCTCACACCTAGCAACAATTTTTTGGCAAGATTTGGTGTTATTACTGATGTCCAATATGCTGATTCAGATAATAAACCAGCTCATTATGATCCAACTAAAACAAGATATTATCGAGCCTCATTGGGTCACGTTGCTCATGCATTTGACCACTGGGATAAAGAAATGACTAAACCTTCCTTTGTTCTTCAACTTGGTGATATTATTGATGGATTGAATAAACGTACAAACGGGTTGGATCCATTGGATGCTATTAATAAAACACTGGTTGCTTTCGAAGCCCATCCAACAATTCCCACATTTCATGCTGTTGGTAAGTAGTGTTGGATTTTGGTGCAATCCTTTTGATTTTTTCTATAAATGTGCAAATGAACCTCGTATTAGAACGATTATTTTTTGGCATTAGGCTGTGATGTTAAGTTAAATCATTCTGAGTTTGAGAGCAGAGTATTTTAACATTTATTATTCATCATATTTTTGAACCTTGATAAGTCTATATCATCATTGTCCAATTCAAGCAGGGTAGAACAAAGAAGAACAGGTTCCAACTAGAATTAACCATAACCAATATTTAATTGTTCAGTTATTTCCGATGGTTCAAACAAGAGGCTTGTCTGGAAATGCTTGTTTGTTTAAATAAACTTGTGTTTGCATGGCGAAACATCTTCAAATACTTAAGCAGGAAAAAAGTACTCCAGTAAACGTGGTTAGCGACAGTAACACAAACAATGGCTGAAAATTTATAACTTATAATTTATCCACAATCAGTACCAATCAATTGTAAATAATACACACCCATGCCAAGCCTCTCGCGTGCTGATTCCTCAATCTAATTTGATCTTAGGTTTATAATCATTTTCAATAGGAAAAATCAAAAAAATTCTAAGAATAGTAACTGCGATAAACCTATCGCAGTTATTTTTCCGTTAATAATCGTATCTCAACTGTGCTTTCATCAGGTTAGATAACTCTATTGAATTTGTTCATGAATTATTTAGAATCAGTTCCTGTGAATCATGATCAAAATCATGTATTCTCATAAGATACTGCGATCTAACATATCTATGCTAGTTTAAAAATGAATTATCAATAATATTATTGTTAAATCTAAGTCATTGAAATGATATCAGTTCCAATGATCAAAATGGTATCAACATGATAGTTAGGCTTAAAAAGTGGAATGAATGGTATTTAACCACATCTGAACATCATCGTGATCGTCTTTGCGTAAAGTTACATAAGTAAATCATTGATATTAGTTAGCGTAACATGTACTTTGGACATTTTTATTTCAATGATTACTTCACACTTCAATAATTCGTTTAATTCACTGATTACACTTTATCAAATCTATTTTAATTTTCCAAGCAAAAATGTTGCCATAATTATTAATAACTAACTCTTATTTTTTGTCTCCTTTGCTCATTAGGTAACCATGAATTATATAATTTCAAGCGAGGTGAAATTGTTAGCCTCTTCCGCGATTCCCTTATAAGGAAGACTAAAGTCAAGACTGATCTGATGGGGCTAAATTTGAATATTAACGAAATTTCCGATAATCAAGCTTCACCTGACAGTCATACCCTTTATTATAAATTCAACCCTTCACCTAAATTGAAAATAATTGCTCTGGATTGCTTTGAAATCTCCGTTATCGGATATGACCCTAGTCATGAAAATTATCGTAAAGCTGAAGAGATACTCTTTAAATACCATGGCCATCGTGATTTTGATTTATGGGACGTTGATGATCATTTAGCTGAAGGACCTGAGAAACGGTTTCAACAACAGAATGGTGCTATTAGCGATGAGCAATTAGATTGGTTGGCAAGAGAATTGGAAGATTCTGATAGAAAAGGAGAGAAAGTTATCGTATTTGGCCATGTCTGTCTTCACCCTGGTTCTTGTGATTGGTCATGTTTAGTCTGGAATTATGATAAAGTTATCGAAACCTTTCATCGCTACAATTGTGTGGTTAGCTACATGTCTGGCCATGCCCATAAATTTGGACACTCGGTTGATGAAAAGGGAATACATTATATTGTTTATCATGGAGTAATCGAGACTTCACCGACTAATGAAGCTTTTGCAACTGTAACAATTTATGAGGATTGCTTACAAGTTGATGGTTATGGATTAGAAGAAAATTTAAATCTTGCAATACCATCGAAAATCACTTCACCCAATGACACCAATAATTCTGCTAATTATGAAATAAGCGACTTTAATGGAACCACTGCTGCAACTAATATACCAACAACCATTTCTGTTACTGTTTGATTGTACAGTTGAATAGTTTTTACCTGTTGTTCCAAATGCGCAATTATTCTGTATAATTGTTGACAAAAAAGAAATGAAAGATAAAAAAACATAACATATATCAACTGGTTACTTTACCTGAAACCTGCTTCAGAATAAAACAAAAACAAGAAAATTTTTTGAATCTGATTTAATTAAATTTTGATTGGCATAAATCGTGATTTTCTTGGTTGCTCTGATCATTTATCCGAATCTATTTTCGGAAGTTTTTATTTCAGATTAGATTTACAATAATCAAGGAACTACTGTTACATTTGGTCCATATTCAAAATCCATACTGATCAAACCAATTGTGATTTGATCACATATTAATGGTTCATTTTAATCATTGACAGATTGTATTGATTGGTTTTATTGATTGATTGATTTGATAGATATCTTATTTTCTTAGATCGATAAATTGATGCAACAAATTGCATTGAATTGGATTATATTTCACATTTTTTTCTATATAATCTTTGAATAATATCTAAATAATGATTAAAAATAAATTTATTTAATTCATCAACATAAATACACGTTAATTTAAAAAAGATTGTTGTCTTTAAATAAAAAAATTGAAAAAAATTAATAAAATAGATTTGAAAAAAGCGCTGTTATTTGAAAAATGCACCGCTTTATGATACTTGATATATCGATAAATGTAAAAGCTAATGGATCATTTAGATTTTGTATGACAGGAGAGTTACAAGATTTTATTGCTTCTCTTTTCTTCTTTCTTTCTTTCCTCTTTTCCTTGTGCAAATTTAATTATTTAATTAATTACATAAAATTGATACTGGTTTAATTATCATGTTTGGAAGAAATGGTTCCTTTTTTCTTCTCTGTTTAATATTCTTATTGTCATTAGTGAGACAACATGAATCTCTCAACCTTCCTGTACCTCGATCTGATCCATTTCTTTCCTCAATTCATGGCAATCAGGATGATTTGGACCCAGTTTTTGGTGAATCGGAGAGAATTATATTGACTCTTGATGAGGGGATCTGCTTGTCCAGTGAGAATGAAGATTTTCAGTTTGACGATGTTTGGGATTGTAACCTCAATTCAGTTGCCTTCTTACCAGCATCGCCAATCGCTCACAATAGCAGCTCTTCATCTTCATCATCCTCCTCCTCACCATTTGAATCAACCTTTGTCTCAACTTCTTCTAGTAACTTCTCTAATACTGAGCAAACAATAAACTCGTATTACGTCAACTCTACCGATGGAACTAGCAGTTTAATCTGTGAAACCTCATTAGGTGATAATCTTGGTCAGCTAACTCTAGAACCTTCAACATCGGTATCCTCTTTATCATCAGTCGATGTCAGTGGTTCTATTGCTTCTGGTGAGACCCTTACTCAAAATAGACCAATTTTAAACAATTCGCCTAGAACGCCAAGCACCTCGGGTGTTAGCAGCTCTTTAGATGTAGACTCATCTTCGGTTAGCTCATCAAGAAATGGTATTTGTCCGAGTTTAAGCAGTATTAGCAGCAGTAGCTATGAAAATGATAATCTCAATAATTATCGCAATATCGATGATTATAGCGATGATGAAAGTATTGCTGGTGCATCTGCTTTAGTATCTACTACATCCTCAATCAATGAAAATGGTTTCAGCCAATACTGTCACAATTCGGATGCTGTTAATTTTTATTCTCATGATGATATCTCTTCCGACAATATCGCTGAACAGGAAGCAGCTGTATCATTTATCGACCAATCAGTGTCAGATTTAAACGGTGCGTTATGGAGTAATTTTTCAAGTGGGGCTGATTTTGCAGAAGGATCTGACATTGCAATGGGAGGATTTAGTGGTGATAGTTATGCTGTCAGTGATTCGGTTGATACTTTTTGCAGCAATGTTTCCTTAAATAGGCCTGGGCCAGCAGATTCTGTTCGCCACAATCACACTTATACTACTCCAACACATCTTGATCCTGTCAATGACTTAAGAACCAACTCGATACATCACACCAATGGCCATTCTCCCCTTTCTTCTCTTTCACATCTGCCCTACCAGCAACATGTCAGTCTTAGACAACAGTTTGTTCTCAATGGAGGTCGATCTTCGAGAGGTTCTAAAACTGAACATACTCGAAGTAATTTCAGTGATACATCAGACGATGATCGAAGTATTACTAGAGATGAAAAACGTGCAAAGGCTCTTAACATACCAATACCTGCTGAAGAAATAATTAATTTACCAATTGATGAATTTAACGAGCGTTTAGCTAAATTTGAATTTAATGAAGTTCAGCTAGCGCTGATTCGTGATATAAGAAGACGTGGTAAAAATAAGGTTGCCGCCCAAAATTGTCGCCGACGTAAAATGGACCAAATACTAGATTTACAAAGTGAAGTGGGACGACTATATTCTCAAAAGAAAGCCTTTGAAATTCAACAAGAACAGTTGTTAGCCTTGAGGCATTTAGCTCAAGAAAAATACACTAAACTATACGATTTTATTTTAAGCTCATCTGAAAGTTCAACACCCCTTTCCAATTTCACAAGCAACCTCAATGATTATCCTCAATCAATGTTAGTCCTACCATCGGTGGAAAGTACTTCAGCAACAAGTAACTAAATAATTATGATAAGTTATTACAGTGACAACAACATCAACTACAAAAACAAGAATGAATAAAAGTTAACATACATGTAAACTAATTATGATGGTGGTGATGGGCAGCAAATTTTTTACCCTGAAAAAGTGTGTTCACATTCCCTGGAAAGCTTGTTTGCTGGTTAAATACTGGAATAGACTGAATTGAATAATTCAGCTTCTTTTTTGCAATCCCTGATAGATTCTTCAAACAGATGATGCTGAAAACAAAAAGAAAAAAGTGATCAGATCGGAGGAAAGGAAACCCCAGTTCAAAATCTCATGTCTTGTTAATTGATTTCATATTCTCGAGGAAAGAAGGAAAGAACATTTTTGATGACTTCTAAAGGCTTTAACTAATTCTCAAAAGTTTGGATTAAAGGATTATGGTGACTGACTTTTCGTAATCAACTTATGTTGATCCATTATAATATTGTACATTGTGAGTCAAGCTCTGGATTCGTGCTGATGGTTTAACAACTTCAAATCGAATCCTAAATATTCTGGATTAAGTTCAAAAAAACCTCAAAATATAAGTAAAAAAAAATTAGCGCAGCTTTCTCAATATTGAAAGAGAAAGGGAAAGAGAAAGAGAAACCACGAAACTATTCAAAACCAACCTTCAAGAGGATAAACTGCATCAACATATTATCGATCTGATTTCCAAAAGGATTAGTCAACTGACTGAACAAACAATGATTCGGGGTAATTTTTCAAAGATCAAAAGCTACAAAAAAAATAGGTAATGATTAATTCATTAAGATAAACACAGACAACTGTGCCTCTTAATTATGATAATTGATAAAAGGAGAAAACTGGTGAGGAGCTGATAAACTTAGTTAATGGACAAATGTTTGCGTATTAAAGGAAAGGATACATCAATGGAGATCCAAGCAATTACAATAGGAGCAGTTGGTGAGGTGTTAATAAGAGAATCAGTCAATTACTATTTACAGACTTTTATAACAACTATTTTTGACTTACAAAAAATTCAATATTTCTTTCATTTTCATGTTCTCTCTTCTTGAATTAACTAATCTTTTCTAACGATCTACTCATAAAATTGAAAAACGACATTTTTTCCTCCTTTGCTGTCATCAATCCAGCTTTTAAAACTTTTGATAGTTGAGACTTTACCTCATCCTTTATCAACTATTTTACTTTTCTTTACTTCTCAAGACTTCAACATTTCACAAAAAAAAATCCCCACTAAATCTCTTTCTCTTTCTCTCTCTCTCTCTCTTTTCTATTTTCTAGTCTTATTACTTAATACTTTTATGTAAAATATACCTCTCTTTGTCCTTTTAACCCTTTTTTGATCGAAATTTACCTGTTTCTCGGTGAAAAGTGAAGACTAGATAAACAAAAAGACAAAAAAAGATGATACAAAAATTACCCTGACTCAATATTCATTTCAACTTACCGGTTTAACAAGTGAGAAAGAGAGACGCTTTAAAATTGAATACATTTCTGATTGTGATTTAAAATTAAATACAATGTTTCAAAGTGAATGATTGGTCAATTATCATTCAATATGAGATGATATCTCTAAGTCGGTCAAGACTCCAAAAATGGCTATCTTCAATAATTATGAAAAGCAAATAATTATCTTCTAAAAATTTTAGAATTAAAAACAACGCTCTCATTTGACCTTACACAGGTTAAATTGTAAATATTGGTTTTAGTGGCCATCCTTGTATCAAATTCATCCTCATCCTTTTTTTATTCAACGCAAAATCAGTGGAATCCTTGAGAAGATGAAATTTCAATCAATAACTACTCAGAAGGATGCGGATAGATGAGGAGAACTGAAAAAGTACAATACTTCTTGGGAAGCTGAGCATCATCATAACTCTTCCCATTGTAATTAACACATTTATTTATCTACCAATTTGTTATTTGTTATTTTTGTTTCGTCTTTTTGTTAATACTATGTTAATGTTTATCTTTAAATGGATAGTTAAATAATTAATCTTTCCTGTGTACACTCAACAATTAGATTGTAACTCAAAATTTAACCCAAATTTTCAACCCAAATGTTGCTGCATTTTCAACGGTCAACATTTGAAGCTTGGCACCTAAACAAAATGTTATTCATCTACATTTCAATAATATCTGCTATTATCCATCAAATTAATTCATTTCCCAGTGTGCTTAGAATAGGTAAGTTTATAAATTACATTGTAAATTCAATAGTAATACCAAATTAGTAAATGAACATTGATTTATCCATGTTAAGGGAAACGACGAATCAATCTTTTTGTTTACCTTTTGCATTCTTTGATTTTACCCAAGTTTAATTGTTTCTTGCTTTTAATTTTTTATTACTAAGGTGGACTATTCAGTGATGGTGAAGAAGAACAAGAATTAGTATTTAAATATGCCGTTGATAGAATCAACTCGGATACAACGATTTTACCAAGATCAGCTTTGGTCGCTCAGGTTGAACATTTTGGTTCTGAGGATAGTTTCAGAGCTGATAAGAAAGGTTTGTACATTTTGTTGTTTTGTTTAACCATTTTTGTTTCAATGTTAACGATATATTTGTTTCCTTGACTAATATTTGTCTTTTAATTTAATCTTATAGTTTGTGGCCTTCTTCACGCCGGAGTGGCAGCCATTCTTGGTCCTCTTAGTGATTCAACCTCAATGCATGTTCAATCTATTTGTGATGCTCTAGAAATACCTCATATTGAAACTCGTTGGGATATTTCATCTCATCGAGAAGAACTTTCTATTAACCTTTACCCTAAACCAGCTGTACTTGCTCGAGCATACATTGATCTGGTAAAATATCTTGGTTGGAAACAATTCTGTGTGGCTTATGAAGATAATGATGGTAAGTGTACTTGAACATAGTGCCGTATATTGTCAGAGTACCAATGATGATAAATTTTGAGTGCACATTGAGTTGACTTTCAATTTGTTTATTTCATTTTAATCACACGGAGACAGTGTTCAAAGTTAACTCTTTAAATATTCACACATAAAGTGATTAATTGACAAACTCTTGTCAAGCATTCAATCACTGATGTACCTAACTGAACAATTTATTTTTGTTGCAATGACAAGCTATCGAGATCCATCGTAATCCGATAAGTTGATTGTATCAAAGCGATACATAATATTATATCATATTCTTGGTTTAATTGTACATTCTTGGCACAGTTACTACTACCAGGGCAAAACAAAATTGTTTAAAATTGAGATAATTGATTATTACGTTTCTATCATCATTACCCTTCTGTGTTTATGTTTGTTATGATCATTTTGTTGATGATTTGTTATACTAACTTTTATATCTTTCAATGTTACAGGATTAGTGCGTCTTCAAGAATTTCTGAAACAAGCTCAAAAAAATGATTGGTCAGTCAAATTTTACAAATTCAGACCTGGGAAACCTTACAGAGAAACATACTGGAAAATAAAGAAAACAGAAATAACAAATATCGTTCTGGATATCAGGACTGAAAATATTAATCGAGCTCTTAAACATGTAAGTGTCGAGAAACAGATTAAAATTTATCCAAAATACATTTTAATCATTTTACAATGAAATTATGTTTTGATTGACAATCTGATATTTGTTTTATTTCCCTTGAATTCAGGCTCAACAAGTTGGTCTTTTAACAGAGAAACATAACTATTTGGTCACCTCTTTGGTAATTAACCATTACAGTAGTGGTTTGGGTTAAGTTAACAAAAAAGGCCAGACTCAAGTTAATTTTTAAGTGTAGCCATCTCGAGCATAGGATTTGATAGCATCTGGACAGTCCACACAAAAAGTTAACTTAACCCTGACATTTATTGTATTTGTTTTGTTGATTAGTTTGATAAAATATATTAATGATGTTTCTCATTATAGGATTTACACACAGTTGACTTAGAAGATTTTAAATTTGGTAAAACAAAAATCTCTTCTTTTCGTTTAATTGATACTTCATCGACTGAATTAATCACATTGCTCGATGAATGGAGTTCAATATCAACAAGATATGGACGACGGACGATTAATCCACCTGAAAGTATCAGAGTAAGTTAAATTGACTTGCATAATCAGGAAAATCAGAAGATTTTAATATTAACGAAAATTTTCTCGCTCTTCTTGATGTTTATTTCAAACAGACTGATACAGCTTTAATTTACGATGCTGTTAAATTACTTGCAACTGCTCTTCAAGATCTCGATCAAAGTCAATCCATTGACATTACTCCTATTTCGTGTGAAAATGGACTACCTTGGTTGCACGGTAGTTCATTGCTTAACTACATGAGACCGGTGAGTTAATTTATTCCTAGTCAAATCCCAAGCCAACAATTGTTAATTTTTATGTGATATTTCACAGATCACATTTCGTGGGATAACTGGTTTGGTCGCTTTTGATCAACTTGGTTTCAGATCAAGCTTCACTCTAGATGTCATGACAGTTTCTGAAGATGGCTTACAAAAGGTAAATTGATTGCTCCAATCTAATCTATTTTATTCCCTAATAAACGATAGCATGCAAAATTTTAATAAAAACAATTGATGTCAACAGAGCAACACGAACTAATATTGGTCTATTTAAAATTTCAGATTGGTATTTGGAATCCAGAGGAAGGCAAAGGTGTAAATATTAGTGATGCCTGGCGAGCCTTTCTTTTCCAGACTCATGCTCTTGAAAACAAAACGGTCGTGGTCACTACCATTCTGAATGAACCATTTGCTATGTTGAAAGGCTCTGCTCGTGAAAAGTCACAAAATGAACGTTACGAAGGATACGCAATTGATTTAATTGACGAATTATCAAAAGTACTTCTCTTTAAATATATTTTTCGTGAAGTTAAAGATGAAGCCTATGGAACATTGAATGAAACAACTGGAGAATGGAATGGGATGATTGGTGAGCTGATTCGAGGAGAAGCTGATTTAGCGATTGCAGATTTAACAATTACATCTAAACGTGAAGAAGCTGTCGATTTCACGCTTCCTTTCATGAATACTGGAATATCAATTTTGTTTCGTAAACCGACAAAAAAGGTTACCACATTGTTTTCCTTCTTATCCCCATTTTCAATGGTTGTTTGGGTTTATGTTGTTGGTGCATATGTCGGAGTTTCTGTCATTCTCTTCGTTGTGGGAAGACTATCTCCATATGAATGGGATAATCCTCACCCCTGTAGGCAAGATGATCAAGTATTGGAAAATGATTTCAGTCTTCTGAACAGTTTCTGGTTTACCATTGGAAGTCTTATGCAACAAGGTTCAGACTTGGCACCCAAGTAAGTTAACTAAATGTATAACTGTTGAGTAAACAATTTAATGAACAGTAAATAAATTAATCTAAAATTTAAATCTCCACATTAGGTCTATGTCTACTCGAACAATCGCTGGAATATGGTATTTCTTTACACTAATCATGATATCTTCGTACACCGCTAATCTGGCTGCTTTCTTGACCGTTGAGAAAGTCGTTTATCCAATCGAGGATGCCAAAGATTTATCGATGCAAACAGAGATTGAATATGGCTGTGTTAAATCAGGATCAACCTGTGGTTTCTTCAAGGATTCAAATCTAACAGTTTACCGGCGAATGTATGAATTTATGATTTCACATCCTTATGTTTTTGCCGCCTCTGGTGCTGATGGTAAGAAACGCGTTCTCAATGGTAATTATGCCTTCTTGATGGAATCAGCATCTATTGAGTACGCTATTGAACGAGAATGTAATTTAACTCAAATTGGTGGATTATTGGACAACAAGGGATACGGGATAGCAACTCGGCGAAACTCACCTTATTCCAGATTATTGTCTCAAGGAATCCTTCAACTTCAAGAAAGAGGTGTTCTTCACACCCTTAAAGATCGCTGGTGGAAACAAAAGCGTGGTGGTGGTGCTTGTGCTGATGATGCTAAAAAAGGATCATCCAGTGTTACTGAGCTTAGTCTTGGTAATGTTGGTGGTGTGTTTGTGGTACTTGTTGGTGGACTTTCATTCTCTATCCTAATGGCTGTCTGTGAATTCATGTGGAGAGCAAGAAAAATTGCTCCAGATAGGGTAAGATTGTTGCTCTATAGTTTTTATCTCATTCATGTTTCCAACAAATTTGATTAATCTTAATTTTTTTGATTCAGAAGTCAATGTGTGATGAGATGGTTCGAGATCTCAAATTTGCTTTATCGTGCCAAAGTTCAACTAAACCTGCTCGAACCAGTATTCGTTATGCAGGATACACAGGACCCGATAATGTCCATGAAAAACCGGCGCCGTCGATGCCAGGATTTATTAACTATTGATCAAATTCAGCTAATACATTGTAATAATATGGTGCAATGGCTCTTAACATTGGCAAAAATGAAACCAACCTCAATATGCTCAACGATGTTTTTTCCTCTTCCTCTTCCTTTCCTTTTTTTGGAAAACTTTTAATCTAATTTATATCATCATTCTCTTTGGTAATCATTATGGTCATTCAAGGGAGAGGACGACAAATAACGCGAAACGAAGCCAACTTTGAACAAAGCAAATTAAATTGTATACACTTTTCAACGCTGTTGGCCCAATCAAAAGGGAGATTGTTAACCTTTTTGCTGCAAAAATTTTGCATGTTCAATGTTGCTTTTCAGTTGAAATTCAATTTAAATTGTTGCTTTTTGTCTTCCCAAAAGAATCAAAAATTTTTATCATGTTGACAAAATTATTAATATGCTGATGAGTTTAAATTGTTATTAGAATCATTATTTCATTTTAAAAGAAACCTTTGTTCTCTCATTAGTTTAATATCTCGCATTTATTGTATAAATTTAATCATAAACAATCATGATTTCATCCTCATTAAAATCAACGTCTTTTTTAGCACACAAAACTGATTCGTTATTAATTACTCCGAGTTTATTTGAAGAAAAGTGCCAATTGTTTAAGTTTGCTAGGCCTTCAAGCTGGAATCTCGAATCTAGTGTTAACTCTATTTACCCAGTACATTATATTGACATTTTTGACTTGCTAGTTGATAAATTGCTAATTAAATATTGAATAAAGAGTTGGCTCAATCTGTTAATAAATTTTGATCGACAAATATTGAATTGCAAATAAAGCTTCAGGCTGCTTGAAACAGTTATAACAAGTAGACATTTATATTGATTGTTTTCTGGTTGGATAATTAGTTGTTATTATATTGACTTGTAAATTCAAACTAGCATGAGTTTTCAGTGAAATTTAAACCAGATTTAGTGAGTTGAGTCTAGCGAAGGAGTAAATTTGAATCTCTTTTAGACTAGTAGTGCATACAATTAAAATTGATCATCTATTTTTGTTTTAATCAAGCAAATAGTGTAGCAAATTGTAAGCTACACTATTGACCTCGAATCTTCAATACAGTTCAATTGTCTAATTGGGATTACATTAATCCAGATGACTGTGATTTCCCGGAAACTGAGCAGTTAACTTGGTTCGCAAAACAATTAGATTAACTTCTATTGACTACATTACCAACTTATTTCAATCACTGTTTCAATCGCAAACCTTAAAATTGAAGATGAGTTTAATCTAAACGATATTAAAATTCCGTTCTAACTGTTGAATGACGCAAAATATTCAAGTCTTCATTAATCCTATTTTGGTTGTAAAGCGACAGATAATTTCATCAGTTGAATACGACATTGAGTCTAATCTTAGTCTGGAAACAATGAATTAGTCCTTTAAAAAGAAGGTAAATTATCCATTGATCAAGTTAAATCAATCAGAGATAGTTTAAATTTCCAGTGATTTCATCGTTTCATCAGAAAGGTTAGTAACTTTCAATTTTTTTGCTGTGACTTCAGTAACATTTTGTTGCTTTTAAAGATCAACACAAAATGTCCAAACTGTTCGCATCAATATCAATCTTAATTTTATCAATTGCGAGCTTTATCCCGTTAATAACAATGGCCTGGATACCGAATGGACCATCCTCTCTTGGGCCAATTCGTATAGACAAAAAAAGTGACGGATTCCTTGAGGTTGGCTGTTATGGTGACTATGATAAAGCCAAGTTTGCCCGACTGGATCGCTTGTGTGAGGAATGCTATGAGCTTTACCGAGTTCCTGATTTATTCACTCAATGCAGGTCAGTTTTTACGCCTATTTTATCATAATTAACCATTAACCTTACAATTTTAATCATAATTTAACTGTTATTAGGCAGAGCTGTTTTAGAAATGACTATTTTCCTAAATGTATTGAAGCTTTAATGGTGACCAATGAAAAGGAGAAACTCATGGAGATGGTCGATATCCTTAATCGAGGTCGACTTTTTCATCCAGCATAAATAATCAAAATCATAATCATTATCAACGTAAGCAATTAAAATGGTTCAATTATTTCCAATTATTCAATTGTTTTTATCTTTATTTGATCATTTCTTTTGCTTTTGCTTGAAGAAGCAACAACTTTGACTTTTGAAATTTATTTTTTGATCATTGAAGACAATCAATTGACTGACTCATCATTAAGCTAAATTGAGACAATTACACTCAATAAAATGGTCAACTAAGATGATTATCAACACCATAAACACCTAAAGTTCAGTATTTGTTTTTACACATTCCTTGTTTCCCTTGTTCTTAAGCATTTCCAATGTGACTGAACAATCGTGTACAATGCACTGATTATGTTGAATAAAACTGTATTTAAAAACAAAGCTTAAAAGGTACATTTAGTTGCATTGAACGATAATAATAACAATATCGGTAACAGATTAACATGGGTAAACCTCTTATGGTCACATCTTTTGTTGCGTTTTTAGGGTACTTTTCATTACTTCAACAAAGCGTTTTATTTTATCCAAATAATTTCAACAGCAATAACAATAAGTTATCGATGAATTTATCCGTCATTATCGTCCAACTATAGTAATATATGGAGCTACTATAAACAATGTTATCTTGGTTTAAACGCTATTTCTGCGGCAAATAGAGAGAAGATTGATTGAGAGCATCTGATTGTCAAACAAAACAAAGACCAGAACTGAACGTTTCCAGTTTTGTGATACAAACAGCTAATAATAAATTTTCATTGATTTTTTTGTTTCTCAAGCAAATTTTTGAGTTCATTAGTTGCGACCTCTCCTCCTCAATGTCGATTGAATACGAATGATTGACAATGATTGAAATAACTAGTGAGGTTAATAACTTGGCTTTGTCAAAATCATAAGTAATGGATAATGTCGGTCAGGTGAATACTGATATTTATCTCTTTCGTCTAGATAAGTTGTGTGCATTGACCAAATGGTTGGATCATAATTTTCCTCATGTTGAACTATAAATCGTTTACTGGCAAGGTTGGCAAATTTTTCGAAAGATTTGTTCCTACTTGGAGCGATAATATAGCATTTTCCGTTTCGTTTCAACAAAGACCAAATTGTTTGTTCCAGATTTTTGTGACAATTTTCTAAATACAAGCAATCAGAAATGAGAATAACATCAATGAACCCGCTAAGATTTTCATAATCTTCTTGCTGGCCCCAAGTCAACTGGCGAGCTTCAATTGGAATGTCTTTGGATATAAATCGAGATCTATTTCTGGCTAAAATTAAATTCAAATTGTCAATGCAAGCAGGATTACCATCGGTAAGAAACAGTTGCGCTGGATTACAAGTTGAAGCAACAATGAGACCACTTAAACCGGTCAAACCCGAACCAAGCTCCAATACAACCTTTCCATTGAATAGTGGTTTATTTTGAAGGCACCAATAACCCAAAATTTTCTCAGAAGGCCAAATACAAATAGCACCGGTCGAATCACGTGATATAAGAATCTCGGCAAAGGGTATTTTGCCTGCAGGTAGCCTTATTTCAACTTTAACATCATTACTACCTTGACATGTAGCTTGGTACCAGACATTTGATTCTTCTCCATTAGGTTTACCGGGTTCTTTTTCCACTGCCACCAGAGTTATCAAGGGAAAGCCATTGAATAAGCGTATAGAGCCATCATATGGAGCGGCAGCTTCTAAGCCTTCATAAAATACTTTAGCTAAAATCTGCCAACGGGCTCGAGCTAAAGTCCGCCTCAGACCAATCTCTATTTGTTGCTGCTTTGAATCTGTATTTGGGTCAGTTTTCATCATCGCCATTTGACTGATAGATAAAACTGGTAGCAATCAGCTGTCGATGGCTTGTCAACTGAGGCAATATGGCAATATCTTGCAATTAACAAATTTCTTCAAATCGCAATTTGAATACTGGTTACAGTGTCACATCACTGATTAATATGTTTACCAATGATAGGTAAAATTAATTTTGATTAAATAAACATGCTGTCAAGACTGGATGGAATGTGAACAGATTAAGCATATGCATGTATAAACACCACAGAAGAGAGAAAGATGTTGTTTAAAGATGGCACAGTTTGTGGAAATTATTATTAATTTTAAACACAATTATTAATGATTCGTTGTCTATTTAAGAAATACTAAATTTAAATTTAAAACACTTAAGGTGGAAGTTATTGAATATGTTGTCACAATTCAATAATATTCTGGTAACAAAACAACCTTACTTCTCTTTTCAATGATAGAGACCTCTCCAATAATAATGATTGAATCATCATGTCTGATGCATCTGTTTTTACATCTTTATCAAACAGCTTCTGTTTATCATTTAATAAGAAGCAAAGTTGACATTTAACTTGTCATTTATCAAATAATTAGATTAATGCATAATTTATGATACATTTTTTTACATTATTTACATTATGTATTTTAGTCGATGTCAACCAATGCAAATGTCAAAGATCGTTAAGATCGTTCTTCAATAAACTTAGCAACCATTCACTTATTTGAGTCCATTAAGGCTCGATAAGACTAGCGACCATATAAACGAGTTTTTTTAGCTAGCCTTTAAACAATAGCTAGACTATTTGACCGGTTCGATAACGGATTTTGGTAACCAACCTTGAATAATTTGCGTCCTTGTATATTAACTGTATGGCTGGTTGAATGAATCATAGTGATGGACTGATTGCGATCAAGAGATGGATCGATATCGATCATAAATGTCATCATCACTGATCGCTAGATTCTTGCTACTGGCAACTTTAATTCACGTTGATAAGCTGTTGCTATAATGAAATTAATTTCATGGTGACTTTAGATGGCAGTCAATAATCAAAAAGGTTTCCCTCATCACAATTCTTTGAAATACAGGTCCCTGCGTTTTCTCAGCCCGGTTTCACCATGAATTTTCATTATCCTGTAATCCAGAAAGCTATAGCTATTTCTCGTGTATTTAGTTCAGTGCCGGTTTTCATTTTATCTCAATATTTTATAAAATTCACAATTTTTACTCAAAAAATTTTATGCATTCTCATTACATTATAATATATTGGCAGTTTGTTCAAACAATTTCAATACATATGTTTACTTGATTGATAATTAACTTTGATCGTGAGGTAAATAATGATTAAAATCAACTTATTGAACGATTTACATCTCGATTAAGGCATCTTGTCATCGATTTGTATACATGGATTCATCAAAACTTGAAAAAGATGAATTTTTAGTGATTCTCTGTCTTACATTTTTCTGGTTCAATATCTTTCCACCAATCATCTGGGAATAAATATTTCTGAATTTCTTCTTTTTCTCTGGGTACAGAAATTTCAATATTTAGTAATGTTGATACTGGCAATGGTTTTTCTATTAACATAGGTGGAAAACAATGAATGGCTGCACAAGAATTCGGAGGAACCAATCTATTTCTCCAGCCAACTCGACGATATTGACTAGTCACTGAATCTTTTTCAAACAAAACCAATTTAATCTCAGGTTCATTAACTGTTTCATCATGGACCAAGTATACTCCCTCCGATGAAATATAACTCATCCTGAGATGCTGGCTTTTAAAGATACGGAAAATGAATGCTTCATCCATCCGAGAGAGTTCATCATTGATTGTACAAATTTCCAGATAATTAACCCACGGTAATACAGTTCCCATCTTGAGTGCTCCCCATAATGAATTATAACACAGAAAGTAAGTTAATCCCAGTGAATCTAAACTTTCTTTGGTTCTTATCAACAGATCATGTAATGCATCTTGAGTTTCAGGGCCATAGTTACACGTTAAAATAGCTTTGTTCGCGCTTGAAGACGTTAAGAGGGTGACCAATAAATATAGTAGTCCAATGAAAATTAGAATTGCTATCAGTCGTTTCTTTCGACCAGTTATCAGTCTGATTGCCATCCCAAATACCTATACAGAAAAAAAACATTCACCTTAATATTAATGTCAGTTAGTTTCAGCAATTGCCAAAAGTCAAAAATAAAACGTATCCATTTTATACCTTATGGTGGTAGCCTTTCAATCAGTGATAGTAGTTATTTACAAATTAAATATCTTTACAGGTTAGGTTAAACCTCACAATAACACATTTAGAGTATAAAGAAACTCCATTCGAACACAGTGGAAAATATAAAACCCAAAAGCGTTGGTTTAATCAGCTAACTAATTTTTTCATGGCAATTTATGTTGAAATGAGATTCACTATTTTTAGCAATATCAACGGCGGAGAGATGATTTTTGTTAATCATAAGATATCTGATGTAGAATTGCACCGAAATCAACATTTGAAAAATTTTAATTCACTGTTAATATAATTAAATTCAAGCTTTGAATTTGATAGCAATAAAAGCGGTATCATCATGAAATTAAAAATAACCAAATTCAAAGATGCAAAACATAATGTTTTTCATACAACAGTGCATCAATGTAAATAGCTTTACCACTCTTGTGGAGGGAAAATTGAAAATGTAGTAACGCGTCAATATTTTTGTCAAACATTTGCTAAAAATTGAATGCATCAAATCTAAGGGAATTAAGAGTGATGATTGAAATAGAAATGATGGATTTATACATTATTGAAACGACAACCGTTAAGCAATATTAAATCAAAAGGATAATCAAGAAGAAACAGTTGAGAATTTTTTTTTCTCCATCAGATTCAGTATTGATTTCGGATAGTTTCCGTATATTCCTCTTTTATTGAAGATGATGGTTTACTTTTGATGAGATGATCTTTGACAGCTCGTGGCAGTTGAACCGTCGGTTATTTTGAAACATCATTCAAAGATGAACTAGTCAAGTTTTGATTGACTTGTCTAGCGAAACTTCCGTACCTCTGTTTATGGTCGATTAACGACAGGAGACAATCTGAATCTTTTTCTTGGTCCTACTCCTCAACTACGGCACTTTAGTTTTCTGATTTTGTGAATCAGTTTCATTTGATCAAAAGCCTCATTCCATTCTAGTTGGCTATCATCTTCATAATTCAACATAAGCTTTTTGTGATCCTTGCGTGTTTGATGGCAACCTTTCATCCTGTGCAAGTACAAACCTTTACTATGTTGTTTACAATTATTGTTTTGATCATCATTCCATCTTCCTTGGTTAATTGTGAAAAAGTGATTCCACGTTCATCGACAAATCAACTATCATTGCCAGTTTCCATTCCATCATCGACATCATCTCAACCAATATTTACTGACAAATCATTCGTAATCCCTGTGAGGTTAAAGCTGTCCAATAAAGATAAAAATACAAACTCATCTTTGATACCAATAGAGACAAAGTCAAGTTTCATGCGATGGGCACCATTTAGACGATTATTTGGCCGTCAAAGTAGACAGACAACAACTCAATTGACTGCCACTATAGCATTGGCCATTTTAGCAGCTTTGAGTGCCATTGTTTTGGCTTTGTTGATAGCTCTTCTCATAAGCATAGGAAGCCTTGGTTTTGCCATTAAAAAGTGTTCCTTTGGGTTTGGCAAATATCTTCTCAAGCTATTTGGTTCCATTGATCATCACAGTCACAAATTTGTTTCCATAATCAACATGATAACCAGAATTTTGGTTGAAGTCTTGGGTCGACAGAATCACCAGCAAGATTTCCTTTTCAACATGATTCACATTATAAGAGAGATCGGACTTGCTCGACAAAAACCAGCCCATCCCAGCATTCATGATATCGATATACCAGATAGCTTCAAAGGATTTGACCATAAGAACTTTGACAATCCTCATCCTAAAAGCACTTTTGAACATTCACATGGTTTCGAAGCTAATAATGGGTTTCCTCGCAATTTTGACGTTTTCCCTCGTGGCTTTGATGAGACTCGTAGTTATCCTTCACCTCGTGGCTTTGAACATCCGTTCAACTTTGTAAATAAAACAGTCGAGTTTGATTTTCCAGGCCATTATTCACGTTACAGTCCACAACCAAACCTTCAATATCAAAATCCATATTCAAACAGGATGGACTCACCAAGACAGTTTTCAGTCTCATCACTTTTTGAACGCAATCGCCATCCAAATCACAATTATGATTCATTTTGATTGAATAGCATATTTTAAATTCAACAGAATGTCAGTCAAATCAAATCTTCTCGAGGATAATTATTTATTGAAGTATTTATTATTATAGTATTTATTAAATCTTACTTTTAATTCAATTTTAAAATAAAATTTATCAAAAGTATTTCCAATTGCTAAGTGAAATAAAAAGTCTTACCATTAAAGAGTCAAACAATTTACATGATTCCAAGAGGATCCTTGGCATTTTTCCTGACAATATCAGAAATAAAAGAATCGATTGAAGTTTTTCCTGAACTTTCAGTTTCTTGATTCTTGTGAGATTGCCTTTTATTATCATACTTCACCCATTGGTCCCAAATGTTTTGCCAGTTAAGTTGAGGTTTACGTTCAATTGTTAAAGCCTTCATCAATCGAACGAACAGTTTTCTATTGTACTCTTCTAGCGCATATCTAACATAAATGCGACTTCTTAATATGTCCATAATCAATTGGTATTTATCTGGTTTGTTGGCTATTACATTATACTTTAACCACAGGAGAAAGGTTTGGAAATGATCTTCTTTCTTGTTGAGATGATCTTTAGATAATAAATAAGAATCACTTGCCGCCTCGGGACCACTGAATAATAGCTCATAAGGTGTCATCATTTTCCGATCTTTTTTTGGCCTTACTCTTTCACTATTTACCAACAAGTCATTATAAGATTCATCTTCATATGTTTCCAAAACAACTGAATCACTATCATTGTTTTTTGAGGTTTTGGGTTCAACACCTGATAAAAGATGAAGTTATTTACATCAGATTGCTGGGAAATAGAGGAATGATTAAAAACTTACTTTTAAAAGATTCCAATAAAACAATAAGAAAAATAAGTGGAAATTTCAGCGTCAGATACATCTTAACATGTTTATTCCTGAAATACTTAGTGGATAGTGAATTGGAAACAGAGCGAAGCAGGTGAAAAACTGATTAATTATCAATTGTATTGCTAGGAACAACAAAAATAGTCGATAATTTGTAAATAATCCTAAGCTGTTCTTGTTTACCGCATGATTAATGCAAAAGAGTTACATTTATTGTATGAGTAACGATAATTTTTGTGATTGATATCCAAGAATTATCGGAATTAAATAAATATTCACAAGTTTCTTTGACCAAAAGTTTACAGAACCCTCTGCAAGCCAATTCCTAATGTTTTTAAATGAAGACATCAAATGTATACTGAAACCTGATGATTGTAGTCAAGGTTGTAAAAAGAGTCTTTTTGAAAAAATTATGTTGATTGTAAATGAATTTCACTCAACAAAATCAATAAATTACTAACAGAATATATTTAGAAGATATAAAATTAGAATTGGCAATTTTATTGTCTCAAAAATGAACGGGAATGATTAACGTACAAGGAATAACCAGTTTCAATCTTGTTGTAAGAGCCTCTTAACTTCATAATACTTGACACTGCCGATGTTTTTTTCACAGCTGTTAAGTTATTTACTGTAGACGTTTTTTTACTTTTTGTTTTTATTTTTTTATTTGATTAAAATGTTTGTTAGCCGGTCATTAATCAAACTACAACGTTATGGCCTAATTAAAGTGTGCCGTAATTTGTGTAATCAATCATCGACAACATCGACGGGCAATGTTGACTTGAAATTGGAAAATTTAGAAGAAAAGCCTGCGTTTCCTGGATCGCGAAGCAAATGGACTAGTCAATTGGAATTTATCCGAAGTGAAAATTATGAAGGAATACCAGTCTACCGTGTGATGGATCGAGAGGGTAAAATAATTGAGCCTGACGGTGATCCCAATTTAGGCCAAGAAATGATAACCAAACTTTATAAAGGTAAGGTGTCTATAAACATACATTCATCTCGATATTTAAGTAACTCCATTTGCATCAAGTTTGTATTAATATTACATTTTAATCACTTCTGCAGGTATGACCCTTCTTAACACGATGGACAGAGTGTTGTATGAATCCCAACGCCAAGGTCGAATATCTTTTTATATGACAAGCTATGGAGAAGAGGGAACACATTTCGGATCAAGTGCAGCTCTACGATCTGATGATCTTATTTTTGGGCAATATAGAGAAGCTGGTAATTTCAATCAGTCTCGTTAGATTGTTAGTAGCACATATTAATGTAATTTTTTCTGTTATCTCAGGTGTGCTTATGTGGAGGGGTTTCACGCTAGATCAGTTCATGTCACAATGCTATGGAAATATAGATGACCTTGGTAAAGGTAGACAGATGCCTGTTCATTATGGGTCGAAGGACCTTAATTTCGTGACAATTTCATCAACCCTGGCAACTCAAATGCCTCAAGCTGTTGGAGCTTCTTATGCTTTGAAAAGACAAGGAAGTGGTCGAATAGTTATTTGTTATTTTGGTGAAGGTGCCTCATCTGAAGGAGATGCTCATGCTGCTCTCAATTTTGCTGCAACTCTCGACTGTCCTATCATATTTTTCTGGTAATTAATCTTAACAGATTCTTATCTAGTCTTGATTCAGTGATTGTGTTGAATCATTAATCTTATAACTTATAATCTTTACCAAACCTTAGTCATATTTCTCAAATATTTTAATTCATCTTTCCCTTTATTAGTCGTAATAACGGATATGCTATCTCAACACCAACTAGAGAGCAATATCGGGGTGACGGTATTGCTGGTAGAGGTCCCGGCTATGGCATGGCTACTCTTCGAGTTGACGGTAATGATACATTAGCCGTTTATAAAGCTACTGCTGCTGCTCGACGTATTTGTCTAGAAGAATCAAAACCAGTTTTGATCGAGGCTATGACTTATCGTATTGGTCACCATTCCACTTCAGATGACTCAACAGCCTATCGAAGTGTTGATGAGGTACGATTTTGGCATCAAAAAGATCATCCCATTTCCCGACTTCGTAAATATATGGAGCAACGAAGCTGGTGGAATGATGAGCTGGAAAAGGATTGGAAAGAAGAATCGAAAAGACAAGTTATGCAAGCTTTTGTAGCAGCAGAGAAAAAGATAAAGCCAAATGTTAAAGAAATGTTCACAGATGTTTATGACGAGATGCCTCCACATCTGACTGAACAATACGAATCATTAATGGAACATCTCAAACATTATGGTGAACATTATCCTTTGAAAAAGTTCAATGGAATGGGAGATTCTTGATTCGTTTCACGCGTTATACATATATGTATCAAAGGCAGCAAATGGGACTTGGGCAATTACTGCATCAGAATAAAATTCAAAATCATCAATTGTTGTAAGATTTCAAAAATTTCACCATCAACATCCTTTAATAGATGAGTTTAATAATAAAAGATGAATTTCAGTGCCAAAAAATAATTTGTAATAATTTACAATAATTCGTTATTTCATTTTTTACTCAAACATTCCATCCCATTGTGTCTACTTTTCCCCTTAGCACCTAACTCCGTTTGAAAAATTTGAAGATACGATCCTTAAGGTTTGATCCTTCTTTAGATTGGATTGCAATTCGGGCTCGTTTGGTGGTCAAATTATGAATTGGACCAAAAGCAAGAGTAATCACGGTGCTGACCAAACAAATTACATTGTAGGGCATACTGAAATCAGGAGTAGGTAGAGAAACTAAAAGATTTTCAGTTTTTATCTTGATTGTCGGTGGATCTAGAGATTCTGTATGTTCAGGATGAATAGTTAAATTTTGAAAATTTGTTGGTTGGAAAGTTAAAGTTGCTGCTCCAACATAAACTCCGTGATTTGCGTCTGGAGGGAATTCAGTCCATTTAAGAAAAGCTCTTTCAAAGTCATAAGTGATTATGGTGTCCGATAAGGGCGGGAGCTCTAAGATGATTTCAATATGATGAGGTTGAGCACGGTCTTTACCTGGTTTGTGATAAAGTTTACTTGGTTTAATCTCAACGTTATTGCTTGTAATTGAGAGCGTGTGTATATAAATCCTTAAATACCAAGGTATGACATCGAGATATGTCACATTTTGCGCTTTTGTTAAACTATTAGTAATTCTACAAGTAATACCACCAAGATAAACACCATATCCAGTAATATAACGGTGGGCAGTGATGTAAGGTGGGTTAACCTTTTTGTAGATGTATTCCTTTTGATACATGCTATAAATGTTGAATTTGTTAACATTATTATTCCTATTGTGTTCGATCATTTTTTTCACATCGTACACAGCAAATCGCCTTTTTTCTCCTTGAAAATCTGATTCGATGCTAGTTTCAGGTAAAGGTGATAAGTTGTATGAGTTATCTGTGTCATTTACAGTAGTTTCCACGTAAATCTTGCTGGAACTAGCAAGTTTACATTCTTCTTTCAATGAGGTACCAAAAAACTTGACAATGGACCAACGATGCTTGCCTTCAAACATAGCTGGAGGATTGAAGACCACCTGAACACTCTGCGTTATTTCTGTAGAAGTTTCATTGCAGGAAGGATTCTGATGATGAAGGAAAATGAGTACATTAGAACAAGAAATAGAATCAACTAATTTTGAAAATGTCAACTTACGCGGCAAATCGATTTGACATCAAGAGAGAGTGCGAAATAATTTGAATTAAATATTTGGACAGCATTTAAAAGTGATGCTAAACCGGCTTTTGAAAAGCAAGGTAATAACTTTTTCCAAGGAGTTAAATTTTCAGTACAAACTGCTTCATGAGCCAAACTGGCATAGAAAACATTATCAGGTCGATATGAGTCATTGATAAATATACCATCTGGCTTCAGAGAAAATTTAGGCTTTGTTGTAGCAGCTTTATCTATGAAATTAAGTGAGGCACAAAAAAGTCCGGATAGTGTGCTGGTGATGTCTTTCCATGATTTCCAAGGGCTGAATAAATAATCGATGATACATGATTAAACTTTGAGCTAAATATTTTTTGATTTTAGTATCTTACTTTGGATTGAAATTTTGAAGAGTAACCCATAGTTCAGCACCATTGGGCTGATATCTTAGTGGGTAACCCCAAGTATTCAGTTTCCAATGCCCACGGCCAAGGCTGAAAGTTAGTTCTTTGATTAGATTTTTAGAGATGAAATTGCCGATGGCCAAAGGAAATCGATCAAAATGGTTTTCTGTGGTAGATGAAACATAAACAGATTAAGTATTGCAATGCTTTTAGCAAATGTCATTAAAAAATAGACATTGACAGATGAGTATTGAACTTTATCAACATACCTAGATGTAAATATTCAATATCTTGATGCAGTATTGTCTTGAATTGAAAATGATTGTAAATCATTCCATCTGGAAGAGGTTTTATTAAAAGAGATTCACTATAATCATCTTTGACAGCTTCATCAAGATGAACACACGGTAAGAGGACTATGAAAGTGAGAAAATAAATTAAAGTCATAACTATATATAAACAATGCAAATTCAAATTAGTGAAAATCAGACAATTAGATTAATTGAAACATTTTATAACAGAAAAACAACTTAAGAAATCCATGAATAACCGACTTGGTGTGATTCAACTTGCATTAGGAGATTTGTTTGCATACCTGATACAGATGATTATTAAAGCGCCTTATTTGAATTTATGTCAACCAACTTTCATTTGAAGAGCTTTAAAGGCAGAGTTAGCCGAAGTATTCGGCTCGCTGTGTGCTCTAGAGTCTAGATTATTCCTTAATTTTGTACCCAACAATCATTTCAATTAAAGGCCATGGTGAATAAACTTCTTAAATACAAATTGACAATGAAAAACAAAACTTGTAGCCTGAAGATATTAATCCTTCTTGACCATACCTGGAAAGAAGCTTAAGTTTACTTTAGCCGTTTAACCCGGTCAAGACAAGGGTATATAAATCAGAGAGATTTTGACTAGACCAGTAAATTTTCTCAAATGGTTAACTTTAACACAACACTTTTTTAGTTTATTTTGTGATATTTTATGTGATGGTGAGTTATTTTCATCAAGTTAACATAGTTTGACAATCTAACCAATTTGTGCTTTTCTTTACTCCAGGTTTTTGGCTTCATCGTTCTGATATTTGTCTTTACATCTGTGCATTCATCTTTCAGTGACGAGGAGTTTTACAATTACGATGGCCCCTACTCTGTTGGTTATCAAAATCATCGATACGAGCCAGTCCCTTACTTTCACCATTACCCTGAATCTTTCCCACCATACCCAGTACAAACATATCCAGGCTACGGCAATGTTTATGGAAAGTATAAGATTACACGTAAAAAGAAGACCAAAGCTAAAAAAGGTGTTTTACATACTAAAAAAGTGCAGAAGTTGTGGAAACTATCAAATGACGAGGGTGGAGTAGAACACTTATATGAAAGTCCGTATTACGAATCAACAAAGATAAAGTACCAAAAGCCATGTAAAGAAGAAAAGAAACATAAAAAGAAAACAAAATATCGGAAATTCATGGACAAACTGATGGGCTAATTTTTATATCCATTTTGGCCATTTTATAATCTCTCATCCTACACCAGTGCAGAAAATTCACAACCTTTAATTGTATTTTAAAATTTATTTGAAACCTACTTCGTGCCTTTGATCTTACCTCTTCATTTATTTGTATAATATTTGTGAAAAAAAATAAAAATGTCGATAAAAAATATATGATCTTTGTCCTTTAATTTATGAAATCCATTGGGTTTATGGTTAAACTCTTTAAATCTACATGAAAAGACGTGATTTATGATGCGGGTACAGATGAGTTCAAAGCAATCACATCGGGTGTATTTAAAATGAGCTATAGATTGGGTGGTTCTATGTCCACCCCTCAAATAGCCAATATGGCAGATTCCAAAATATGTGATTTTAAAACAAAAACTATTAAAATACATGAGGATATGTCAAGCTTAACATCTCGATCCAATTTTACATCTTAAGCTGGACATCTCTTGTTTTACATCTCGGAGCCTTACCAAAATCCAAAGGCTTAAACATCATAAGATGACCATTGACACAAATTTTAAAATCATTTTAAACGCCACTATCAATACCTTTAAATTAACCAAAATAATTAACCAGAAATATTTTAACCAGAAACAGAGTAAAGTATGTTTGAGAAAAAGAGTGAATCTTCTTGTTGTTTTGATGCTTCTCTCCTTTTCTATCTCTCTCTCTCTCTTTCTTTCTCTTTCTTCATCTCCTTTTTTATTTTTCTGTCTATTTTTTCCTTTCTACCGCTACCACTCTTTCCTTCGTCTGCCTACAGGGTGTAAAGAGGGTTCGTGGACGGGGTTGAAATCTTTCAACTTTGCGCACAAAAGCTATCTCGAGTTTTGTTAATTATATAATTTCACTATTGATTGCGCATTACTATCTCCTTCCCACCTCCACGAACTTTCTCATCACCCTGTATCTTTCCCTCCTTTTGCCTGATTTTTCCTTTCATTCTTCATTTTACTATCTGATTTAAATTTACTTTTTGACTGGACAAGCTTAAGAAAAACTTAAGCTTCATTAAATTGTTCTGTGTTATTATTTTCTTCCTCATATTCCTTCGTGAACTTCCTATCTTAAATCATCTTTTATATCACACCAACTCAAGGCTGGTACAGTGAAAACAACAACAACATTGTCTGTTTTGCCTTTTTTCCCCAGACTGCATCTCTAGCCATTTATTTTTTTGTGAATGTATTTTCGTTATTTTTCGGTTAATTCAATCGATGGTTTACCAAAAGAGAGTTAAAGATTTAATTTAACAATAATCTTTTCAACTGTGTAGTAACCAACTCAGTGTCTATCGAGTTTGGTAAGGACAATCTCAGTGTCAGCCTTGTTTTCATTTTGGTTTACAAAATTTCCACAGTATAGAGCTTTTTGGGCCTCAAAATGACAGATGCCCATCGTCGGGTTAAACTCTATGCTTTGAATGCAGATAAAAGTAAAATACGGAAGTATCCATGTGGCTATCCAGGCTGTCAATGGGTTTTCACTCGAACAAATCATGTTGTGCGTCATCATGAAAGAGTTCACCCTGGCTTTAGGCCGAATAAATCTAGTTCACATGAAGCAGAAAAAGGAGCAGCAGCAAAACCAGCAACTAAGGCGGAAACTGAAAGTCATTCATCGAAGTGGTAAGTTTTGTTTTTTACTGCTGTGTTTTTGTATTCATATTCTTGTTGGAAAACGTCAATAACATCTCGACCTCTTTTTCTTGACCTCTTTCTTTAGTTCAATTTCTTTCATCGTCCCTCTCTTTCCCTTTATTTTTTCACTCTCTCCACTCTCTCCACTCTCTCCATTCTTTCATCCCCTCACCACATCTCTCTCTCTCTCTCTCTCTTTTCTTTTGCTTTTTTGTTCTTCCCCCAATCTTTTTATAATTTTCTTTTCATCGCTCTTTCAGTTAATCATAATAATTTAAATTTGGTCCATTTACTAATGGTAATTTCCCTTTTATTTGTTTTACAGCGAGGCTCCATCTATCTTCCATGCGTGCTATGTTACTGGATGTAAACAACAATTTAACACTAAAAATGAGCTTAATATTCATTTATTCCATGTTCACTCGGTGGTAGAACCTGAAGTATGTATCAAAGTCGAAGGGCAAGAGTGGAATGATGAAGAAAATACAACCTTGATGACCAATAAGATGTTGAACCGTCGATATGTTTGTGATTTTGTTGGATGTGACAAGGCATATACCAAAAATTCTCATCTCATTCGGCATAAAGAAGATTCCCATAACGTTATAAGACCTCCATGTCCCATCAAGTACATGAGATCACCTCGACCTTATGCTTGTACTTTACCTGGTTGTGATAAAACTTATACTAAAAACTCTCACCTAATTCGGCATTTAGTTGAAACACATAAAATGACTAAACCAGCACCAAAGGTCAATAGAGGATTAATTCCCAATTTTGGTTCGCATCTTGCCAATGCTTTACTTCAAATATCATCATCTTCATCGTCCTCTTCATCATCATCAACCTCGCCATCAGTAGTAACCTCACCTTCAGCAGTAACCTCAACATCGACATCATCAACAACGCCTAATCGTATTGGTGATGCTCCTATGATTTATAATGATAGGCCATATGCATGTACATTTCCTGGTTGTGGCTGGAGCTTCAAGCGTCAATATCATTTGAATCGACACATCATAACCCATAGGATGAACAATCGTAAAGATGGAAATAGAAGTCATAACAACAATACCATTAATCAAAATAACAAAAACAATGTTTGTAATATTATCAATAATGCCAGCAGTAGCAATGATAATCTTAATAACTCTATCAACAACAATACTGAATTATCGGCTCTAATCACTGCAGCTCGCAATCTTTCTGTTGCTCGACCTAAACTTGAATCAATTAGTTGGATTGTTTTAGAAGATGGTGATGATGAAGATGGCCAGGAATCGGCTGATGAGCAACCTACTTTACCTCGCCGTCATATTTCCATTGAAGAAGATACCTTCTGCTGCGATTTTCCTGGATGTGGTAGAATGTTTGTTAATTCGCGTGATTTGATGGTTCATTATTTAGGGCATTCAGGTCCTTCCGGTTTGCTACTTGGTGGCTCTCACTTAATTAGGTCAAGTCACTCCGATCTAACTGATATGCTGGAAGAGCCTCCATTGGAATGTGTTCTTGAAGAGTTTGGTGATGATGACGAAAATGATATCAATGGTGAAGATGATTTAGACAAGGGTATTAATGAGTTACCTATCAATGGATCAAAATCAAGGGATTGTAAAATCACTACAACAGCTAGTGATTAACGTTAATCAAAACTATAGCGTTAAAAAGAAGAGCCATGTTTCTTTTTGTAAATTTGCTAATTATATCATCTTTCAATCCCATCAACATCTGCACAACATATTCACCAACTTGCACCCTATTTAGACTTATAGTTAACTAATTGCTAATTCTTCTAACCTCTTCGCTCATTGAAATCTCTCGAGTTGTTTACCACATTAATTTTAACCAATTTTGTGGGTTAAAGCTCTCTACAAGTTATGCCCAAACTCAGGCATTCAACATGAAGGAAATGGAAGAGTCACAAAACCAAGTACAAAATTGGTTTAAATCAATCAACCTTATTTCACCATTTTTTCAACGATTACGACCACTATCCATCATTACCTGCATTCAAGTATACGTATATACACATGAAGACATCACTTTGTTTTCGTCATTCAATTATTTAAAACTATTTCAAGCCAAAATCCTAATCGAGTATGATTAACATAATATTGACCAAGATTTTAAAATGATTGCCTGATTTGTAATTATCGTCTTAAAGATGAGCTCCAAAAGACTTAATACCTAATATAATCTACATATTTATTTCTTTCACCATCATATTATTGTTCCATCTCTGCTCTGTTCCGTGAAGAATCACCATCTCAATCGTATCACCAATATGTTCATTCAAGGAGGATTTGTACTGTTGGCAGTTTGATCAGTTTTCGCAATATCAACAAATTAAAACATCAACCAATACAAGATGTTAACCACCATTTGGGAAAACTGTTTCAATTCATTTTGCTATTATGAATATTGTTGCAATATTTTTGCCACCTTCTACAAATATCGAGGGAACATACAAGCCAGCAAATCTGATTAATCACTCATCGATTGATCTCTCTCTCTCACCTTCTCATAGACCATGTTATCCTAATATCATAACAATTTTCTCTTTTTATCTCATTCTTGCCTTAAGTTGAGATATTACCCTAACCTGTATCTATGTGCGAAAATCGAACCTGAAATGTTTTTCTGTTGATTCTTACTACCTTATTATTATGATTGCGATTATTATAATTATTATTATTAATCTTGTTATTATTTGTTGAAGAAATCTCATGAAATCTTTGTTGTTATTTCTGTACATTTTCTTTTTTCTCCTTTTCTTTCTCTATCAACTTATTGTTTCCAATTATTTCCCTGCTTTTGACAATTATCTCAATTTTGATTTATTATTGTGTATTGTAAACATTTTGTTGCTTCTTCCTCTAAATGCCATTGAGCTTTTTTCTTGTAAAAATTTTTCTTTAAATCAAAACGAAAACAGCAGAAAATGTGATTTAGACAAATAAATCTATTGCCATTGATGAATTTCAATCTTAAATCTCGATTCAAGCTTTAATCCATGACAAGTTTCCTTTTGATTCAGTAAAGTTTCGTTCACCTTTACCTATCTTGATTTAGTGATTTCAAGATGAAACTGAACTGAATGATTATTCATTTTTGTCAGCATAACCAACAACTGGTTATTTGGTGGTTTCAAAGTTTAAAGTGTTATGATTTGAACCACAAATTTAAATTTTCTGTTCCGTACGTCATCTGTTGATTGAACTGAAACCTTTCTTTCTTCACTTTCTTTTTGAAATTCCCTCTCAATCTATTCGAAAAGTAACCGATTACTTTGTAACCATCGTTAGAGTAACCAAATAATCGGTTAACACTAATAATTTGAATCGTTGATAGATGGCGATTTTTACTTGATAATGTTTTGTTTTTACCACATGTTTAGTACAGTTTGATTATCGGGCTTTTCAAACTTGTCATGTTCCGTTCATTGAGGTCAATCCAATCGAAAGGCTCTTTATATTTCAAACGAAAGTTTGGAATCAAAAATGAAAAATTGTTCAAAGATGGTCCTAAACAAGTTAGAGATCCTGTTACATTAGCAGATTATTTTTTGTTTGTAAGTAACATTTTAATAAAAATTTCATGAAAATTAGTTTTGTAGATTAAATGATTTGTTGCTTTTCTTACCAACAGTCGATTCCTTTAACTACGTTCTGTCTTGGAACATGGCAAGTGAAAAGATACAAGTGGAAACAAGAACTGAAAGCAGAATTGAAAGATCAATTGTCAAAAGAGCCGGTGCCATTACCTGAAGAGTAAGTTGATCTCAAAATGTTGCATTATTTACATAACATATTTTACTTACCTAATGTCTGTTTCAGTTTACGTAAAGTGGACGACATGGTATATCAAAGAGTCTTGCTACGAGGACATTTTGACCATTCAAAAGAGCAATTTATTGGCCCAAGAGTTTTACAAAGGGAGTCTGCGGTGGCAGCGGCTAGTATGCTTTCTGGAAATGCCAATGGTTATTATGTAGTGACTCCATTCGTATTAGCTGATAGAAATTACAGTGTTCTTATTAATAGAGGTTGGATTCCAAAAGAACGACTTAATCCTAACACAAGAAAGGAAGGACAAGTTGAAGATGAAGTTACCATCACTGGTATTCTTCGAAGATCTGAAACGGTTAGAATATTTTTTGTAAAAAATTGATTTCCATCATCTAATCGACATCTTTTGTGTTATTTTCTAGGCTGATAATTCATCAAGTGCAAGGGAACCTAACGGTATTTGGCTTCGCCGTGATATTGAACAAATAGCTAGATATGTTGAAGCTGCCCCAGTCATGATTGACGCTGATTTAGATAGTTCTATCAAAGGCGGTCCAATTGGTGGACAAACACGGGTTGACTTGCCCGATAATCATCTATCATATATGATTACTTGGTACGCTTTGACCTTAATTACGGCCTATCTTTGTGCAAAACGCATCTATGTGAAAAAGAACCCAATTTTAGTCTAACTATAAATAATTTTCTAGTTGAGATCTTATTTAGAATTAACTTTAATGAAAATTTGTGTACAGAAATAAGAGCTCAATAAATGTCTAAAAGCTACACAACCTCGAAATACTCATTTTCAGTGTAAATTTAATTTTATAAATCATTCAATTTATGGTCATTTGTGTGTTACTCGACTGTAACTTTTCGGAAAATTGGCCCCCAATCAAAAAGTGGTTAATGCTTGAGATTATAAAAAATGCATCAAATTGTGACGAGTTACTGATACGAATACAAGTATCCCTTGAAATCAAATGATCAGGAAAAGTAAAAAGATGTTCATCAGGAAAAATCACACTTCTCCAGCCGGAAATTTCATCAAATCATCATTTACTTTTTTGTGTTTACTTTCAATTAAAGCTGTCAAATAACACAAGAAATAAGTCACAATCAGAAGATGAAAAAAAGATCAAAATTTTCAATAATCAATCCAAATTCTCGGTCAACTAAACTTTTCAACGGTTCAATCAAATCATCAAATAGACTTCCGAGTTGTCAAAAAGAGTGAATTTCTAATTTGGTTTTGAATCTATTGAAAAAATTAACCACCAGACAGTCTCTAATAAACAATAAATTTGTATTAATCAACAATGAATTCAATAGACAATCAATTATTGACCCATTAATCTCAATAAACTAATGTGATCAATTTTAATTTCATTCATTAAACAAACTCTTAGCATACAAGTTTATTCATGGGCCTTAATCTAATGCTAAGCTAATCATCGAAAGGCAAAATAACATCATATTATTGATCAATATTTATCCAAATAATTTAAATCACTAAGAGAATAGAGTTGATAAATTTCGGTCATTTGTATCAATACTACAAGCTATTAAACAATTGTCTAAATAAAATTGTCTAACTGTTATAATTGTAGTTGACACACAACGAAAGACAATGCCAAGCTAAATGTGGTTCAAATCGCTTTACCATTTGGTTAAATGTTAAAGGTTAGAAGTTGATTAAAAGATAATTTCAGACGCAATTTAAAATTACACAAAATCTCAACCTTTCTGTGAAATTGCCATAATCAAACAATCAGTTTTATAATAACAAAAGCGTTAATTAATTTTGCTGGTTGTTAATTCCACATTAATAAAATCAATTAATTGTGGTCTGTTATTGTGTATTGATTAAAGTTGAAAATATAAGCATTTAAGACGCAACGATCAGTAGTTCAAAAGTGATCCTAAAAAGTGACAATTGAATGAAAATTGAGGTTAATCAAAGAAAGTAAGCAACATAATAATCAAGTTAATCATTGATCAATCACTGGGCAAGTTTGATTTGAAATGTTTTTTTTCGGAAGTATTCAAGTCTTACATGAATTTAATTTAGACTTGAAAAAAATTCACTTTTTGAATGGTTTTCGCTTTCATTGTTGGTTCAATCGATCTAATTGTGTTTTTTTGGATACTAAACATGATACTGTAGCTTTGAACAATACAATCTTCGAGCAAAATTTTACAATTTAGTCAACTGATTTTCACGACAAAAGATCAGATCGACAAGTGATTTCGAAGAGTAAACAATAAAAGGGAATAGTTGAGTGTATAAATCTTTATGTACTCATATTGATTACATTTACAGTGTATTGCAACTTGGTTGATTGCTCACAAATATCAACATGAGAACCTTTACTTTAGTCTGTTCCTTGATCCTTTTCACAAGTCAAGCTTGGTGTGATCCTATTGGAGCTTATGTTAACGCCATCAGTCCTGAGATCGATTCCTCCAATGGATTAATCAAATTCTCTGCCATTCAACAAGCAATTCAACCTGTTCCTGCTGCTGGTTGGGGTGATCATCATGGTTGTAAGAAAGAAGGTAAGTGACCATTAGATCAACTAAATCACCATTTAAACATAACCGTTCAAGTCTAACATGGTTTTGTGCTTTTCCTTTTGCTTTTCCCAATATAGAAGAGATTCACCATCACCATCACCACCATCATCATGAAAAACAAATAGCTAGTCATCACCATCACCATGGACATAAACACGGTCACGATCACGGGCACAAACACGGCCATGATCATGGACACAAGCATGAAGCTTGGCATCATCACGGCCATAAACATGGCCACCATCATGGACACAAGCATGGACACGATCACCATCATGGACACAAACACGGCCATGGTCATCATCATGGACATAAACACGGTCATGATCATAAACATGGACACGGGCACAAACACGATCACTGGCATGGTCACAAACACGGTCATGTAAGTACAGTTAATATTTACATTGGAGACAGATTAGAGCTTATGATTTTCAATTGAAAAGTTTAGACAAGCTTCATTTGAAAGTGTCTCTAAATGTTTCAATCGTTGAACAATTGATCAAAAAATCTTCTCGATTGACATCAAATATCCAAATGATTAATTCAACTTACTTTTGTTTCTTCAACCAATTTATAGGGACACAAACACGACCACGGACACAAACATGATCACTGGCATGGACATGTAAGTTAACAGTTTGTTTTCAATTTGCCCATATTGCGATTATTGCTACTCGATATTAATCAAATTATGTACATTTCTTTCACTCAAAGGGTCACAAACATGGACACAAGCACGATAATTGGCATCATCACGGACACAAGCATGGACACGATCACAAGCATGGCCACAAACACGACCATGGACATAAACACGTAAGTATTCGTTAGACATAAGGTTTTATCGCAAATTTAGACTCAGACTAACATTTAATTTGATCTTTATTTCATAGGAACACGGTTGGCATGGACATCACGGTGGTCACGGTGGTCATGGCTGGGGTCACCACAAGGGATGGGGTCATAAATAGGAACATGAAAATGAAACTAACGGGTCAAGCTTATAATTCATTATTTAATGATTTAGTCAACAATTGGAAGCTAAATTATTTCTTAATGGTGACATTTACCATTCTCAGTCAAAGTGAAAAATTCTCAGCGAACCAAAATTGTTATAAATATCTTTTGTACCTATTTTCATATTTTCATCAGACTTTTGTATAATGTCATTTTTCCTTCTCCTCTTGTTATGTATATATTGTACATTTAACTTTGTGTCATTGGTTATGGGTTGAACAATTTAATAAACAAATATATTTGCACATTTAATTCAACTTATCATTTTACTTTACTCGAAAATATTATAAAATATCAATAGATGTTAAAGTTATGTTAAAGACTTCACACTACTCAAAAACTGCAGCAATCTTTGAAGTGAATGCTTGATGATCAAACTTCGATCACCTTTTGTGCAACTGTGCGACTAGATTTTGCCATGAAAGTCAATTATCTGATGTAAATTTTGGTAGCTAACAAGAAAATGCACTTATTTTGAGACAGAACTTTTCTTTTTCTGCAAAGCAGGTTAGTTCGATTTTCAGCTAAACCGATCGCTTTCTTTGGCCGTAAGAGTTAGAGAGCTGAAACATATTATTTGCCCATAAAAATTGTTGGCCCACATCATGGATTAAATACTTTTTTCAATTCATGAACAGTTCTCTTAATTTTGGCCATTGGTCTTAAAATTTTGGACCTCGATATTTCGAGAATGATAGAACCTAAATTCATAATTATTTTACCAATTTGATCCTGGACTAATACATGATTGAATTACATCAAATAACTTTTTATTAGCGAATTCTGGTCTTGATTTTTGGGTTGTAAATACACAAGCAACAACTTATTCAACAAAACAAACTCACATATATCTTAACACATATCTTGGTAAATAAACCAATTTTCTGGTTAAACTTTCAAATGCAAAGCAAAGAGTGCTGCCAGAGACGCAAACATTTGAGTGTAGAATGGAGACTTGGTGTCTTTGTAGGGACATAAAAGCTAAGTTCGTTTGTACTTTTAAATAATGCATCCGATGAAAAGTTCTCGAGAAAATCGAGGTCAAAGTTTAAACTTCGATCGCCTTTTCTGCAGCTATGGAAGCAGATTTTTTTATGAAACTCTATTTTAACAATGTTACTTTTGATAAGCAACCAGAAAATGGTCTTAGTTTGAGGAAAAACATTTCCCGTTTCTGTAGAACAGATCAAGATCGATTTTCTTTTAAACAGATCGCTTTCGGTGACTGTGAGAGTTAGCGAGCTGAAACTTAATATTTGTGTATAAAAATTGTTTGTACAAAACATGGATTAGATAATTTTCTTAATTTATTACCAGTTCTCTTGATTTCGTCATTGCGTCTAGAAACTTTGAGCTTCAATATTTCGAGAATGGCATCATTTACACTCATCATTCTTCGATCAAATACCGGGCGTTTTTTTTATTTTACGCCTGTTTGCAGGTGTAACTCCCGAACGGTTGGTACTACACATCTTAGACTTGAACTATGTGCTCCCGCAGATTGAAGAACCATAAGTACGGACGCTCAAGGTCATTCAAGGTCAAACAGCTATTTGACCTCTAATTGACATTTGAAGGTTATTTGCTGATAGAGCAAATTTTTTCAGATGGTTTCATGTTAGTTGCATGAGTATAACTTTTGTTGGTCAGGAGATATGAGTGTTTCCATACCGTTTTTGAGAAAAGTTTGTGCATCTTCTCAACGGTGTGAGTTTTCAACTTGTCACAAACACAAAACGATCTGGAAAAATTGCTCTATCAGCAAATAACCTTCAAATGTCAATTAGAGGTCAAATAGCGGTTCGACCTTGAATGACCTTGAGCGCCCGTACTTATGGTTCTTCAATCTGCGGAAGCACATACAGTAGAGTACTCCATAACTTGGTAGAATTTCGTGTTGGCGCCACCTATTGGATTAACCATTTCGGAACCATTTTTATCCAATTATTTAATTGTTTTAGTCAAAAGAGCTTAAAATTTAGTCAAAAAAGGTGAATTAGCGAGTCGACTTTACATAAAAATGGTTTTCCTCCAGTATTTATCAGTTTATTCTCCTAATAACTAGAATGTCTTTTTTTCAATGCTGCTCTTCACTTTTGTAGAGATGCGAAAATGTTCTATTCTATTGAATAATCAAAATATCGTGTTTCTGACCTATTCCGATTTGTTTAACAAGAAATTTCTAATAATTCTAGTAAAGTTGACTCGCTAATTCAACTTTTTGTACTTAAATTTGAGTAATTTTGGTTAAAACAATTAGAAAGTCCAATTAAATGGTCAAATCCAATAGGTGGCGCCAACACGAAATTCTACCAAGTTATGGAGTACTCTACTGTAGTTCAAGTCTAAGTTGTGTAGCAGCAACCGTTCCTGAGTTATACCTGCAAACAGGCGTAAAATGAAAAAAAATACCCGGTATTAGGTTTAGCTGAAAATCGAACTAATCTTCTTTACAGAAAAAGAAAAGTTCTATGTCTCAAAATAAGTGCATTTTCTTGTTAGCTACCATGTAGTTCATTTTAATTATTATTGTCAAGTCATTTTTGTAAAATGGTGTCAGTAAATTTAGAATTCCATTCAGATGCAAGTACCGACTTTGTTATTACTATAGAATATCAAGTAGATTTCGAAAATTTAATGGATCAAATGTTCTTACGCCAAGGACCAGTACCAAGAACCTACGTTATTTATGACGAATCGGCACCACGAGATGTAACAGTGCATTATGCTGGTCTTTGTGATAAGATGATGAATCATCCTGGAGTAAGATTCCGAGTCCGGAAAATCACAAATTTGGATTAACGCAGAGGACCCTTTCTGGAATTTCGCGAGATCAACTAACTACAGGGCATTTATTAATACTATGTTTATGAACAAATTAGAATAAGCGTCTAATGAAGGGGTTAATTTTTTTGATAAAACAAGGTAGGCATATCTATTGTTAATTCATTAGGCTATCTATTACAGTCAATATTCCCAAAATGAGACTTCGTGGGATTAGCCCTTTTGGCTATTTTAACACAACTTTACCTGAGAATAGATTTGTTTACATTTTTATATCAAAAGGTTTGAGTGAACAAGAATCTTATTGATTGAAATTTTCATAATTTAAGTTAATTTATTGTCTTAAAACAATTTTTTTTGGAGGATCAAATTCCTCTTGAGGTGAATTCATTTTGGACAAAGTAAGTATCAGTTTCTAATACACTCAAATTTCTCATGTACTGGACTAATGTTGGCTTTTCTTTTGAATTTATAGGCAGAGTATCGAAAAGATTTTCAATGTTTATATCTTCATCAACAACATCATTACCAATATTTCCAACATCAACATTTTCATCAATTTCATCATCACCATAACCTGACTTTCTCCAGCAATCCACGATTGTTTCACTGGTAATCTCCTCCCATGAATCACCAAGCCATTCAATAGCATCATAAAGTGAGATACTTTTAGCAATTTGATTAATGGTCATTTCATTTTCAAAACATTCAATTATTTTCTCTAATATTCTTTTAACATATTAGATTTAAATGACCTTATTATACCGCTATCAAGAGGTTGGAGGAAACATGTTGTGTTCGGAGGAAGCCAGAAAAACTCAATATATGGAAATAATTCTTCATCAATTTTATGTCCGGAAAAGTTGTCAAGAATTAAAGCTACTTTCTCTCCTTTGTTTTTCAATTGCTCGTGCCAGATATTGATGTAATTAAAGAAAATTGATTTCACAATCCAGGCTGTTTTGTTTGATTCAAAAATTATTCCTCTCTCTCTTATCTGGTTCAAGTTACCTCCGAAAGATCTCGGATTTTTGGATTTACTGATTACTAAAGGAGGCAATTTTTAACCAATTTGGTTACAACAAAATAAAACAGTAATCCTTTCCTTGTTAGCCTTAGCTCCATAGTGTTTTCCTTTTTTATTGAAAAATGTTTTCAATGGCAATTGACGATAAAAACACTTGTCTCATCAACATTATATCGTCTATTTGGTGGGTATTTTTTTATGTCAGGAATCACATTTAATTTAAAGTTGTTTATCAATTCATTATTTGTTCCTGCTGATTCTCCTGATAATTTACCATGTTCAATGTTACATCTTTTTTGAAATTTTTGGAACCATCCAACTGTACCTTTGAAGCTCGGGTCTTTCATCAATTTCATAGCTTTTAAACATATCATCGATATTGTGAGTGGATATCCTTTATTGTTCATCATGGAAATGTAATTTATTAGCTGTTTATCAAGCTCATCGGAAGTGTTGACAATCCTGAAATGTAAGTAAATTGTTTATCATTCATTCAAGATTTTCACCTTTTCAACTTTACCTTTTCATCCTTCCTTTTCCTTGTTCAACTCGTTCTTCAATCACTTTCTTGTTTTGAATTATTCGGAAAACACGGAATGTGTTTATAGCTGAATTTACCCCATATTGATTTACACAATTGATTAATTTTGTTACAACGGGGCATTTTGAGTAAAGGAACAAAGACATGAATGAACAAAGAGGTTTACATTGAAACCATGGCAACGTCTCATTTTGAGATAGTCTCATTTTGGGAATATTGACTGTAATGTAAATTAAAACTTGCTCTTCCTCATTTACAGGTCGATTCTTACCTCTCGAGTCAGTTTCTCAACGATGATAATTATCGAGATTACCTTTATCAGCGCAAGTTTCCTTTTTTTCCAGTTTTTCAATTGTTGATGGTAAAGTGCGATGAAAGATCTTCGATTTGTCTTTGGAATTCCCGTGACTTCTTTTAAACTAATTTCTGATATTCCCTTGATAATATATGTGATAATTTTGGACATTTAATAACATTTATTAATAATAACCATTTTGTGGACAATAATTTCCATTTAAATTGACTAAAATTTAGTTAAACTAATAATTAAATAAGGACATCGTCCAATTGACGAAGCACTAGTTCCAGACATTTTCAAGTTACCACATTGGAGTCATAATTTCAACTTTCCTCAATAATCCTTTAGTTAAAACAAAGTATTTGTTTTGCCCTTCTGACCATTGTTAAGAAAAGAAATAAGACAGGGAAATAGACAGAATAAAGAAAGAGGAGAATAATTTAATAATAACCATTTCTCTTTCAATTTGAACACTTAATATATGAATATTAGATATATTAGACCGATATCCTTTGAGAACTTTCACGATACATGAATTTACAAAAGTTTCATTTCCACTTTCATTATCATTTTTAATTTGTAAATAAAATTCACACCTTTGCCACTGGCGGTCTTTGTATTTGTACCATTCTGAACGTTTCCAAGAAAACCTATCTACTAGAATGTCTTTTTCTCCGTCATTTTAAATGCGTAAATTCCATAAGATGTTGGTGAACATGGTAATCTGGTTGTTAAATTATCCAATTTCTTTGCTGATGCTAAATAGTTCTTTAAATCCATCACAGTTGATGCAGGTTCTCAAATTTTTAACAAACTCATTTCACAATTTTGCAATTCTTTACTTCATCGATTACGAATGAATAATTAACAGACAGTTATAATTAGACAGAGTATAAAACACTAAATTACCGAAATCTTTAAATTACAATAGGCGAATGGTATCTTTGTACATATGTTTCGAAATTGCGTGCCAAGCATAAATTAATCAGCGCCATCTGTCGAGAATTTAATATTTAAAAATACTCTACTTCAGCATTAATAAAGAAGTGATATTTCGATTCAGTTCAATTCATTTTTCTTCAATAAACTTAACTTAACAAATTTAGCCAATAAATTAAATCTTTTTGGGATTATCAAATATCTTGCAACAACTGTGGGCATAGGAAATCTATTTAACGATAAGTACTTTTAAGTTTACAGTCAATTATGTAGATATAAGCAAACTAGCTTGAACTAAATTTACTAACTAAAATGGTATTTGAATTCAATTTTAATTTATTTTGATTAACCATTATCCAGGTTAAAACAATAAAAAATTTTTACTCAACAAGCGTTGGCCAAACCAGAGTTGCTAAAACGTAGAGGTTTAAACGTAGAGAATTACTAGAGTACCACAATACAAAGGAATTACAATTTTGAAAAGGTTCATGTATTTGAATTAAAAGAGGATTTTGGTAATTTCTGTGATAAGAATTATTAAAAAGATTGAGAAATGTTATTGGGATTCCCACATGTGTATAAATGTTACTAAAAACTAAAAACTAACTCCAGCTAGAAACTGGTTTGAGTTTGGCTATCGGCCATGAACCTTTCACTTTTTTTCTCAAGCTCGACGAATTAGACAACCTGGCTCCATGTGCCCGTCCTTGTCATTTCATTCATTCATGTGTCGAGTGATTCCATATTTATCCCCTTGACGAAAATATGAGCGGCAGTATGGACAAGCCCATACGCGGGATCTACGTTTTGCAACGTTAAGCTTTCTGACATTTTCTCCAATTTCAGCTGTCAAGTCGCGTTGAGTAACCTTTTCGTAAACACCATAAAGTTCCAGCATTTCTAGTCGCGCGTAATATTTGTCATATTTGACGTGAGCGTAAATCTTTTTATTTATTTCTGCAAAATGGCTTAGTTTTGCTGGAAAAGCAGCTTTGAGCTCTTCTACGCAAATATTAACTGTTTGTACAACCTAGGGTTATAGAATAGCATATTAAATATTAGCGATTAAGTCATTAAAAACAAAAAACACGAACTTACCTCTTCCTCTCGAACCGCTGAAGCAGATTCAGAATTTACAGCATTTGAAACAGGTTCACCTTCACCGCTTTCTAATGTGTTTTCTGGCGATACATTTTGACTTTCGCTTTCTACTGCAACTTCAGATGCAACATCTAGATTATTTCCTACATCGGCATCATGCTGAAGACCAGGTTCTTGCAGGTCGGATAATAATTGATCTTCTGAAGCTTTATTTTGGTGGTGGACTCGCTGGTGGCTGCAATTAAAAACAAAACATAGAAATTGTGATGAGCATTGAAATAATTAAATCAAACATAAAATACTAACATCCTCAATATAAATACACCTATTATGATTAGATAAAACGTTAACAGGTACACCAAAACTTGTTGCAACAGGCATGGAGAAACTAATCTGATTAATTATACAAATTTAATGGCTGTATTAAAAGAAGCGTCCTAATGTCTTTGAATTTGCCTGCAAATTATAGCGACATCTAACTTTCACTTGTCTTACTATTACTGTTTGCCTTGTTAATCTTTTGAATACGTGACATTAGTATGACACTACTGTCAGCAACATCTAGATGCATTATGTCACCAAGATTGCATAACACTTTAGATTAAATCAATCTACCGGAGTGAATGAAGTGCAGTGAATTTATAAAAAATCATAATTAAAAATCAAATAACTCAAATTCCTTGATAGAATGGTGTGATTCTTCCTTCGTCAATGATTTCTTGCATCCAGTTTCAAAATTCTGCCCGGAACCTGAAAGAAGAGTTGCAAGCCAAATTTCTAGAAGAAAAAGAGAAATTATTTTAAGTTTACTACTTTTCGGCACAATAACAATCACGTCTTTTATGAGTGTTGGATTAGGAGCAATCACCTTCTCTAAAGAGAAAAGCCTGAAATCAGAGTTCGCTAAACTTGTCGAAAAACACAAAGAAAAGAGTTACGAACTAGAGAAACAAAAGTTTAAACAACAAATTACAAAAAAGTAACGAGAGACATGGAAGTGAGCTTTGATAAAATAACTAGCATTTTACAAGAAGTAAACACAAAATTGGCTTTCCTTGAACAAGAAATTCCTAAAACTATCTATTTTGTTTCTCAACTATCAAATAAATTCATACGTATGAAGACAATTCTCACTCGGGCAGAAAGAAAATGGAGTTATGGTGAACTAGAACCAGAATTATTAGAGTTATTCAACATTTGACTTCCTTGCAAAGAAACGTGTCCTTTGCAACTTTTCGGACCGACTTATTGTTACCTAGATTCACGTAAACGTCATATTATTCTCGGTTTTGATGTTAAGATAACATCAACAAATTACACAATATTGCAAGCTGACGCATTTAAGTTTACTCAGAGAAACGAGACACAAAATTATAATTCAATCTATGCTGGACCAAAAGAGATCCTTTTTTCCAAAAACTTGAACTGCGCGGTAGAAATTCATAATAAAATGATTAACAATCCCTATTTTGATCTAATCCTCAAGAACGAAACTGTTTAAAACAGAATCTTACTGAAACTAATTTGTGGGTGACAGATCATTGTATTGACGGGTTGCTACCTACTACAACACAGTTCAAATAAAATTCGTTAAAAGACATAACTTTATCTATTGTGCGGGAACTTCAATTGAACTCTTGACGCACTTCATCAATGTCCACAATTTGTCTTCTCAATACCAGCAAACGTGTCCTTCAAGAATAATAATTATACTTACCACCCTCATAACATAAAAAGCACAAACACATTACATTTTGTGTAAGATTGGAATTTCAAAGTTAACAGGCAATTCAATCCATTGTTAAATGATTCATTAAAAGAAAATCTTAACCTAACAAAGTTTGATATGCAAAGCTTGAGTCAAGAAAATGTTATCAACAAGACCGATTCGTTTATCCTCATTCTCACAACAACTTTAATTGTCATTATTCTAATGCTGCTCGCTCTTACTTTTTTCTTATTTGGTCCTATTTTAAATCAAACAATAAAAGACAATAACATCGAGAAACCGATTTTACCGGCTAAACGTCCGTTATTGAGGAAAGCACCAGTTAAATGTTCACCAATCACTGATTAATCAATGTTGAAACAATAACTTATTCAAACAATCTCTTTACAGTAAGGTACCAGATAATGAGAATACCTTGGAATAGCTTATTTACACTATTCTGCGGGCAACTTATTTTCTTGATTATCAACTTTCTTTAAATAATCAAATTCAAGATTAATTGTTTTTCAAACTGATTTCTTGAGTTTCTTCATTGATATTTGCGAAAGAAAATTAGATTTAGTTTAGTAATAATCAAAGAAATTCAAAGAAAATTTCAATTTTATTTAACTCTCCCATTGAGGGTTCGTTGAAGAATTGATTCTCATTATCTGGTACCACACTGTATTTCATTTAATTTTCTTTCCGATTTCTTTACATTTTTTTGCTATCTATTCACCATTCATTTAACCCTTCGTAAATTGAATTCCTTCCTATATTCTAATTATTAATGTTTTGGTCAATTAACGGAATCTGGCATACGTAAGCCTGAAGCAACACCAGGTACTCCAGGAACATCTCTTTGACCGCCATGTCAATGTCCAGCGTTATGGCGTTCAGGATTACTTCCTTCACTGGCCGTGTCTGTTTTTTCAGGCAAATGGCATAACCAGAAGCCATCCATGTCTGTATACCGACTCATGTCCAACCTTTTGGTCTTATCTCTTAAATACTTCAACAGTTTATCGTTATCAATGGTTATTCGAATGAGCTCGGGATCAGATGAACTATTTAATTCCATGTTGCAACTAAGGATCCCTTCTTTGAATGCTCTGCAGCCTAGAATATGATCACATACTGTCTCTTTGGCACCAACAACGCAATTCGGCTGAAATAGATTCAAAACATACATTTCCGTCACGTTGCAGAAAGTCATCACTCTTTCACCTTTCTTTTTCTTGTAGTGGCTTAAACACTCTTCTCTTGACCAAGACGGGTGGTAAGCGTTTCAGTCGCCAACAAATAATTTAAGAACATCTGACCCCATTTTTGTTTTAATAACGGCAGCAATAAATTTCAAGTCCTTAGTTAAATCTTCAACAGAATTCTTAGCAATGTTGGAAGAGAAGTAACTGCAAATGGGGGCTAGTTTTATATTATTCCAGCGAGCTTTAGCACAGGTAGCGGTGCAGAGTTCCAAACAACACTTTGTAATAAACTGAAAGCTTTCACTGTCGGAACAAGCTATAGCAGCTGTATTAGGTTGTTAAGCCGTCACGATAGAAACTTTTGGCACTGTATAATCCAAATCCTCGGGGGTCGGTTCAAAGCTGTAAAATCTGGTTTTTCATCAGCACTTATTTTCATAAGGTTCTTGGTGGCTGCTTTAGTACGTTTACCTTTTTATTTCTCTGACTATTTTAATAACTTGTAAGCCATTTGAATAGTCTTGTTATTGACAACAAAAACACAAAACACACAGTTTAAATTCAGAATTCATTTATTGTGATACGAAATTTGCAAAAGTTTTACAAATGTAAAGAACAATGATTCCTTGGATTTTGGTCGCCCCGGGTTTTTCTTCCTGCCATCCTCCCTGGGGGTGTATTTGGCTGGAGCGGGACAGTTTGGCGCACAAAACCTTCCATGTACATGTCCAGGAGCTCGAACAACATTACACCTTTTTTCATGTTTGTTAATATTTGACTTATCGTCTGTTCCCATACCGCACCATCGACAGCTGAATTTCCACTCGATTCGCTTAAAGTTGTTGGTGCTTTTTGCACTTTCGTGTTGTCTCCATAGTGCACGATTGAAGGGTTGCAATTTAGGTAAACTCAAAACTTTCCCCTCACCGAGATGTACATCGCTTCTTTCCACCCATGTTGGCGACCATTCAGTTAAACGATACACATTTGTTGCTGTTCGTGGACCATCCGTACATGCATGCAGTAACTTTCGAAATGGGATACTCCCCGGCACAAGCACGAGCTGTTTCTTTAGACATGTTGAAGAAAGAAGATAGAAAGAAAAGAGTTTGGATAAAACAAGCACAATTGAAATGATAGACAACAGAAAACAAAGGCAACGTATAACTGAGACTGTTTAATTAGAAACTGAGGACAGTTTCTTTGTTTTTGTAGTAGAGGGTAATGTAAGACCAACGAGGTCTCAGTTGACCGCAACGAGGACTCACTGAGCATCCTCTAAAAGTTGTAACGTCACTTTAGTCAGTTGTGCTTTGACTGCCCTCTTTGTACTATAACCTTGTTTACTTGTACATCTCTCAATTAAACCTTTAAGTTTATTTTAATGCATTTTAGTGATTACTTTATTTTTTTGGTGTAACATAAAAACATTACTTGTTTTTTTTCTTGATGGCATGGATCGTTCAGCGCGACCATCAGGAAGAGTAAAATAAACAAACTTTCCAGCGCAATTTGACTTACAGATTTCAGCCACACAATTATGGTTTGGTGACGCTGGGAAAACACAACTTTTCTCCTCATGGCGAGTCATATTACACTTATTGGTGAAACAAGAATCACAGAACAGTAAAACAAATTCGGGTCCTTTTCAAATGTTTCATCAGGATCGAGAGCAAAAACGAGACTCCGTTTCAGCTTTTTTGGTATACCATAAGGAACATTAGTGCAACTAATATTTCTCATATCTGGCATATCGACCAGGTAGGGTGCCCCGAGGACGGCAGCCATGTTGCGGACTTCGCCTCTGCATCGATACCTCTCTTGTTAGAGCACTTAATCAACATCGTAATAGCCATCACGGGCTTTTGCTGTCATTTTTAATTGCTGACAACCACACTCGTGGTCTCCAGAACATGTGGGTGGCTGAGGTGACCGACTACGTTCATCATTGGGTAAAGCCATGTTAAAAGTTAAAGTTAAAAAGAAAAGCCAAACAAAATTTCAAATAGAAACAAAGACAATGAAAAGGTTGTAAAATGTATTCACGTTAACATACAAACTGATGTTTAAACTTTAAACTGTGGACAGTTTTCTTCTTTGGTGGTGGCAAATGTTAAAATAACCTCAACGAGGACTCAACACAGGCTACTTAAGCCGCTTTAAACCTTTATTGCACGCACTCCTGTAGTCATTGTAAACCCTTAACATAATCTCAGTAAACTCATTTTCAAAACCTTTATCTTTATTTTACTCTTCATTTGGCCCCTTGGGCATAACAATATCTTGTTGAGTTACTTCATCTCCTCAGGCACCTAAAGAGTCACTTTTCTTCAACTTAGTCCAGTAATGGTCAACATAAAATGCCAACATAAGCACAATTCGGCTGAAATAAGCACGATCTTTTGCTTTTTTTGCTTTGCAAAACTTGTAAATGGCTTAAAATATGAGAAAACTTTGTTTGACGATTAAACAGAAAGAATCTTTTCCTCCATTGATTCTCTGTATTCGGACAAAGTTTCCAACGCTATCCAAAGAACACGAAGTTGGCGTTAATCTGTTCAAATGGGCAAATGAATGAACATCATGGAAACCAAAGCAGGATCCATCTTCAGAGGATTTGAATGTTTAAAGAGCCAAAACAGCTAGCTGGGTTATCGTGTTTATGTTTTAGACATTTGATGAACCAGAAGACTTTAGAAATATTTATAACTGTTATTAAATAGATCAATTAGAGAGGATAATTATCAGCATCAATCACTTGTTGTATCAACACGAATTAATAGATTTATTGTCCATCAATATAGCAATCAAAACAGGAAGAATATTCTAATAATTTATAATAACTTTGTGGTCAATTATCGCTTACAATTAAAGTTAATCTCGATATAATATTGTAACTTTTTATAAATACATTGAGAATCGGCCTAAAAAAGATCATCAATGTTTTTTTGGTGTAAGTCAGCAAACGGTAAATTTAATCATATTTAATTGTAATCAATGAAGCAGATCAAAACATTGAAACGTTCGTTGAACATGATCAAACATCAAAACATTGGTTAACATGATTAAAATTGAGAAGCAAAAGAGGAAGAAGTTGAAATGTAAAAAAGAAAGCATTTTTTCGACCAAAAAATCAAGTTCAACTTTGATTCAAATCAATTGAGATTGCAATCATAATAACAGATCAACCATTTTCCAGTGAACATTCAGTTTTGTCAAAAACAAATTTGATTCAACCTTACAATTATTGAACAAGACTATGATTGTAGTTCATAATGAATCCTTTTTTTACCTCAAATTTTGTCGTTTGTCATCAAATTATCCCAGTTAATGTTGAACTCTTATTAAACAATTGGCCAACATTGTTTAAGGTGTCAACATTAATTGTTAGAGTTATTAATTTGGTCGTCATTTTGGCCAATATTTTGTATATGAATGCTTGCTACGACCACTGTGACTGATTCAGTTTCAATTCATCAGATCATCTTGTAAGGTGATCAATTTTTAGACCGATAGAGTTACATTAAGTATTATTCGTCATTTGTTAACATTGAGTCAACATGAAGCTCGCTATTGTTTTTGCTTTGGTCGCCCTTTACATTGTGGCTGTTGCCTCTCATCGTCATCATCATTGTTGCCACAAAAGTGTTCATCACCATCATAAACACGAGGGAAAGAAGGTTCATCATCATCATGGACATCATCACGGACACCATCATGTAAGTGAAATACCAACAGCATCTTGTCAAGTTACAGGCTTGTCGTACACATTACGGACCAACAACTGATACATCGATATGATGTACGATTTACAGTTTAGACTATTTATTATTTATTATTTAATAGATTCATTATTGTTTCATCAGAATTGTTAGAGTTTTTTGTCAGATTGTATAGCATCTTGAAGTTTCTAGTTACATTCATCAGATTACCTGTTCGTTATTCACATGAAATACTAGATTTGCTTGAAAATGTCATCTTTTTGCTAAAATATTCAATATTTTAGTTTAATGGTGATACATTGATACTTTCTCAAGGTTTCACTGAAATAAGATGAATCGTAATTTCATTGTTTAACTGTTACATTTATTTGTATTTAAGGGACATAAACATGGACATCATCATGGCCATAAGCACTCTCAAGGTCACGAGCACGGTCACAAGAGCTGGGGTGACTGGGGTGGTTGGGGAGGCCACACTGGACACTCTGGATGGGGAGGATGGGGTGGTCATAGTCACGCTCATGCTGCTTTATCTCATGTAAGTTCAATAATTTCAACCAATTTCAGTATAAACAATGATATCAATTTTTCTTGTTTAACAAATAGGCTTGGAATGGTGGATGGGGATGGGGTCATCATGGCCATCACGGACATCATGGACATCATGGACACCATGGACATCACGGTTGGGGTCATGTAAGTTAATGTTTACTTGAACATAACTGAATCCTTTTCCATAAACACTAATTACTTTCTTCGTTTTTGCTCTTATCTAAATTCGTAGGGTCATGGCTGGGGCTGGTGGTAAAAATTGGTTTAATCATTTACAGATTTCTGGCAAATAAAAAGTCTTAAGTACCAAAAAACCAACAAAAACGGAAAATCCAATAGACCAGACAAAGACGATGTTTCAGTAATCTTATACAAATTGAGCTTTACTAAAAGCATGCTTCAAGTTTTTAATCGTTCACATGTATAAGTGTTGATATTTTAATCAAACCTTATTGTATATCAGATCTTTACTTGTTTATATCTTGAATATTTTGTTATTGTAATTGTAGTGCGTATTTTATGAATTATCTGTTGATCAGTTCTTTTCTTTCTCAATGTCAGTTGTACAAAATAAAACCTGAACCTCTTTCAATGTTTTCAAAATAAACAAAAAAATTGAACTCTTAAACTTACCTTTTTAAAAATCATTACAAATGAATAATTTACACTGAAAATGTTTCACTAAAAAATATATCAGATCAAGAAATACTGAAAAAATGAGCTACTTTGATAAACATTTATAATCGCTCAATTAAAACGTTAATCGATGATATAACCCAGGATTTTTTTCATGATAAGGATCTTTAGGTCACTTATACTTTGAATAAATCAATTAACCATTACATGTGTAATTAAAGACAATATTTAAAGTATTTTAACTACAATTTAACTGTATTCAAAACATGCGTTAAGAATAACATTACATTTTTCTTTTCCTTGTATCCTAATAGATGTCGCTAATGAGGAGAGTTGTGAAATTGTATGCGTTTTTCAAACTCAATTTGAGTAACTCAACCGTTGTGCTGTATTTACCTTTTTGGTTAACTTGTTTTTGTTTTGGTGGTAATGATTAATGATAAATCATCTAGACCAATTTAACTCTTTTTTTATTTATACTAATGTCAACGTACGAATTTGATTTAGAAATTTATTCTCGTACAACTATCAATGTGTTAATGTTTGATTCATGGTTATTTGAACAGACCATTTGAATCACTTTCTGCATCTTGTAACTCTTACCTGGTTTACTTCACAACATCTACCGTTTCAACTGTTTTTAATTGTCGTTTAATTTTTCTATCAATGTGAAAATTGAAATTGTGTCTTGGCATTTTCCCTTTTTGATCTTACCTTTACTCATTTCATCGTCTCTGACCTCAAATATGCTCATGAATCAGGTAAAATCATTATCAGTTTTGTTTTTGTTAAATGTGTGTCATGCAAAAAGTGCTCAAGCTTTTTTCAACTATTTTTTCTTTTCTTTCTCTCTTTTTATTTTGATCACTCCTTCTTCTGTGTTTTAATAATTAGTTCAAACAAAACACCTTTCTTTGTTATTCCACTCGAAACTGTCTTTATATCACAGTTAGATTTTCAATGTGATAGGATTTACTTTATTGCCAGTAAAAGGTGTTGAAAGTTCAAAATATCATGAGTTGTTTCTTGTTTTGGTAGACATTGTTATCGGTTTAAAGGTTGACCGGATCCAAGAGTGGATTTTAAGGTCTTCTTCATCATTTTGATGACAGTTTTTAACGTTATGAATAAACTGGTTCTAATATATTTCAACCCTAAAATCAGGCATATCCTGACCTTGCATCTCTTTAACGGGAATCTCCCTCAAAATAAGAGCGATCATGGTCATCAAAATAATTATCATTCACTCCTTATCACTTTTCATTCACGAACCTCAATACGTTTAACAGACCTGATTTAGGATGATGAATTTGACCTTTAACTCGAGACTCTTTTATAATCTGTTCTTGAAATTGAATAGCTGGCGGTTGTTAATTAGTACATTATAAATTGAACTTGAAAACCTTATTCGAGTGTTTGTTTTTTCTGTCAGTATAATTTACCATTTAATGCCGGTCTATGCCACTTGATAGATGCATGTTGAATATCAAATATTATCCAAGATTTTTCCAATAATTTTTCTCTATTCTCTCTTATTTTTTTCTATCGAAATGAAAAACAATTAAATTTACTCTGATTTCAATTAAGCATGTTCTCTTCATTTCAAAGTCATTAACTTCAGCTTATCTTTCAACCCTTCTATTCATACAATTCATCTAATGGAAAAGTGAGCTAGACTGATTTCTCATCCGTCTCAATTTCAAAAGAAATATCTATTTTTGTAAACCCTTTCAAGAAAATCAATTCAATTAATTTCCATTTTTTTCTTTTTCTTTTCATTTTTAGCTTCTTCTGTAGGTACAAAACAATGCCTAGGAATCGCGACCAACAGCGACTTGACGCGGCTCTTGCTGTCGTCCTCCGAACTCCAGGTCTCTTTATCATTGAATATTGGTGGCAGAACGAGAAAAACAATTTCCTGTCTTTCGGTGATGAGTCCAATTACATTCTGACAATTCTCAATAACATCGGTACATAAATTATTACCATTCAACTTTCTTCTTACTAAGAATATTATCTAATTACATTTTTTCCTCTCTTCAGCATTAATCAATGGATTTTTTATCCTGTTATTACCAATCTCATGCATTCGTTCGCTCTACATACATTTCATTTGCGGAGCTTTACTTCTTAGTGCTCACTTTCTTTCTCATTACTGGGTTCGAGATTCGAATGGAGATTACTTGTCACAAATCGATGTGGTTGACCGAATGGCATCTTCAGTTGTTCATAATTCCGCCATTAAACAAATCTCATTGCTTGCGGTACATGTTATTATCGCAGGTATCGTTTCATTACTCCTCCAAGGACCGCGAAGACCTGTAGTTTCAGCTTTCGCTTGTTACTCATTACCAGTTATCGCTCGTATTGTCGACTTTTCATCCGAGTCAATAGAGGCAAGTCAATTGTTTTATAATTGGCATTATATTATCAAAAATTAGTTTATTCATAATCGCTTTTGTTATTTTTTTTATCTTTAGGTTATTCATCATTTCAGTACTGCTTTCGTGGTGATAACTTTAGTTCATTATGGATACAACCAGTTTTATGGTTTATTTAATTCATTTAAAGGTGCTTTCAATGATCTTTTAAGTGAAACTAGAGTCAATGGTTTCCTTTATATAATTGTTTTACTTTGGAAAAAATTGTTCGTGCCAACTCACTTTCTCCTCTTTTGGTGCATTGCTTTCTTGTGCAAAATTTATGAAAATATTTTCGTTGAAGAAAATTCTCAAGACATTTATGGTTTAATCTTAAGTTCAGCCAGCAGTTTGTGCACATCTCCACTTTCATTGGTATCAACTGCAGTTACGGTCACTTATATCTCATACTTTACTCTATGCGGAATTAAACTTTATTTATGGGGTAAACCCGATTATGTTGGACGCCAAAGTGATATTTATTTCAATCAAATTATGCTTCATCAAGCTCACTCTGGTTGGGAAGAAGGATTGATCACATTTCTGCTCGCTGTTCTAACAGGAATCACCAACATGCAGCCTCCTGCTCGCATGGCCGTTCTTACCATCATCCTTTTCGTCGTTCTTTCATCCCTCTTAGAGTCAATGCTGGAAATTGCTGAACCTGTTATACTCTCGTTGAGCACTTATCATGGACGAAACATTTTCCATCATGTTAAAGTATTACTTCTCTGTGCTTTCCTATTCTTCTTTCCTCTCCATGTTAGCTGGGTTTTGGCCAATCTATTTCCAGTTGACTTTTGGATGGCAGTTGTTATATCGACAAGTCTCCTCACCTCAGCACAAGTCCTCGATCTGGTTGTAGTCCATTGTTTACTTTGGTACGATGCAGTCCGTCATGAACCATGGGCTCCATTAGACGAGATGGTTTACTATGTTAGAAGTGCTACTAAAGTAATTGAGTTCATTGTTGCCAGTAGTGTTGTTTTTGTCGGAATTTTTGAAGGAATATCCAATAAGTGGAACTGGACCAATGCTTTTATTTTGATTATCCACTGTTATTTCAATGTAATGCAAAGATTCCAAGCTGGTTACAAAAGCTTCATACAGCGCCGCGAAGCAATCGCCAAATCAGCTCGCTTACCGACAGCAACTAAAGAGCAACTGAAACAACACAATGACGTCTGTGCCATTTGTTATATTGACATGATAAATGAAAAAGAGTCTGTTATAATTCCCTGTCAACATTTTTTCCACCGTATTTGTTTAAGAAGATGGTTGTGTTTTCAGGAAAGCTGTCCACTTTGCTCAGCAAGAGTTACCCTTGGAGAACCTAAAACTTCTGATGCCAAATAATCACAAATCATCATCATCATAATCATCACCGTCGGTTATTAACTTTTGAACAAAAAATGTTATTGTTGGAAATTTTTTCGTTTAAATTTTTTATTGTCAAATTACAGCTGTCAAAGATGCAAACAACAAAGCTATTTGCCTGGTGAAATTTGTTACTAAAGAAATTATTTATTTATTATATATTTAAAGAAACTGTACATCAAAAATTACATGACTTGGATATAATGGCCCACTCCAAGCCAGATATATGAATATTAGGAAAGATTCGTTCATGAACTCTGCCTTCTCCAAAAGTGACTGAATTGGCAAAATGTATCCAAACTTTTACGCCATTTTTGATAATCAATGGAAATCAAGAGACATGTCAATCTGAAAATCAACCAATGCTGATCAGTTGTAAAGCTTTACAAAACATCAATTCATCCTGATTGCAACAAGTTGAAACTAACAATCAATTAAATGTTTCATGGTTACCCAATATTAACATTATGACCCCAATTATATAACTTGCGTTATAGTAAGACAATGAGATTGAATCGCCTCAATGAAACTAATCATGAAAAATCTTTAAAAATTGATTCCAACCATTGAGACTTTAATTGACTTTAATCAAATGAGAACGCTTACAAAAATGTTCTCGTTTCTATTTATCTCTTAGACGAAGAGTCTTCCCAAGACTGTAAAAATGCTTTCATATGATTGTAATGAACAAAAAAAACTGAATAAAAAAAAGATATTTGATTGCGTATATAAAATAATTCGTATTTACTGGAAAATTCTGAGCCTTTGCCTTGTGATAAGGAATCATTTGAATCTTGTTATATCTGAAGTTAAATCTTAATTTCTGACAATTTGATCTGGCCATTTGAAAATATGTTTACTATTTGTCATTATGTATTTACATTGGTCATCATATTCCCCCTGTTAAGGTCCAACCATTGTCAAACTTGAATTGGGAAAACCTTAGAGGAACTGGAAAAATGGCAATTTTACACAAGTAAAAATAAACAATTTTCACCTGAAATATACAGCCAAAGATGTATCACATTGATTGTATTTGTGTATTTCAAATGAGCAAATTTCAGGAATAGAATAGGAATTTTCCGGGTCAAAGAAGAAGATTGGATTTCTCTTGCTGATAAATCAACAGTATTGAATTCACTTTGATTAAAATTGAAAAAAAAAACAAAACTGAAATTATAATTTCCATTTTCCTTATAAAATAAGTTGTTTACTTCATCAACAGACAATTGACAACAATCTTTACACTCAATCAGTGTCAGTCATTTTGATCAACAGTCTTTTTACACTTGTTAATTATTCACAAAATTCAACAGATTCAATCCCTTCATGATACTAGAGAGAGGGAGAAATTAAGTTTGCCATGAAATTTGGACTTGAAAGAGCAACAAGTTTTCCATCTTTAATCAAGATTAGTTTTTCATGTTTTTCATTGTGATTCAATTGTGGGACTCTCAACTTTTCAGTTCAACTCTGGTATCAATTGCTGTTGAATGAATTTACCTCAATATCATCATTTCATTCAAAGATGATTCCAATGATCTCACCTACGTTAACTAACATCGTCAACTTTACCACTTTGCCTAACCTCACCTTGTTTACCAGTTTTATTGTGTTCATTTTTATTTTGGTTAAATTAATCACGATTCTTTATCGATTTCACATCTTCAACAAGCTTCCTCATGATGACCAGAGTCATTGGCTATTGGGCGATGTTATCCGTTTGATGCCAACCTTTCCCTTTACCCCAGGACCAGATGAAAGTAAGTCAATGAAAGTAAATCCAGCAAAAATTCAACTAAACCTAAATCCTAATAAATACCCAATTTTACTCAATCTTTACACTCCAGCTCCCCTAAGAGATGCGGTCAATTATTATCAGGAAAAATTCAAAGACAAAAGTGTTTTCGTTGTTTGGTTAACTTGGTTTCCAGTTGTTATTTGCAAGGATTATCGATCAGCTCAGGTAAGAAATTTATTTTATAATTGCTAATCAAACAATAACAAGTGCTCTCCAACAAATGCTTTTATTTGGACTTATAAGCTTGTATTGGCTAGAAATGCTTCTCCTTCGTGGATTGAAAAAGGGAAAAATTCTGATTCAATATGGCATTATTCAGGATTCGTGATTGAGTTTAAATAAGATGAAAGATATTCTTTAAATGAAAACATTTTATTCAATTCTTTCCATGTATTATCTGATACATTGTTGTTCCCTAATCGGAAGAGAAGCCCTTCCATTGTTTATTGATAAATGGTTAACAAGTTATAAGTTATGTTTACAGAATCAAAATATTTGATGATTTAATTTTATATTATCATTGATAAGCATTTAATATGTTTACTCGTCTTTGTTTGACCAGCTATTCTTGGGCAACAGAAATAACCTGGAGAAAGGTTGGTTTTACAATTTTCTTGACCCTCGATTTAAAAATGGTCTTATTGGAGCAACACTTGATAAATGGTCTAAACGACGGAAACTGGTTCTTCCTGCTCTAAATCGACGTGCGATGGAAAATTTTGTTCCCATTGTTGTCAATAGTTGCCATTCGTTAATTAATGATCTCACTTCAACTTCGAGCTGCCCAATTGACATAAAGGATCCAATTTATTTGGCCACCTTCAACATTATCTGCCAGTTAGTGATGGGAGTACAAGTTTTACCCTCAAAAGCCTCATTTTCATCGTCATCCTCATCAATACCCTTGTCTTCCCTGTCATCAGTTAAATTTCCATCTCTCATTGAGGCAATCACTTCCTTCACCAAACCAATCATGTCTCGAGTGGTTAATCCTCTATTTAGATTGGACTGGCTTTTTCATTGTACTTCTTTGGGTAAAACATATCGTCACCATGTAAATATATTCAACACTTTCTCCAACCAAGCAATCACTAATCGACTGAAAACCATCCAATCTACTCGACCACATTCAGTTAACCATCGTCCCTCTGATCTGGAGCAAACCTTTTCCGGACTTGAATACAATTCAATGAGAAAAAGTACAACTAAATCAATTCTTGATTATTTACTCACAATTTATCTCGACAATAAGGACTCACTGGAATCACAATCTAGCTCATTCAAGCTAAAATCTCATCACTCAATTGATATCAAAGGAATCAAAGAAGAGTTGGACAATACATTAGCTGCTGGCTATGAAACCACAGCCATAGCCATTATGTGGACAATTTACTTGCTTGGTAAGAAGGAAAACCTTTACTTTTAATTTTCATAATGAATTGTAACTAACCTCAATTTATCTACCTTTCTAGGTCTCAATCCTGAAATTCAGAGGAAAGCTTATGAAGATGTTTTGGATCTGCCTTTGGATGAATCCGATAGTTCAACATTAACCTTAGACCATTTCAATGGCCTCACCTACCTGGACCAGTGTGTTAAAGAAAGCATCAGATTGATCCCACCTTTACCCATGATTGCTAGAAAATTGGATTCTGATGTTGTTTGTGAAGGAGTCAAAATACCTGCTGGTTCAACTGTTGGTATAATGATTCACATGATTCACCGAGATGAAAATATATTTCCTAACCCAAATGTTTACAATCCTGATCGGTTTAATCCAGAAAGATTAACCTCAATTCCAGCCTGTGGATTTATACCATTCAGTATGGGACCTCGCAATTGTATCGGTCAAAAATTTGCTTATCTTGAAATCAAAATTGTCCTCGCATTTATTTTAAAACACTTTACAATAATCTCAACCGAACCAATGGACAAGATAACTTATGAACATGAAATGATAACATCACCAAAGGTACCATTGAATGTAAAGTTTATTTCCAGAGAAACGCATATTCATTAACATGACAAAGAAATGAGTTTCTTGTGGACAATAAAATAATTACAAATCACAGTTCGTTTCTCAAAACTGGTTAATTTTAAATGGTTAAGCATCTATCATTTATCGGTGATATTTAGATTAATAAGGATTCATTTTCCTTCCCAAAAAGCGCATTTTCTTGCTATTTGAGTCAAAGAGATTTGCATGTTGAGCCGATGATTAACCTGAAAAAAACGAATCAAATGTTGATAATTTTATGCAAAATGCCCTCAATCTTGAAACTAATTGGCGTCAATTAATGTAGACTTATGGCAATGACACTTAAATATTGGTGAACTTAACGGATTGATTTGAAAATGGCTGGTAATTATCAAGAGCAATTAATGTTGAATTAATGATGGTAAAACGTTTCTAAAAATGATATCTTTTTATATTAAAAGTGCCTTTTAATAATAGATTGGCATTTGATGGTTTGTTTATAAAAATGCTTTTACAATATAATGTTTCACTGGTTTTAAAGTCATCAAGAAGTCAATCACAGAAATCAGATTATCAAATTTAATAGCTGAAAACTGAATTAAATCAACTACTGTTTTATTAATCAAAGCGATTTATGTATTTATTGATAATAAATGAAACTGTAAGTAGACTATTTTGTGTATTATTAGACTGATTGTCTTGATTTTTATGAAAGTAATCGGTCAACCATTAAGACTTTTGACCGAGTCATTGAGATGATTGTTGAAATTTTGACAAACAATGAAATATTACAGCCAAAAATTAAAATGAATAATTATTGTTGAACGAAAATGATTAACTATTTGAAGTCAGGATCTAACAACAAATGAATCCAAGAAACAATCAACCGGCTGGTGAACATTATTTCTTGGTGATTATTTTGATCCTTTTTGTTGTTAAATTAAACATCATTCGTTTTGCTTGGTTAACATTAGATTACTGAAACACAAAAGATGAAGATTAATCAGTTTCAGTAAGTAGAAAGTTAATTTAGATTTTATTCAAGTTTAATTTGATGAAATGTTGGTTTACTCATTCTGTAAATCACTTTATTCTGATGAGCATAAATCTATATCAGGATCATTTTCCATGCCATTCAAACAATCATCATTAAGTGAGACATTTGAATGAGTTTTATGGATTAAAAAAGAGGTGAAAAAAAGGTTGAGTCAAACAGTCAAACAATGAAAAGGACGATGGAGGAGACGATGAAGACGATAATGAAACCAGTGATGGTGATTCTCATCTAAACATTTTAAATTGTTGGTTAAAACACTTTGATTGTTCAGTCGAATCAATGCTAAGATTCGAACATCTTTTCACTTTTTTGATTGAAATGTAACTCTAAAAATACAACTCATCGGTGACTCTCCATAATATGGCGTTATCTCTGTCTACCATCTTTAAACCTTCTAGTGACTTCTTTAACTCCATTGTCTTTGCTTTGCTTTGTTTACAAGCTCTTTCGATACCAAATGTAACCAGTAAATCAACATCTTCTGGATCTAATTTATCCAAATCTTCCACCGATGGATCGACAAGTACAATTGTTGAAGGTGATGTTATAATAACCAGTGAAACCTCTGATTGTCCCTGTTCAAATTCAATCAGCCAACAGTTTGCTATAAAGCGTATTGGTGGTAAAAAAGGGGATCCCATTGTGATTACCAAAAGAGCGGGTAGTTGTTGTGACAAGGATTCCTCATCATCCTCGTCCTCTTCATCCTCTATGTCCTCACCCAAATTGGTTCCTGTTCCAGTACCAGTACCAGTTCCCATGTACCGTCCTTACTTTTATCATCCCCAACCGCCTCCATCTCAGTTTATGCACCACCATATGTTGCCTTACTCTTCCATGCCGATGTCACCCTATCCTGGTTCAAATTATCCATATATGGACCGTCACAATCTTCACTCATCTCATATGTCGTTGCCATTAACACCACAACATCATTATCCACCTCCACCTCCACCGCCGCCACCACCGACTTTGGCTCATCCATCTCATCATCTAATTCACCCGTCTTCGTCAGCAAGCCAGCAAACCTTTTGGACTTCCTACGATAATAGACCCTTTTATTCGGATCCCAGTTGGTCTTTTGATGGCTCATCGTTAAAGTCAACTCTGCTCACTTCCCCAACAATTCAAGATAAAAAATCAGAAATTGATTATGATTATGATGGATTCCCTTCCAATATGGATATCTGGGACTAATTGTTTTCCATTTTTTGAGGCAAATTTTGTTATATTTTTACCTTTTGTTTTTATGTTCTTTACAATAAAAATAATAAGAACTATCAAATAATAAAAGTAATGAACCAGATTTTTCTCATTTTTATCATCACATTTCAACGGTTCTAGTTTCAGTCTAAAATTAGCCCGAAATAATGATCTTAATTTTACACTCAGCTAATCAGTAAACTTTCGACCATTCCAGTTATTAAAAATAACCGGTTTATTTTAGAACCGTTTCTAACATTAAATTTTCGACGCATTTGATAACTAAAACAGAAACAAACTCCCAGAAATAATGTAACGTTATTTACAGTTTCATTTACAAAATTATTAGAAAAATATGTTCAATATCGATTATAATAACTTTGAATAAGTCTAGAATCTTCTCAGAAAAATTGAAAATAATATCTAACAATTTAGTGGCAAGTCTTCCTATTGATTAAAACAAGTTACGCTTTCTGACGTTGGTGTTGACTTGTAAGCGGAGTAAGACAAATTAACTGATTAATCCTTTATTGAACGAATGGACCTTATCACTTTATATGATGATCTTTTTGAAACTGATGAGTAGTGTTGTTTAATACTGAGTTTCCCATTCGATTAAAAGTAATTGAGTGTTTCGTTTTCCCGAAATTGACCGAAATTCATCTAATGACTTACAATCATTAAACAGTGATGGATTTCAATGCATAAGATTGACTTCAATTTTATAGTTCTACAGATACTCAACTTAACCTGCACAGTTTGTGATATTTGGCAAAAATGATGTCCACTCTTTTCTTTGATTAGCCATAACGATTTATTTCAAAAAATTTAAATTAGTAATGTTGAAAAACAGGGAGATTGATTTCACTCACAATTGCAATGCTATGGTAAAAGTTGCCTTTACCATATGATTTTATGACTCACTTCATTTTCTCTCTCCTGCTTCCCTATTGACAACTGCATATTGATTTTGTTTCAATTGGTTTTGTGGATGAAACAGTTCATGTGATTATTAAGTTCGATATTTATCCAAATTGAATGTGATATGGTCCTTCATTAAATAGTTAAATTTATTTATTTACCTGATTAAAATGATTCAAACATCAACCTTGCCATCCGCTTCTTTCATCAATGACAACAACTATAGCAGCACATCATTTCATTCAATTTTCCGTTACTCCTCTTTACCAACTGATGAAATTAATGACAACAATTATTACGATAGACGAAAAGAGACACTTGGCCAACGGATAATTCGGAATTTCATCCTGACAACCGCTTATCTGTTGGTAATATTCACATTTCCCATTTCTATATGGTTCACAGTTAAGGCAAGTTACCCTCTCAACTCATATGTTTACATTTGTTTTTTATATAAGATTATCCTAAATCTCTATTTTTTATTAATTACAGAAGATAAAACCTTTAGAAAGGTGCATTATTTATCGTCTTGGTAAAAGATTACCAATTAAAGGGCCTGGTTTGGTTATCGTTATCCCTTTTGTTGATGTTATTGATTTTATTGATCTTAATCCTCATCGCCTTTGTGTTGTTAGTAAAGAGCAAATGTTAACCAGTGATGGATCATTGATTGAATTCATTGATTTTACAGTTGAAATGACTGTATTCAATGCAATAAGAACCTCTACTCAACTTAAAGATTCTCGTCAAAATGTTGATCAGTTCGTGAAATTGTCTTTTCTCAATACAATGGGAGGAATCCATGTTGAAGACTTGGAAAGAAAAATGGAGTTCATAATTAAACAATATGCGGAAACATGCAATCAATATATTAATAAATGGGGTTGGTCTATGGTAGTTATTGAAATGTAAGTAAAGGCCTTGAGTAAAAAATCCATCAAGTAATTTTAAAATTCGTTCTCGTGTATCCTTACAGACCCAGAATCAAAGTATTGTCCCGAGCGGAACCAGTGAATAATGTCGTTAAAGCCTTAAAAGGCTATTTTGGTTTGAATGACCAACCCAACAGTTCCGCTGCCAATCTTTTCAACTCTCTTTCAGCTACAACTATGCCTAATGCTCAAAGTGATAATGAATTTTCAAGAAGTGAATCAAATCGAGGCGAGCAAATAGTGACCCAAGAAGATGAAATAATAAATAAATTACAAAAACTAGCTGAAGATTATCGATACATAAGTATGTTGGGGATTTCTTCCGTGAATATTACATTAGAAATTGATGAAAGTCCAGTCCCAAAACATTATCAATTCAATCCTAAGACAGGTCAGTAATTTTTTAAGCTTGATATTCATCTAGATTAGCTGTTGTATTAAAAAATTTCATTTTTATCCTCATAGGTTCTATACATCAAATTGAGTTGCAACCTGGAGACTCATCTCAAATTATCGTCAAAGCAAGTTCATGGGCAAACTTTCATGAAGCGATTGACCAAAAGGATTTATCCAAAGTACAAATCACCAACAATTTAATTTAAACTAGTCAAACACGCATGCTAATTTATTACACAAATGCTCAAATTAAGATCAATTACATTGTATCTTTTGCCGAGAAAAATATTCAAGAAAAATCATGTATTATAATGTTGAATACTTAAAATTTTAATTATTTCCAAAAATAAATTGACTATGTAAATTGCACACTTAAAATAAACTTGACCAAAACTTAATTATGATAAGCTTTAGGTCAATAATCATAATCTGAACTTCTTTCCAAATTAACAATAAATCAACGATAATTTCTGATTTTTTTATCACCGATCTAGATGACTCTGGTTCTAGTCCTAATCTAGTAGCTAATCGAGAAATAAGGTTTGATATTAGGAATTACGATACATTCACCATCATGGAATTTTGGAAGATTCTTCAATAGTTCTTGGAAATACATCTTGCAGAATAATCGTAAATTTCATCCAAGAGAAAAATTCATTTCAACAAAAAATTATTTTTCAATCCATATTGTATAAGTTTTGTAAACCTTATAATTTTTTTGCATATTTTGTACAATATATAATATTTACATGAAATGGACAAATAAAAAAAGGTTATACAATTCAGTTTTCCGCAAGAGTCAGCACATAAAATGATTGAAAGAGTTTACATTTATTGATAGCGATTGGCAATGTAAATCTGTGTGCATCGTTAGATTTTTAATAGACAAGCTATTCCGATTTATTATCTGATTCAGGTAACTCATGTTCAGATTCATTACTAAATAGCTCAACTGGGACAGTTAATGGAGTTTTTTCAGGTAATAAAAGAGAAGGCTGAAGTGGTCTGGATTCAAAATGCCTTTCGATTTCTTCAAAGGTAAGCTGTCCTCCATTAGATCTTCCTAGAGACAGTATAGATGGAATTTCAGTTTTGATCGGTCTCGGAGAAAATTCACTTTTGATTGGTTGAGAAAATGATGAACAGTTGAATATTGAGCTTGACATTGATTTAGATGTAGACGCAGTTGATTGCACTAGTATTGACGAGCACATCCCTGACGATGTAACCATAGTTAACGAGGATGGCGGCGATATCAGAGAAGAAGATGCTATGGGTAAGGACAGTGATACAGTTGGAGGTGGTGGTGGTGGAGTGGGAGTTGAGATTGATGTAGAAGAAAATGTTAAATTTGATGTTGAAGGCGAGACATTAGATAAAGATGCATGTGAAGATGGTGTTGATAATACAGCTGAATTGAGTGATGAAGATGATAACGATGAAGATGAGGAGTTTAATGAAGACGAGGATGCTGACTGTAATGAATTAGTAACAGGCAAAGATAAGGTTGAAGTCAATCGATTGAGATTTTCATTTGCAGTCATTGTAGATGTAATGGATGACAAAGTTGGTGACATAGTTGTTATTGCCGTAGTTGCTTGTGCTGTTGTATTAGTCGATCTTAAAGATGTTGCCATGGAAGAAGATATTGTAGCGCCTAAAAGTGTTGATGTAGAAGTAGTTGATGGCAATATTGGATTTAATGCTGAAGTTGACGCAGATGACGATGGCAAAGATGCCAGTAATTTACTGCCCTTTTTGCCTCCAGTTGAGTTTTTATTCCGATTGGAAGATGTATAAGTAATTAAAGATGACTGAGATGGAATTGACCCATTACTATTTATTCTCCTTCTTTTACTAGTAGGATTTGATGATGTACTTGGAGTTGTTTCGCTATTTGTACTGTCAATTCTTCGCCTGATTAAAAGGGAAAGTGCATGTAGGTTAGATTTCATTGTTAAGCTATTAAATGTATAGCAACGTACCTTCGACTAACAGAAGCTGGTCGTTCTTGTTTAACTTCCACTTCAGATTCAGAAGATTCTGTGGCATCGGAGTCAGAGGAGGAAGAGCTGATATTTTCATACTTCAATAATTTATCCATCAAGAAGTATTTATCACGATTAATAATGAGTAATTCCTTTTGATACTTCTTAAGTTCCTCTTGGTAATATTCATTTTCCTGGAGTAACAGAGACAGTGAATAAGAAATTAACCAATCTTTCAATTAAATATCCATAATTTGTATAATAGATTGCGGTTCAAAAATAAATAGTACAGAATAAATTGATTGAGACTTACATAAATAAGTAGCTTTAGTTTCTTCTTCAAATTACGGTACTTTTGTTTTTGTTCTAGAGTTGGTTTAGATCCAGTTTCATCTGAAATCAAAGGCATTCTCACAGAATCAATTACTTTTCAAAAAAATATAGATAATCAAGAGTATGGAGGAAAAAATTAATCAAATTGTCGTATTATTAAATGAACTGTCAGATGGTAATGTTTTTTTGTTTACTATTTTGCTCTAAGAAGGCTTACAAAAAGAAAAACCGCCAAATTTGAATTGAACCAACATCTTTATTAATATTAACGTTAACAATTATCACTGAATATCTAGATTAATTTTCATGATTGATTCTGAGAAATAATAAAATTAAATCTTTAAGAATACATTTGTAAATCTGTTAAATCAAGATAAACAGTAAACCTAAAAAAATAATAGCCAAGTAATGTCAGTGAATTGCCCGGAAAGGTTACTTGAAAAATGATTTAAGAAGCTGTGACTTTTAAATGATTGTAATTGATGATTTAATAGATGATAATCAGTCAGTGATTGAAATTTACCAGCATTCCCCTTCTGTCAAAAAAGGTTATGAGATATCTTTGGATTATCTGTAGTGTCAGGTTTTTCTGGTTGTTCAAGTTTCCCAGTCAATGTAACTTTCATTCAATTAGATCGTAATTAGTGATTACACAAACAAAAAATTAGACTTGATTTCAAATAGATAATCCATTATTTAAGGTTTGTTAGTTATTTAACAGGATTATTGAACTTAAAGAGATATAGAAAGTTGATTTCATCCACTGATGACAACTTTGACTGATTAACCAGCAAGTTCAAAGGCTTTAGTAAACGTGTGAATGTGTTAACTTGAGTGAAGATATTGATTGGAATTGTCAGGTTCAAGAAAATGGCTCTTTGAATACATCTTTATTCAATTAAGAAGTTCAGACTTTTTCCATGTCAGATATGAAAAAACATAAAACCAAATGGACAACATTAGCTCATCGTTACACATAAGCTTGATATAAAAAATACATCTTTTAGATCTATTGGCCTTTCAACAGGTAAAATTACAAATCATTAAATATAAGAATGTTGACTTTATAATAAAGAATTGAAATTTGTTTCATTGTTCAAGATTTATATACACCAGTTTGAATGAAACAAAAAAAAACCAATATCCTTTGACAAATAATTTAAATCAGCACCAAAGTGAATCTTTTGCATCACATTTTTCCCTGAAAGCTTTAAAAATAATCATCAGGATCCATGGCAGATAGTAAATCACTTTAGTTCACCTCGAGTAATTAACAGGTTAGTAAATGTTTGGAGATGAACCAGTTGAATGATAAATTCCCAATAATTTATGTTCCTCCGATTCATTTTGACTGTACCAACATTTGGATTGTTTATTGTTCCATAGATTCAGGTCCCTTCATAACCCAAGCATGGAGAATCGCCAAAATAAACATTCCAGGCCTCATGACCATACCAATTATCTTGTAGATGAACACATTAAAATCTCCTGAAGTATAAATACCAATGAATTCAAATCCCCATTCCATGATAATTAAGACTATAGAGATGCATAAGAATAGACGGCTATTACGGTAAGTAGCGAAGATGGCTAGAGATAGAACCAAAGTGGTTAATACTGCACAAAATATAAATAGATTACGAGTTGATTTAAAGAATTCCCTTTTCCAGATAGGATCTTCATCATATTTTTGAATCTCCGATTCATATTCATTTATAGAGTACCAAGTCCAAGTCCATTCATAGGCAAGGGCTAAAACAAGGTAAAACATTAACAAATACTTGAGCTTCTCGATCTTTTTAGGATCAATAGCTGGAGGTTGAAACAATTTCCCAATCATGATCAGCTTTTAAATTTCATGGGTTGAACACTGGAACAAAAGAAAATCAAAGGTTTTGCATAAAAAATGGATAAATGTTGAGCGATAGCTTTGTAAGCACTCCTAATCCTTTGAAGGGTTATTAATGTTTCCGAGTAATATCAACCACTTTTTCCTTGTTAATCAGCCATTCACTCATTGAAGACCAAGTATATCATCACAAGTGGTGTTTCACAGAATTAAGAATGAAGATTATGAAAAAATAAATAAAGACACAGATGATAACAAATGATTACAGACAAGAAAAGGTTGATATTTGGTTCAAGAAAAGGAGCTATAGAGATAGGGTTTGTTGCTGTTGTTGTCACTGAAAACAAGGCAACTTCTCCTTAAGCTGTTCAAGAATTAAATGATGATGGTAATGATGATGATGATGATGATGAGGTTGGTGATGTTAAAGATGGCGAATAAACTTGGGAACCAGTTTAATGTGAAATATAAAACTTGGATGACCTTTACCGAGTCCAGTTGAAGTATTAACCATGATTGAGAAAAGAAATTGTCTTTCGTTGTTGAACACTCAATATAAACGTGCCAAGGTGATAAAATGAAACAATCACATATTTTAACGGCAAAAGGTATAGAGGGTCAGGTCAACCATTTATCCGGAAGCATCTCAAAATAAGCTTCATTGATCAATCAACCATACTTGGAAACATCAGCTGTTTTCCAATTTATGTTCAATAGGTAACTCATTGGTTCAAAGGGCCATCTATAAGCTATAAACTATAAAAGTTAAATCAAAACCACAAGCCATATTCACCAAATAAGCCAAAATACTAATTAAAATTATGATATTGTTTCAATCATCACTATTTTAACCACCATTAGTCTCAATAGTCATAGTATTGAACTTAACTGACTTAAAGACTGATACTTAAAATACAGTAGAGAGGTGAAACATGAACTCTATCGGTCAGAGATTGGTAAACGATCCCAGAGAGACGCACATAATGTACAAAATTACATGTAATTACGGGTAGTAATATATGTAGAGACTGTACATGCAATTAGCTATGGCAAAACAACAATTTACTAAATTCATCGACGTTAATCGCATTCAAATGTTTTCAATTTTATATTTTGAATCATTATAACAGTTGCAAATGCTTAAAGAAACATAAGATTGTCCAGTGGAAACTTTTGATTACATCTATTTAAACATTAAAAAGCAATCAAATTAATTCTTATTCATCAATATCATAATCAAGTTAGAACAGTTGTCTCAATGTAAATTATTGTTTTACTAATAGTGTTTGATTAATCCAGTAACCAGTGTAACTGACGATGAAAGTTGACTACATATGTGGTGTTGCTGAGGCCAAAGGTTGCTGTAGTAATTTTCAGCAATCATGATTTTGATTCTAGCTAATTATTTTTAAATGTAATCATTGTTAATCATGAAATTTTTATTTGATGAAAATTGGCTGCTTCTTATTGCCATTTACCAATAGAGTATAATCAATAGAGTTCATTAATGTTTCAGCTGACAGCTACGTTTAAAATTTTAATCCTGTTGTGAGGTTAGTTGATTAAATTCAGGTTAAAATAGTTAATTGATAGATTGCTTACTAATTGTTTAGCTGTTGAGTAACAAGCAAATAAATAGCAATCATGATACAGTCATAAGCAGTTCATTTCACTAAATCAGTAAAAAAAAGTAAGCAACGTAAATGGTATAAAGAAAGTTAAGATACAAACTTGTAATGTTAATCAAGGTTAAATGTTGGTGCGCATTTAGACCTTCAAAGTTAATGTTATGGTTGTTGAAGTACAAAAGCGCAGGTAAAATATGTTCACAACTAGAAATATAAAATGATCAATTCAATTTCAAGATAATCGAAAAAACAAGGTTAATCCGACGCCTGTAATTGTCACAACAAAGCTATTCAGTACTCAACAATTGTTGAATAGCTGTAATTGTAGTTGTAATTACAATTGGATATAATTTTGGGACAAAGGTGATCATCTTCTCGGATAAAATGAGACGTCTAACAATTTTGCGTACTTTGAATCAATTTTATTGAGCAGTATAATTCGCCAATCGGCTATGTTAGAACAATTCGTGTGATTCCGTCGTTACTTGGTGATTTTTGGTGATCCGAACCATCTTTTTGGGTATCTTGAAAAATTAAATTGGTCATCATCATTGGACTTGATTGGCAACACAAATAGATAGTCTTTATAACCATTAAATTAAATTTGATGCTTTTTCGTAAGAGAGGTAATGTATCAGAATGCATTCATAGAAAGGAGCAGCAAAATTGAGCGGAGATAGTCGACAATCAAGATTAATCAACCTTGACATGATCAGAAAATTGTAAACACCATTAATGTGTTTCTTTCGGCAAAAAAGGAGTAAAAAGAGCTGGGAAGAGACAAGGAAAAAAATTAAAATTAAAACATGATGAAAGTTATCATCTGTTGAAACAAAATAATGTAAGCTCCAGAAGCTCGAATAAAAAAGAGTAAATTAAATTTAGATTGAGAATAGAAGAGAACAAGTAAACAAGGTTGACAAAATTGTACAAAATAAAAATATAAGCAAGGATTGAATATCCAAGTTGATTAAGAAGGTGGCTTTAGGAATGATTCTTGTTTAACAGGTAAAGTTGCAACTCCTCTAGAGTCATTATTGTTGTTGTTGTTATTTGATGATTGTTGTTGAGCATTGGGTTCATCTTGTAAATCTAAATTAGGATTATCATGTCCAGATTCTTGTTGATTGGCAATCTCCATGGTAGGTGAAGCACCAATTTCTGAACCAGTAAGTGAATTACGCCTTGATTCAGCCATCGTTTGCCGATAAATTGGTAAACTGGCCAATCTTTTTTCAGCCGACCGTATCATTAATGTAAATCCTAATGAGAGAACCATTAAAACAGGTTCCAAGGAGACGGAGACAAATTTGAGCTTTCTAACATCTTCATCGTTTGATTTGAAGGCTCCGGTGATTTCAAAAACGAAACCAATGGCAAAAAGACAAAGGAAACCAAAAATGGTAGAGATATTTTCTTTGAGGATTCCCCATAAACCAATGAGAGTTGCAGCACCAATGTAGAGTCCAGTAAAAAGGAAAAAGTGATTATGTGTTTTGTACTTTTGATTTTCACGAGTAACATCATTATCTTCGTCAATTTTGGATTTAAAAAAGGCCATAGCATGAACTGTCCAGGCAACCAAGCTTACAAAATAAGCCATAAATAAGAAACAAAGGATTATTTTGATGGCGGCATAAACACGAGTTGCATTGGCTGCTCGAGGAAGTAAAATAAAACGATCACTTTTCTTCATATTTGACTATGATTTAGAAACAAAATATCCACAGTAAAGTCACTAATCCAGGTTACACTTAAAAATTGAAAGTCCAGTTGATTTTGTTGTGTTTTTACTTGTTGCACCAAATCAACAGCAACACAATAACTTGTAAGAATCTTTTCAGCTTAATTCGTTCAGATGTTGTTTTGGTAGATTGTTGTGGATTTTGAAATTAATTGAACGCAGTTAGTTAATCACCAGTAAACAATTGGAAAGGAAAATAAATAAAATTGTTAAAAATTGTTAAATTATGACGATTTAAGCCACAGAAAGAAGAAAAACCATCAGAGAACTGGTTAACACTGGATAAGGAAAAAGGGTTTTTTTCTGGTTCCACTGATGATGAAAAGTTGAAATGAAAGGGGGATTGTTAAATTTGAATAAACGAGCCAGAAAGGGGAAGAAGAAGCAAAAGATGACAACGATTATGATGATAATTATTTGAAAAAAGAAGGTTGATTTCAATGGATAGAAAGTAATAGGAGGAAAAATATTTACTTTCAATTGATTTGGGCTTCCAGCGATGTTATAAGATTCAACCTAACCAGACTTTCGTTATTTTAGTTAAACTATTTTCCTCCTTATTCGTTTCTCTCTCTCTTCTCTCTCTCTTTCTCTCTTTCTTGTTTTTGTCTCTATCAACTCATTTCTTTCTCACTCTTGAAACTATCTCCCTCTGTTACATGGATTACACACAGTTTATACAGCAAGTGTTAACACTGAAGGTTAACCAGTTTACAATTAAACAGATATTTATTTATACTTACAAGTCCAACATATTTGTCTTATTATCTCGACAAGTTTTTCAATATTAACTTGCAAATAAATGGCTGATAAATAGGAGGGAAAAAGGTGGACCAATCAAGGAGGCAAGTTTAACCATAAGAGTCATGAAAAGAAAGGTAATTTTCCGATATTTCTGGCCGTTGGTCTTGAATCTTTTACATTTTTGTCTTATTTATGGTCAATAAAATGTATCTAGAAAGAGAAGACTGAGAAGATAAGCAGAAAGATGATGAAAAACCTAAACAATTGCTATGTTATTATAATAACATATCAAGATTAGTCAATGAGTGACTATGTGAATCATTTTGGAGGGATTTATCGCTCTTTTTATTTTCTTTCCTTACTGTTGAGCCCAAGACTAGTCATTGGACAAAAGGCCAATTTGATTGCTATTTTTGTGTATTTCAATCGATACAAAGGTAGAGTAATTGAGATTAATTCTGGTTTTTACGATTAACGAATGAAAGATGTCAAACAGAGAATGTAATTCTGGTTAGTTGAAAGGCATCTTTCACCAGATTTCATCTTGTTGTTAAACTAAAAGTAATACATTTGTCTGCACTTTGAATTGAAGTTACATCAATTGATTGGCTTTGGACTAGTTTTTGTTTCTGTTTTGAAAGATGAGTTGCCAACAATTCACTACTGCATCATAAATAAAGATGTTTTAGTCTGTTGAAGATGAAAAATTTGAAAATTAACATTAAACAGAGAAAAGAAGAAAAAATTAACTTTAATTTAGTTATAATGTCTACCAATCTTGTATCTACGAAAGTTTATATTAATATCTCATTTCTCCTCACAAAAATGTACCTAAATGGTGAATAGAATGGTGAATTTTTTTGATATAAATAAATCTTACTTATCTCTATGTTGTAACGGTGATTTGCATGTTCATCAACCATATCGAGTTGATAATAAGCTCAACAAGTAAATTTACTTACCATGGTTAATTCATTTCAAAATGTAAAACTAAGACGAGAAAGCTTCAGATCCATATTTGTTTGCTGTTGAACATCACAAAAGTAAACAGTTATCTTTAAATAACAGAATGGTATTAATTTAGAACAATTAGAAGTGAATTAAGTATTGACAAATTGATGCACCAAATTAAGAGTAATTTAGGGTTAATAAAAAATCACAAGTGCACAATAAAAAATGTTAATTTGTAGCCAAAAATAGCAGTTGAAGTTGAATAATATTTCTTAAAAAGGACAAATAAAGATGGCGCACTACATTAAGCATTACAATTGGTTGATTATTGTAACTATTAACAACGGCTAACAATAACAATAACTTAGGTTTGATCTAATCTGGTAAAATTAATTTAACTTGTTAATAATTTTCTTGAAGTTTGTTGTCAAGTTTGAAATTTTGGTTTGTGATTACTTCGGACACTTCAGTTGCTCAAATAACAATTTATTTTCAGAATTAACTCAACTATAACCAAACAATTACATGGAATCAACAAGTGAATTGAGGGATCAACAGCTCTTTTTGTTTTCCCTTTTCTTCAATGCGAATCTTTTAGTGCTGGCTTTTCATCAATAAACACCGAGATGTTGGATGTCTAATTAAGGAGACTGTTCAACTGGATAATCATGAGACTTACCCTTCATGTTCATTGTATTGGAAATCGTTAATCAATCACTTTAGTGAATCGAGATTTCACCAGATCAACAATCTTTACTTTAGTATTGGGATTAATCCGAGTCAATGATTACATCTGTCGGTGTTCCTTTACTAATTACATGAGATGTTTACGTTTATATCTTCATAGTTGGTTTAATTGAGCAACTACATTTATTGCTCAAAACAATTGCATTAGAAACGAATTAATTTTTTTGTCTGATGAACTTCTTCTAATCAAGTAAAATGGGTTGAATGGTGATACTTGTAGCATAAATTTACGTTTAATGGTCAACATGGACAATTTATTCTCATCATCATCAAAAACTTCTACATTTGATTGCATATTGGGTTAATGTCGAATCGCCGTTGCTATTTATTTTTTCGTTTTCTAGTTGTGTTAATTGAGAAGACTTGTCAAAGTGGATCAACATTATCAATCATTGGAAACAACAAAAAAAAAGATGTACTTGCACCGAAGATATTTAATAGTCTCAAAACTTTTGCCGGAAATAACAGCTTCGAAAGAATCTTTGATCTTCCGGTTGATGATTCTGGTTTAATTCATCCTCTAATTGTTGGGATACATTCCTGATAATGTTGATAAAACAAGTGCGTTGTGATGGACAAACCTTGGAAGGATTAGTTACAATGAAGCGTATTTCAATGGATTCAACAGAGCGAGATCGTGTTAATAATGCTGTTGGTTGAAGCTGTTTAAAAACGGTTTAGGGTTGTTCAGATATCAATTCAGAGCAAGCTTGGACGAATTAACCATAAGCCTTTAGTTTGTTTAATTATTGATGCTTTTCTTAAGATATTGGCCACTAGTTCATCAACAACTAAACTTGTTAAACTAGATAAATCATGATGCATACCAACTTCTTTAGGCGCAGATAAATTGCATCTTAACCTCTGTTAAAGTTTTGTTTTTTTCCGAACGCTCCAAATATTGTTACAGTAAAATTTGTTTTTAATTTTGTTTCACATCGATGCCGTGATCAACCGGTTTTACTGGATGGATGAAGTTATAGATTTACATAGTTGTGATTGTTGTTGGATTCATTTAGACAATTTACTGATTACTCGAATTAAAGCACCATTCTCGTCTTTGAGTCTTTTATTGTCACTCTTGAAGGCTTCCAACTGTTTAATTTCTTCTTCAAGCTCACTGAGCTTACGCTGAAGAGCCCGTTTCTCTCTATTCCATTCATGTTCTTTACGTAAGATTTCTTTTTTCAAGCTTTCCATTTCCTTGACTAATGTTTCATAGAGTTTACGAAAATCTTTTACATTACTGCTACTACTATTAACATTACTATTATTATTACTATTATTCTTATTACTACTACTAGAGCTAATGTCACTACTGTCTATTTGATCTACTGATTTAAAATCTGATTGTGACACTGATGGAGGTGTTGGAGGTGATGGAGGTAAACGACAACGGACTGGTCTAGATTGCTGGTCATCCGATTTTGTTAATGGATTATTGTTATTATTATTGTTGGTTGGGGTGTTAGTAACCAGATTATTATAACTGGACGAATTAAGTGGTGACGGTGCAATCGATGAAATTGCTGTCAATGACATAGTGTTATTATTATTGAAGGTTATCGTCGGTGTCGTCGGTGTCGTTGGTGTCGTTGATATTGTGGTTGTTGCTGTTGTTGTCTTTGGAATCGAAATAGGCGAATTAGTTACAGCCGGTGAAGCCGGTATAGATGAAGATATCATGAACTGCTCTTTGGCTTGCTTGACATCCTCCGCTGAAACACCTTGCGTTGATCTTCTAGTTTCTCGGACTCGCTTAGCGTGAGCTTTTCTTTGAGTTTCACTTTCCGTAGGAGGAGTTGGTGCAGAAGGTGGTGAAGGAGGCACTGTTTAGAAAGAAGATAGAAAAAAAGTTGAACAAAATGTTGAACAATTAAGATGTGTAAGATAAATAACAGGAACGTAGGATCAGTTAGTGGAAATATTACAAACCTTTAGATTGGGATACAGCAGATCTCATTTGCTCTCTGAGTTTTTGCTCTTCAGCAAGCTTACGACGTTTCTCCTCGATAAGCTGTGCTATTAGATCATGGTCTGTTAGATCCTGTAAACGTTGACCTGCGTCAGTTTCAGCATTTACATCAGCTCCATGTAAAATAAGTAACTGTACAGCTCCGGGTTTCTGCCAATAACAGGCAGCTGCCAACGGAGTCCATCCTTCATTATCTCTAGCATCAATGTCTAATTGACTACGAATAATGCGATTATTGAGTAGAGTACCCAAAACATCGATGTAACCTTTAGCAGCGGCTACATGAAGTATCGTAGCTCCTGATCTAGGATGAGGTTTGTCATCTGTTAACAAAAAAACCAAAGATTGTCAAAGTGGAATTAAAGGTGAGTGGAAGGGAGATAAAAAATAGAAAAGGTAATAATTTTTACGTACCAACAACTTGAGTTTTAAGCCAATTATTGACATCACTTAACATACAGATATGTTCTTGTTGTCGAAGAGTATCCACATCAGTTACACCTAGTTCTCTTAATTTTTTGTCAATCATCTCCTTGATGGCAAGGCTATCTGTGATATCACAAGCCAATTCACCGTCATAATTAATAATCCTTGGATCAGCACCTCTTTCTAATAATAAACTAGCAATGGCTTCATTACCACAAGATGCTGTCGCATGTAAAGGTGTCCAACCCTCATGATCACAACAATTAATGTCAGCTCCATGATCCAAGAGGAACCGAACCATTTTTATATTATCATCGATACAGGCTTGGTGTAATGCTGTTAACCCGTCCACATTGGTACAATTAATATTGACCATATTCTGTGATAGTAAGCGTTCACATTCATTTAAATCATTACAAGCACAGGCAGCAAGAAAGGTTGTTGGATGGCTAAATTTGATCTTTGGCTTGCCATTGACACCGTGATTATCTCCCATGACCGTTACTTGATATTTTTTAGCTAAAAAACTGGTTACAGTTACATTACATTTATTTTACATTTCCCTCATCTTACACAATTAACCAACATTATTGTTTTGATCTAATTTTTTTCTGTTTTAACTCAAAAATAAGACAGTGAAAAGTATGTGACTCTGTATGAGTCTCTTTCTCTCTCTTTCTCTCACTCAATATCTATCTTCTCTCTCTCTCTGTCTCTCTGAATCGTTATGAATCAAAACCCAGCAGATGTCAGGATGGAGAAGGAAAACAATAAAGATCCATTAAAGAGCGATTTTCAAATGTTAATAAAACCTTAAAAAAATATAATTGTAATTGTAAAAATCTTAAACAAAGACTATAAAATAATTGCAATTGATCCAACCGATTAAATAAAAATAAAGATTATTCAAAATTCCCAATCTGCAAGAAATGAATCAATCTACATTTTCGGCACAATATGAGCATGATTTGTTTACTTTTAGCGTAAGATTCACTAATAGCTTGAACTTTTTCAATTCAACTATCAAGAATCATTTCAACAATTAATAGAAATAGACTCTTGATTACTATTCGTATGATTACCTATTTTCCTAGAAGTTAATCTAACATCACTCCTTTCTCTTTTTCTTTGGGTGCATATAAATCAATTGTAAAGAATAGTTGAGTTTATTTTAGCCTCTCCAGTGTTTACGGTTCCTTGCTGGTTCTTTATACTTTCCTCTCAATCATTCCACAATTAGAAATGTGGTTCTCCGATTATTATCCGGATCTGTATACAGGGAGAAACTAGGATGATGAAAAAAACACAGAGAGAGAGTCAGAAGTGCATGAAGATGTGTTATGCTCATGATTGTTTGAGTAGATCCATAATGATGATGATTGAAAAAGAGCAGCTTTTCATTCTTACACCATTTTACACTGCATATCCTTCACCATCATCGTTATAAAAAGCATTAAAAGAAACTAGGAAAAAGCTGTTAACACCATAATATATCCGAATAAGGGCATTAAATGAGTTCTCAATTGAATAAAGCAAACAGTAGATAAAGAAAGAGGGGAAAATTCATCCACAGCACAGAATCAAAAACGATAGATAAAAAATTAAAGTTACCGATAATTTTCGGTACAATCTCCAGTGATTCACAATAAAAGTTGAATAAATCAAAAAACAGTTTGTCCAAAAAAAAAGATGAACAACCAGAAATGACCAGCGACTTGACAAAATATGGTCATTGTTTTTAATCTGCTTGATGGCAGATTAAAGTGTCTCCACCTTTTTTTAAATAAATTAACTGTAACACCTTTTATATTTCATATCTAATTGAGATCAATGTATAATAATCAATTTCATAGCATCATTACAATAATGCAGAATCAATTGACACAGTTTATAACGATTAAAATTGTATCACAACAAATAGTCTATAGTTTGATTGCTCGATTGTTGGGTGAAATTGGTTGTCTCAAAGATGACATGAACATGACAAATTTAAACGCCATTGATAATATCCTCAATGCATATATTTAAAGTGAAATTACTGTTATCTTGGGGAATTAATTGTTCACTGAAAATGCTCTTTCATTATCCTTGATCTTTGATTAAATACAAGTCAAAATTAAGTAAGGAAAAGTTTGCTGTTAATTGTCTGCTTGGAAACCATTGCTATCCATTTTTCAATTGCTTGTCTACTTTTGATGTTTAGCTTTCAACTTGAGAAGTGAATGTTTCGTTTACTCTTAAAAAATCAACAAATTAACACAAATTGTTCCGAATTGTCACTAACTGTAATTGTTGACGATAAACATTCTGGATTGAATTGAAGCTGAGATTAAGATTACCAAAACTCTGCAGTTGAAGATTGATAAGAAAACGGATTTGAGTTTTGTTTGTTTTTCAAGCTTCTGGTAAAGGATTGAAATTCCGGTTATATCGCACTGGTAAAGACAACTGTATTTATAAAAAAAAATCTGATAATAAACTAATCTATACTATTAATTAACGCCTTGGGGCTTGGAAAGGCCTCAGCCTTGGATGAAGAAACCAGAGTGATAGCAAGAAAGGAAGATACTGTGTGGTATCCCTTAGAGTGGCTAACCCGCCTTGAGCTGATCAACTTGAAGCTTGGCATTTATGTTTGAGATCAAAATGGATTCTTCATAGGTTCAAATTAATTTATGTTGTTTATTTTAAACCAAATGCTCATTTTGTTTATTAATTATATTTTTCTATCATCTTACTATTTACATGTGTTTTAAATACAATAATGTTGATCAAATTAAATTGGTTAATTTTTTTAATTCCGTTAATAGATGAAATCTTGTGCCAAGGAGTCTCTTTGAATGCAAACAAAAAGAAAGCTAATCTACTTACTCCAGAGGAATTCAATGTGATCAAGACTCGCGATGAAATCACTGGATTAGAGGAATGTGGTTTACCTCCATCTGATGGTACAGGTGTAATTGATCCTCGAATTGGTGGAACTGTTCCTGATAATGTTGATGAAACAAATGGCTGTGATGGACGAACCCTTGAAGGATTGGTTAAAGTAGAACGCATTTCAATGGGTTTAACAGAGAGAGATCGTGTAATCAGTGCTGCAATTGATGCCATTAAAACGGCAAACAATTATTCTTCCATTGCTGAACTCATTGAGGCTAAATTGAGAGCGGTTACATCGGCACAATCAGCTGCCAAGTCAACTAAATTGTGGTTCACCTTTGTTGGAGCTAAAAATGCATTCTCTGGTAGTCACAAGTCCATGTCAACCAACGAGTATATTACCTTTTCAATTGGTGGTCTAAGAATCAATACGCTAGCTGTTATTGTTGTTGTCCCCGGATCCGGATCTTGTACCAATTCTGATTTAATTTCAACGCCAAGTCCGATTCGTCCTGGTCCATTCCCAATCAATCCAATTGAAACCTCGTCTGGATCCCAGGAACCTTTCTTAGTGAAAAGTGATTTCGATGACTCTGTCAATTCATTTGTACTTTCAATTCTGAAACCACCGGGACGAACTGGTGCTGGATCATCCATTGTTTCACCAATCCTAGGAAGACCAGAAAAGCCTTGCCAAACGTTGGTTAATAAATTAGCTTTAAAATATGAAGATTCCGTTGACCCTCGATCTTGGACATGCTTTTCGGGCCCTCAACATGCATCTAACTTTAAATCGTTTACTGATGATATTCCTGCCATAAAATTAAAGTGGGTGGAACTAAATTAAAATTATGAAAATGCTAAACTGTCTAAGACGGAAAGCGAAGTAATCGCTGAAACTCGACTCAACCTGGGAGTTGCTACTGTTAATAATACTGATTTAGATGAGACGTCGGCTTCGGTTCTCGTCTCATTTGCTCAGGAAGGTGTGCAACAGTATCAAAGTTATGCTGGAATTGCTAAGCATATTCAAGACCGAGCCGGTCAACAATGGCAACGAAAGTTTCACTGTACTGTTGGTTTAGATACTCAATATTGGATCTATTTTTGGTACAAAAAACCATATCTGATTAACTTTACCATCAATGAATTAAGGATTATTGTTTATGCGCAAAATTAAACCAAGACTTAATCACACTTTTAATATAAAATCTTTGTCCAGTTTTTTTTATCAATCATCAGTCTGCTAGAAACACAATTAAAATGTCCAAAAATCTTATCAGTTCGTATACCAATGAAGATTAATCAAACACCTAGAATTTACTTCGAGAAATTCACAAAACTTTGTTTATTTGATAAAATATCAGATGCATAATATTTCAGAAATATTTCAACTCACTGTATATCGATACGCTTAATAGAAGTTGTTGCGATTGATAGAAATTAAGAGCAACAGTTATTATTAAAAGGTGTTACACTTAACAGCCTGCAAATGTAGGAGGTAAAATTAAGATTTAACTTACCTTCATCACAACTTTGGTATTGATGAAGATATTAGGGATGGCAGGAAAAGATCGAGTACTCGAAAGATCGATCTTTGAGGGCTGCGAGCCGAGCAAAAATCGAGCTATCGAACTTACGATCTGATTGAGATCGACCTTTTAAAAATTCGAATACTCGAGAAAGATCGACCGGCCTAAAAATTACATAAAATAACCCAAAAATTGATAAATTTTTGATGATTTTGTTTTTCACTAAATCTTTTCAGTCAACAGTTGTTCAGAAAATCAAAACATTTTAATTTTGGTCGATCTTGGGCTCGATCTTTTAATTTTTTTCTATCCGAAGATCGAGCTTGAAAATCGCCGATCCTGCCATCTCTAATGTGTGGTACATGAAGAATAATCAAGAAATCATTTGAATAGATTATATTGATGATACCTAAATTTTAGGCTGTGGCTACACTCTCATTTCAGTTGTCTTTTGTTTTCCAAAAGATCTCTTTGGTTGATTCTCAATTTGTATTGTTTTATGTGGTGTATTTCTTTAGTTAAATGGAAAATTAGTTAGTTAAATCACTTAATTAATTAAAAACAATTAAGAAACTATCAGAAACAATATTTTTATAATTTTACTTTATTAAAACACTTCTCATTCAATTTTTCAATTAGCCCACTCCAGTGGGAAACGGCAACACTTTTGTCTTTACCTTCCAAATTGCTGTCTTTTCTACCGCACTCTTTGAGTAAAAGATCAAGAGACAACTCTTTTAGGTTTGATTCCTTTGGCTCTCATGTACGAAATTAATTGCTCAGGAACTTCATGAAGTATATCTCTAGTTAATCCATCCATTGTTTGAAGCCAGATTCCAGTAGAAGTGATATAATTACGAAGAGGTACAAACTGGACAATGTCACGAACAGCTTTCTTACCATTAAATTTCAACAAAAGATTATCAGAGTCGAGTTCGTCTATGGCAGCAAAATCATCGTGTCCAACACCAACAATGATTATTGATAGAGGTAAATGTGAAGCATCGATTATTGCTTGTTTTGTTTGCGGCACATCCTAGATAATACCATCAGTAATAATGAGTAAAATAAAATAGCTGGTACCAGCGTCATATTGTCTAGCGATGGCAGCTGTACTTTTAATTACTGGAGCAAAATTAGTCGGTCCAAAAAAGTTACACAACCAACAGTTGATCGATAGTGCATAATGATTTCTTCAATTCCTTTGCAATAAGAATGCATAACGTTGCCGTTTAGAGGGAAATGATGGGGAAACCAAGGCTTGAGGAAACAATTTAGCCCAAATCCAAAACCAGGGTAAACATTAAGAGTGTTGTAAGGCTTTAAAATTTCATCAATCGCATTTAAAGCCGATTCGTATGGA